GGCCGCGTGAGGTCGCTGTTCGCGCTGTATTTTTACATGCATGGACCTTATAACCATTGATCTCCATATACACAGACTGGATAGGACATCGCGTACGAACGTGCGTCCGCGCGCGCGTTTTTTGAAAAGGGTAAAGAACACAATTTCGCATTCGAGTTGTGTACACTTTCGAACGGAGGATTAAAAAAAGAAGTTGGGTTTTCTTCGGTTTCTTTGTCATTTTTGAAAGAATAAAAGAAACAGAGATCTAAATTGATCAAAATTGACGAGGAGTATAATCAAGGTGTGCGCAGCATTGGATTGCTGGAGTCGGCAAGTAAGGAGCGTTGAAGAATAGGACAATTATTCGCAAGTAAGTTGTTTTTTTAACGAGGCCTATACAAGTCAACATGGCATGGAGGAATATGAACATGGGAATGACAAAGCAAATTATGTCGCTCTGAGTTTGAGGGGACGGGCCTGTGTGGTAGCTAGCGAGATATTCTGTTCAAATTCCATGCGATCTAGGCCTGTCATGAGTGCTCAGTGGTCGGCATCATTTTTCTTTAAAAGACATAGGCCTAAACGTGCATGTATGATTGACCCGGCAATGGCAATGAACAAAAGTTGACTTGTTTAAGATAGTTTATTCGAATAACTTTTATATGCAAAATCTGATTGAATTATGCCTGCCTTGGCTTAACGCCTACCGAAATGTTTCTATTCTTTTCTTTATAAAGAGAAACCGAGGAGATGGTTTATGCTAACTTACTGCACAACTGGCCGATTGACCTTCATATCAAACAAAGAACTTCAGCAAAGCCATATAGCAAAAACCACCAGCTGCAGGACCGAGCCGGACGAAAATGGAGAACTTCACGGAGGGATGGAATCGACTGTATCATCCACTGAATGGAACATGCGATGTGATAGGCATCTGAGCGTTTGACTTAATCAATTTTTACGATGTGGAACTGTTAACATTGATTGGTTTTGGTTTTGGAAAGAAGTTGTGGAGTTCAACGCAAGTATTTTTATAAGCTCCCAAGATGACTGTCACATTATTGACAGTTTGTATGGTGAAGAAAGCAATGAGTACTTTTACGGTTTGAAATTATGTTGTGTACGCCGTTATATAAGATTACTAGCTATAGTCCAGCGGATATGTGACAAAATATCGATGAATTGTGCACTTTTGCATAAAAGCGTGAAACTTGGCACAGATGTTTATATTCATGCGAGAAAATGTTTTAGATGTGGAGCCATCGCAAATTTACCCTTTTAGGGGCGTGGCATCCATTTAAAAAAAGGGGGCGGTTCTTGTCGTGCCCGCAGTGAAAATGGTTTTTCCCACTTGTTACAAAAGCAGGAAACTTCACAAAGACATAATTATATAGATTATTAGTGTTTTCCAGATTCGGAGCCACCACAAAAGTACCTTTTTGGGGGCGTGGCAGCCATTAAAAGAAAAGGGGGGGGGGGTAATTATTATGCCCACTTTGGAAAACATTGTGCCCATATTTCATGAATGAATAAAACGTCCCACAGACGTTTATATTCATGACAAAAAAAATTCCAGATGTGGAGCCATCTCGAACACACCCTTTTAGGGGCGTGGCAACCATATAAGAAAAAAAAGGGGGCGGGGTTTTCATTATGCCCACCCTGGAAATATTGTTCCCACACTCATAGAGAAATGGAACTTTCCAGAAACATTGACATTCATAAGAAAAAAAATCCAGATGTGGAGCCATCTCGAACACACCCTTTTAGGGGCGTGGCAACCATATAAGAAAAAAAGGGGGCGGGGTTTTCATTATGCCCACCCTGGAAATATTGTTCCCACATTCATAGAGAAAGTGAACTTTCCACAGACATTGACATTCATGAGAAAAACAATTCCAGATGTGGAGCCATCGCGAACACACCCTTTTAGGGGCGTGGCAGCCATATTGAAAAAAGGGGGGCGGGATTCTCATTATGCCCAACATGGAAAAAATGTGCCCACATCTCATAAACGAATGAAGCTAATTCCCACAGACATTAATATTTACGAGAAAGAAAAGTCACACGTGAAGCCATCGTAAACACACAGTTTTAGGGGCGTGGCAGCCATAGTAAAACGGGGGGAAGGGGGTTAGTCATGATGCCCCTATAAAGGAAAGTCATGCCTACCTTTCATTAATGGATTAAACTCCACACGGACAATATATTCATGAAAATCTTTCCTTTTTTTGTAATTTGAAGCCATCACAAACTTATCCTTTTAGATGCATGGCATCTATTTTTCAAAAAATGGGGGGGGGGGGGGTGCTACTAATCATTTGCCCACCATCGAACTTTCATAAATGACTAAACTTCACACAAACTTGGTGCAAGATAATAAATTCATATGTAGAGCCACAGCAAACTCATCCTTTTAGAGGTGTGAGGGGCCTACTCACTGTGCCCAAAATTGCAATTTTTATATTTTGTTGTTGATTTCTTATAATGTTGATTGGCCCATAACCTATATTATTTGGTAATACAATGACTTACACCAAAGAGCATGGGTAAGTACCGGTAGGCTAACCCGTGTTATAGGGTTCAATGTGTGTACTTGCACCTTTATTATCATGCACATCTAAATTCCAGAGTGATTTCATAATTACAAATACACAGCACACAATGGCAGCCCTAAACTCTAACATTTAACATTTAAGGGCCATGGAAATCCTTTTTTTTAGGGGGGGGGGAGTGTAAAATCCCCCTACCCCTTACCCGTTGCGCCGCATTGACAGCAGATTGGGTAACAACACGATGTACTCGCCTCACAAAGTGGCGGACACGTCCACTATGACTTCACATTCAATGAATCTGTGTACCCCCACCACACAACCCCTTTTGGTCTGTCAGAAAAAAAGGCAGGGGGACAATGTATTTGGAGAAGTAACACTAGTCTTTCCAGGACTAACTGAGGTACCCCAGTTTATACCCCAATTCAGATATTGCTGCAGTTGAAAGGTTAACAATAATTCTACAGACGACAGAACCAGTAACTGGGTTAATATAGATGAGGCAAGAATGCATAGTGAAAGAACACAAAGGGTTTGTCAACAGTAACTTCCAACTATAAAGGCGGCCCTACTCCAACACATTGAACAGCTATATGGGGTGGATTTTATTATATGAAACGCGGTCAAAATTTTCCACGTTGTGCATATTGAGTACCCCCCCCCCATTTTAAAAATGGACGCCGCGCCTCTAAAAGGGTAGGTTTGTGATGGCTTCACATTAAAAAAAAAAGATTTTTATGAATATATTGTCCGAGTGGAATTTAATCCATTTATGAAAGGTAGGCACAACTTTCTTTTATAGTGGCATCATGACTACCCCCCCCCCATTTTATTATGGCTGCCACGCCCCTAAAAGGGTGTGTTTACGATGGCTCCACGTGTGATTTTTTTCTCGTGAGTATTAATGTCTGTGGGAATAGCTTCATTCGTTTATGAGATGTGGCACATTTTTTCCATGTTGGGCATAATGAGAACCCCGCCCCCTTTTTTTATATGGCTGCCACGCCCCTAAAAGGGTGTGTTCGAGATGGCTCCACATCTGGAATTTTTTTCTTCATGAATGTCAATGTTTGAGGAAAGTTCCATTTCTCTTTGAGTGTGGGAACAATATTTCCAGGGTGGGCATAATGAAAACCCCGCCCCCCTATTTTTCTTATATGGTTGCCACGCCCCTAAAAGGGTGTGTTCGAGATGGCTCCACATCTGGAATTTTTTTTCTCATGAATATAAACGTGTGTGGGATGTTTTATTCGTTCATGAAATATGGGCACAATGTTTTCCAAAGTGGGCATAATAATTACCCCCCCCCTTTTCTTTTAATGGCTGCCACGCCCCCAAAAAGGTACTATTGTGGTGGCTCCGAATCTGGAAAACACTAATAATCTATATAATTATGTCTTTGTGAAGTTTCCTGCTTTTGTAACAAGTGGGAAAAACCATTTTCACTGCGGGAACGACAAGTCCCGCCCCCTTTTTTTAAATGGATGCCACGCCCCTAAAAGGGTAAATTTGCGATGGCTCCACATCTAAAACATTTTCTCGCATGAATATAAACATCTGTGCCAAGTTTCACGCTTTTATGCAAAAGTGCACAATTTTTCCACATATCCGCTGGACTAATAGCCATAAACACCGTCATATTCGCTCACAAAAACGATTCCCATTACACTTACAAGTAATTATATTTATTTTCAGAAGTATAGCTTAACATTTAATTGCAAGACCGTGCGTAGCTTGAATTATTCTCTGACAAAATTAGTATAGTACTATTTTGGTTTGTGATTCATCTCCTTTCACACAATATCACAAAGAGGTAAACGATGTCATTCCCTGATCAATCTAGGGACGGGAAGAAGTTTTTACTGATTACTTTGTAAAATTAAAGTTTTTTTACCTTTTAGATTGTAATTGGTTCATGTTCAGGTTTTTAAATAAATATATCAATCATTTGAATGAATCTCCATCCAATTTCTCGTGTGAGTGTTCAGCATATTATTAATACAATTATTCATTTCATTGATGGAGTAATTCAGTGTGCTCTAATGACCAATGTGCCAAAAATGAAATGGCAATTTACTTACAATCATTTTTGGGAGGAGAAGGGATTTAAAAAAAATAAGGGAAAAGGAAATGGGGGGTTCTTGAATTTCGAAAATGCATAATAAGAAAGTGTATATCAAGAAAGTGTGGAAAAGCTGTTTGGAGGGTAACTCTTCATCGTTCAGGGTTTTTTTTAAGATTGTTTTGGAGGAGCGCTTGAACTCCCTCCTGTAAGAAAAATTTCACTAAACAATCCATTTTCCAAAGTAAACAAAGTGAACGCGCAATGCGCGTTTACCCGTCTGACAGTAAACGCGCCGCCATTGTTCGGCCGCGCATTCGTGCACAAACACGGCGCGATGTCCTATCCAGTCTGTGTATATGGAGATCAATGCTTATAAGTTATAACAGATAGCAAAAATTGTCACTTTACAAAGCACTATGGGTAATCGAGTTGGCAATGAAAAATACGCACAGTACATACAGCTGTTCGGCCCGGCCGGCTGCGAAGCTAGCTCGCGTCACAAGCCAGGAGCCATAGTTAAGGTACGAACTTGTTATTATTAATTAAGCCTTGGGATTGCTATACGTTGGCCAATAATGGGGAAAACATCAACAGGATAACATTCTTCCCGAGAAGTTCATTGTAATTTTCCAACTTTTTGTACACATGTGTACATAATGACATAGAGCTAGGACCCGTATCCTGCCTTGTCCATTACATTAGAACTATTTTGTGCAACATAGGCCTACTTGTATAGTCAGATAGTCGTGTTCCCTAACGTTTTCGAAAATAGGCAACAATTTTGAGCTGCGGGTACGAGTTGACTCGGGTACGAGTCAACTCGGGTACGACTTGACTCGGGTACGAGTTGACTGGGGTACGACTTGACTCGGGTACGACCTAACTCGGGTACGACTTGACTTGGGTGTCAATTTTGGGGTACGAGTTGACTCGGGTACGAGTTAACTCGGGTACGAGTTGACCCATTTCCACGTGGCGCACTTCGACGTTTCACTCGACTTTCCTAATGCAGTGTTGCCAAACCTCTTCATTGTAAAACTTGAAATTGCTTCAGTCAAATACTGGTACCTTAATAATACATGCTGTTTAAAATTTGTGAACAATTTCAGTGTCATGAAATTAAGTCCGAAATTCAAAACGGTGGCGTCCGGAAATTGGGCACAAATTCAGCTGAGTGTTCCCTAACGTGGCGCACTTGAACAAATCTCAGAAAATCCCACATTAACATTTAAGAATTTCTTTAAAATTGATAAATTCTGATAAATCATTATAACCTACACTTACATACCCAGCTACAAGTTTGTGGAGAAATTATTTTCTTATTTTTGGGCGCATTTTAAAAGAGTTCATTGTGCACTTAAAAAAAAAATGGGAAAATCATGCCCAAATAGAATTTCATTGGAACTTTGTAGCGGGTACGTAAACTCAAGATTTATGAGCAGGAATGTTTATAGAGCTTGATGAAATTTCACTAATTGTGAAATTTGAGGTAAAAATGTTGCTCTAGCAAGGCACCGGAGGCGCAAAATCAAAGTGCGCCACATTAGGGGCCGTGCCACGTTAGGGTACATCAACAATACGTGGTCCACAGATAGCAATATAGATGGTCATTTTAAGGAAAAGTGTTAAGAATTTTGAAATTTTAATATGCATGCAGCTTTAAATTTTGGAGGTAACTTTATCATGTTTTTTTGTTTTCCGGTAGGCTTTTATTGTGTCTCCTGATGTGCTGCTTGTCGACATGTCCTGTACAGTCTGGCTGCACCTTTATTCTCAACCCTCTGCAGCTAGTGTAACATGCACGGCACTTCATGACCTCAACTGAATAGTGTGCACATCAAGTTTTCCTCAGTAATCAGCATTTTCTCTCCAAGTGAGATTGTGATATCAATCATGCATTGTGCAGCAGCATCCTGTGTGAACAATTCAAAATACAGGGATAGGTAAGGATTGTTGATTTTGACCAACTTACTAAACCCTATAAAGTGAACTCTCATTATTCATGTAGCAAACTTAAACAGCGAAATTACAAACAGGACCTTCATAAAAGAACGCTGCAAAATAAAATAATTTAATGAGACTCGGGATCTCAGATTTTGCATTTTCTCTTTATAACAGGATTTTGCCCTGATAAAGAGTGCCCTTTACCAGCGGCGTAACTAGGGTCATACTTCCGAGGGGGCACCCGGGGGTGCACAAATTTTTCAAGGGGGGCACTGAATATATCTATTTTATATAGTCTGTATAATTTTGTATAATTTTATCCCTTATATAATTCTTCAGGTTGATTGTTATGCCACATGTAATTGAACTACAGTTCCATAAGGCACATGCAGAGGACTACACTAAATGGGAAAAGAAGCTTGACAAGACGGATTACAGGGTGTCACAGTATACAAGAATTTGCAGTAATCACTTCAAGTAAGTCCTTCCTTTTTAATACATGTACTTGTTGAAAACTGTGCGGTATTCTTTGTTAGTTTCAGTTTCATTCATTTTGCATCATACTTAGTTCATGTGATGCGACAATGTTCACAAACTGTATATTCTCATGATTCTATTGCGATAGGTCAATTGTAAGTTATCATATTCTTGTATTTGTATATTTTCTGATGATTTGCATACAGTGGCGTCGCCAAGGGGGGGGGGGGCCAGGGGGGGGGGCACGTGCCCCCCCTGGAAAACTTAGTGCCCCCCCGAGTGCCCCCCCATCAAATGCTGGTGCCCCCTATCCTCTGCAAAATTCTGCGCGTTGTTAAAATCATTACCTCAAAAATAGCAATTTCTTGAGATATCTTCAGATCGAATTTAGCATCAAATGTGGCACCATTTTGCATCTAGCCCATCCTCCGTATGCGAAAATTTTCATGCACCCCCTCCCCTTAGACCCCTCCCCCAGGACGGCGATCCGTATCCACCTAAGTGCCCCCCATCAAATGCTGGTGCCCCCCCAGTGCCCCCCCCCCCCCCCCCCGACTGAAAAGTCTGGTGATGCCACTGTTTGCATATGACATGTTTGTGCATGGAAGAACAATTTTGATTATCTGAAATGTCATAGCATGGCTGTTCTGCATGCATCTCCCACCGTAGTGTCTGTAAAAATCCAGAATAGTTGCAAGAATGAGTGTTGTTTTAATACTTGTCTCAGGTTATGAATTTGTGCATATTTTGAGCTTATAGATTTGTGCGCAAACATGGATGCTATCAGCAGCGTTTGCTCTTTGTTAGGAGTTAGATCTCTAGTAATGTAATTAAGCTCTGTGACTGTTTCACCTTTCTTCCCTAATAAAATACTTTTAACATTTCACATCACAGGTATGGTAAGCCATTAGCAGGGAGTTCTGTTCCTACACTGTACATGCGTTCCTACCCGGACTGGGCATTGTCAAGAAAACAGGCAGCTAAGGAAGTTGCAGCAGTAGAAAATGGACTGATTTGTCATGCATTGGTGCATGTGTGTAAGTATCTGGACCCACAGACAACAACTAGACTTGCGGAGCAGCTGAGAGTACAACCTGGAAAGAACAGTGACTGTATTTTCCAAAAATTGCTGTCCATGTCTAGTACTGAGGCTAGACAGTTATTACAGCAAGTTGCACCAATTGTGCCGGGAGGAAAATGTTTAGAGGCCCTCCATATTTATAGATATGGAGCCTTGTGTGAAGGGACCGGTTGGTTATCGGCTCAGTTTCAGCCCACTAAAGTTGACTCTGTCTGCGCTAATAAAAGGAAAGACTGTAATCCTTATTCAATACCTGCCTCCCATTCATATGCCAAACCTGAAACATTCAAACAGTCCACAGAGATGGTTCATTGTGGACACCAGTGTAATAGAAAAGAGGGTGTAGCTTGGAGGAAGCACAACAATAAAAAACAAAGATTAACAGCAGTGGAATGTAAAGAAGAAGTACTTTATGAAAATTACTTCCATGGAGATTCAACTCTTAGGGAAACACAAAATATCCAGCTAAGTGAAAAAATCACTGAACCTGAAAGTGCATTGAAGTGCACACAGCAGATCATGAAAGGACCAAAAGTGTCCATCGAGTCAATAAAGCATTCTGATGAACTTATTCAGCTTCATACCGGGTTGCCGTCATATCAGTACTTCAAGTGGATTTATAAAGAAGTTGACAAGGCATCAGAAAATATGAAATATTGGCATGGTAATGGATCAAAAAAGGCCAAAAAATATATAGAAACCAACCAGAAAAAGCCTGGACCAAGTCGAGTGGTGTCTAAAGAAAATGAACTCCTGATAACTTTAATGAAGTTAAGACTTAACATGATGGAGGAGTACCTGGCATACCTTTTTAATGTTAAGCAGCCCACAGTCTCCTCCATATTATCCACATGGATTCCGTTGTTGAGCCATGAACTGTCTGGATTGATTTACTGGCCTGAAGTGGAGGAAATCAAACTTTGCTATCAAGATTGTTTTAAGAGATGGCCAGGCATTAGAGCACTATTAGATTGTTTTGAAATCCCAACCCAGAAACCATCGCATGTAGAGGCAAATACACAAGTATTTTCATCGTATAAGAATCGGGCCACCACCAAATTCTGCCTTGCTTGTACACCAGGAGGATCTATCTCCTTCATATCACCCCCAGCAGGTGGAAACATGTCGGACAAGGAGATTGTCATTGCATGCAACCTTCCCCAAAAATTCTCCCCTGGTGATAAGTGTATGGTTGACAAAGGTTTCCTTATCAAAGGGGAGTTGTTGGAGTATGGTGTTGAACTTATCCATCCACCTTTTGTACATAAAGGCCAGCCTTTCACTGAGGAAAAGAATAGATGGAGCAAGCAAATTGCACATGCTCGAATTCACATTGAGCGCGTCATTGGTAGGTTACGTGACTACAAGTACTTGTCAAGTGAAATACCAGTGTCTCAACTGGATTTGATAGGTCCTGCAGCTAGGGTATGTTGTGCTCTTACCAACCTTAAAAGTTCTGTTGTTGGAAAGAGTTAGTGGTGAACAAAAAATGCTACATTTTAATAAAATGTTCACCCATTAGTTAATGTTTATGATGATGTGAATGTTGTTTAATACAGCTGTGCATCAGTGTGCAAAAACTACAGAGCTTATGTTTTTGTTGGGGGATGTTTGTTCATTTTGATCAAACAAAACTAAGATGATGATTGCGATGATAATTTAAAAAAACAGATATTAAAATGAACCAGGCCTGACTTTTTAACCAGAGGTTATCAGTTTTCATTTGAATGAAGTACTCAAAAAAAGTATGCACAATGAGAGTTATCATTCAATATGAGAGTTTGTTCTGCGTCTGTATAATTTAATACATTTATTTACATGAACCGTTTCACTGGTAATTCCTGACCCTCTCAGTGAGATAGCAACTGTGGCATACATTGTAAACATGGTAAATGAAGTTTTTACCAATGGCATTATTGATGCTTTTTTCTTAATAGTTGTTCTCATACAAACTGATTATACAATGTTTACCTGAGGATTTTAAATATTTAACAAACTTGAATTTGCAATAAATATGGTAAATTTTAGTTTAATGAATAATGAACCCGGTGAGTAGATGTATATACATGTATATATATGAAAAATATATATATGTGCAATTAATGCCCTTTAGTTTATATTAATTAATAAATTATTAAATACATATACAACTGTAGAATAAGAAATCCAATGGATTAGTCCCTTTGGAGACATATCTGTCATTATATTAGTTCTGTTTGAAAAAGTTTTACATATACCTTCCAGCATTCTTGTTGAAATCCCTGTGCAGTGCTGCACTACACCTTGGAAACCATACCCCATAATTAATTTGTGAAGATTCAAATGACAATATATATACATTGAACTGCAATAAACTGTGAATGTTTCATTCAGAAAATCATTTTCCTTATTTTGCACCTTTATTTTACAAGTGTTTGTTATGAAAACAACTTGTTCTGGAAAATCTGTCTTTTTCCTCTCAAAAGTTATATATTTTCCCCCAGTTTGATAGGACTGAATCATTCTACATGTACATGTATATAAGGGTTGAACATGTTATTTTTTTGTTCACTCAAAAAGCCAGTGGTGAAGTATCCATTTCTAAACAGAATCCCCCATCAGTTTGTCCACTGTGCAGAATACAATCAAAAGCCCTGTCGATGAAATTAAGATTTAAAAAATGGAGGTGGAGTTTTGGGTCAAGGAAATTTGAACAACAATATACAATACTTGCTTTAAGGTTCAGTTTGCATTTCCTTATATTTCAGTGCAATTTTCTTTTCTACAGCTCCAGTTTCAAGCTCAGACAGGACTGCATTGGCCCAGAAACTTGATGCCTTGTGTTTCATTTGATTGATTATTTCATCATTTCTGTAAACACGTTGTATCAACATACTATCTTCTTTTGCTTCAGTCATCAACACAAAGTCACAGTATTTCCTATCTGTGCAGAACAACTGACACTGAACCTGGGCATAGTAATTGTGGGTTGTTCTCAGGCTTACTTTGTCTTCGTCAACTGTGAGGCAGGTTTTCCCTTTGGATGCATATTGTGTTACAGTTAGTGATTTGTCTTTAAAGGGACACTTCACTTCCACAAGTCCTGCTCCACAACACTTGCAGTTTACATAACCATCTGGACTGGCTGCAATAAATGGGTGACTACTGGATATGCAAAGTCCAATCTTTTCCAAGTTGAAATGTCTATGTGTTCTGCGCATCTTCATCAGATATTTAGATTTTGCTACAGCTTCATGTTTTTTACCATAGGTGGTGGCTGGTGATACAAAGTCCTTATAGTAAGACATCACAGTAGCAATGATGCTATGTGTGGAGCCAGTAAGGTTCCCAGATTCATCCACGTGTTTCGTAACAGCCCCCATGTTAGAGGCAGTTATGCGCCCAACTCTGTGTTTGTGCCACATATGTGATTCTGCCTGTTGACATGTTGATTCAGCCAACCACTCTCTACTGCGACCACTACAGGCCATCTCTTTTGTCATAGCTGTGTATGTGGCTGCATCAGTACCTGCACTTTTCTTCACTTCTCTAAAGGCATCTACAACAGATGAAACTCTAATTGGTGAAGATGATGATATATCTTCATCTAATGTGGAATTTAGATGATTGATATCCGGCTTTGATGTCAATGTTGGGTGAACATGCCTTTGATGTGCTGCATATAAGAGCACTGCAGCCTTACCATTTGATATGTCAGCCAAACTATCTAAATCATAATCGCATAGCTTTCTTACTTTCTTGTTTACCACAGCGCGGGGATCAAACATGTCCCTTCGACCCTTCCTATTGTCACACATTGAAGACGACACTTTGGGTGTTTTAATGTCTTTCAGGAATGCCGATGTCTTTAATTTCTGGTTAAGATTGCTGCTGCTTGGCCTGTGCCACTGTTGAAGCTGGCTTGTGCATGACTCACTGGAACCACATTCCACTTGTTGTGTCACAAATGACAATAGTGCTGCAACGTGTTTACACAAACCGCTGAGCCTAAATTTGTTAAGAGAAGGGAGATAAAAAAGAAGAACATAAAAAACAATAAACAACAGAAAACAGATTGTTGCACTTCAGCCTTTCCAAACTACACAAATTACACAATAACAGACCAATTTTGTTCAGAATGATTATTTTTCTTTCTCAATCACCATCTGTTGGTAAATGGTAAACTAATCAGCCCTCCCCTCAAAACCCCCCAAAAATTAACTTGAGTGTGACACCCTACAGCAGAAGCACACTCAGAATTTAAGAACAAATACAGCAGCTCCCTTTTGAATGGGAAATTCAACGTCAATGCCCAGTTTCAGTGATTTCAAGTTTTAGGCTTGTTAATACTTCATTCCAATTTGTGAGCAAAACTAATTTATTACCTTAAGTGTAATGGCAGATTTCACAAATGAAGAACATTTGCGGAGTTTGTGACATTCGCATGGCTTTGCATTTGTGTGAAGTGTGAACTTGTCTTTTTTTATAAAAAAATACAGTTTGCAACTTCATATGGCCCATTTGTTATGTACGGTCATGAATCTCACCCTGCAATGCAATGACAATCTGCCTGATGTATAACACCTGTATTTTTAAATACAAGGATCCACACCATTTATGGCTGCTCATGAACTCTTGTTTGTGGTACAACCAGTCCTCGAATGTAGCTGAGCCCTGTTGAAAAAATAAGTAAATGACTTGTTAATTCCCTCATTTGTCATTTGCAGATTTAGACACTTTGTAAACATATCACACTTCAAGAATTAGTACACTGTACATTGTATACATGCACATGTACATGTAAATTTTTCAACCACACCATTCATATGTACTCAGTCAATGGTCAAGAGAAACATGTGATAAATACAGTGTACATGTAGAACAGCCCCCAAAAGAAATGTGGTTGCAATCTCCCATTCATTTTGATATTTGTCTCACCTACAATATCACTGATGTGGTGGTGTTCAACTGTGTGCACCCTGCCCCTGGAAACTGCCATGCTCCTTCCTTGACCGAGAGATTTGCTGCCATCTGTACTTATCTCAAGTTCTTTGTTTCCTGATTAGAGGAATTAGGTTTTGCAAATTAGATAGCTTTCTTAATACATGTACATGGTCGTCACGGTGATGGTCTATATGTATACATGTAAAGTAGCCTTAGTTTAGGGCCACGCTACTGGACTCCTTCCATATCAGTAGCCCTATAAACATGTGAAAAAAATCACAGGGGGAAATTTTGAAAACTAGTTTTTTCCCTTAAACTATGCGCCGTGAAATTTCACATACACTCTCACTTACCCATGCCAGGTGATTTCTCACAAAAAGTGCAATATCCTGATTTCTACTTTTCTCTTAACTCAAAATTTCTCTCCAACTTTGGAGCCAAATTTCACGAAAAGTAGAAATGAGGATATTACCCTTTTTGAGAAAGAGCACATACAAGGCATGGCATGGTATATGGTGAATACCCGGTGAAAGTGTATGTGGAATATCAGGGCTCATAGTTCCGGAAGAAGAAATATATTGTTCAAAATTTTCCCCTGTGATTGTGTACACATGTGTTTAGGGCCAAGGATTATGGAGAGAGTCCAGTGCACTAGGCGGCTACTACTACAAGTAGTCCTAGTAACTTGGACCCAAATATCACCTTTTTAATATGGCCGTTTTCCGTGACATTTTTTTTGGGGGGGGGGGATAAGTGTGGGAGGTCAGGGGGGTCGATGTGCAGACATTTTGTACCGCGATCCGTAGGGCTTTCACTTGAACTCTACTAGCCTATCACCCGACCATGTCCAAATATTAAAAAGGTGATATTTGGGTCCAAGTTACTTGGAATACTACTACAGTATATAAAGATGGTACATGTACATAATGTACCATTACTATACTGTACATCATGTACATGTTTGTTGCAAAATATACATGACAATTGTCAAAGGCTAACACAGTTACTCATTGGAACTTGATGCACTTTTTACCCAAATTATTATATTAAACATTTTAATAGTAAGCAAATTTAAAAAAAAAAAATCATTCCAAACCATTTTTCACACTCCCAGAAATGTAAATTGTAATCATGGTAATCAGGTGATAAATCTCTAAAATCACTAAGTGTCACCGTGAGACTAGACCAGGTCAGACTAAATAATTTTCTTTGTCTTTGAACTTAAAAGACTGTAAACGTTACATCATACATGTATGAGTGACTTACGTGTCCGGAAATAATGGTTTACTTTTTCTTCTGTAATTGGTGGAAGATTTGCGGATGTACCTTCCCAGCCATCGAGAGTGAGGGGGTGAGGCAACTTAAATTGTTCTCCAAAGCGAAGCTTTCTCTCCCGGCTTTCACGTCTGCTCAGTTCTTCGTTACTGGCCGTGGGCACTATGGGGAGTCCCAACTTCAATGCATAGAACAGCCGCTTTTGCAGACAGTCTTTAGAACCGCTTTTCGGAACGTCCACTTTTGACAGAAATTCCTGCAATGTTTTCACGTCGAACTGCCTGACACATCCCCAAAGTTCTTCATCAGTGACTTCAAGGTTCATGCTGAACAAATTACTCAACTTCTTAAAACGATAAAAATAAAAATGATAATTATGGTTACACTTTCAAACTAGGCGCTCTTTGTACGTACGGGTACGGGTACGACGCGACGTGACGAAAAAGTATTAACAAATTTCCTTACCAACAATTTTTCCCACTGTCCTTTGCGCGCGCATGCGCAGTGGCAAAATCGAGCTATCTGTTATAAGGCCCATGTGCATAGGGGTGCGCGCCTGATAAATTCCCATAGACACTAGTGCTAAATGTCCATACTTCAAAATTCATTTAAAAATACTCAGAACTCTCACAGGTATTCAAGCTGCACAGAAAAATGATGATCAACATGTCATCTTTCATTTTCTTTTCAATTTTGGGTGGGTTGACCATTGACTTTTTGAGATATTCTCACCCAAATAAGAACACCCCTAAAACGAATGATGTTTCCCGAACTGGAAAAGTAGCCATTTTGAAAAAGAATCCCTCCACAACATGGCTAAATAGCGCCACTTTCGAGCCCAATATCATCCAAAATGCTCAGAATTGGAAGCTCCAAGTCCAGGCCAGAGGTTCAGTGCCACATGTCTTCAATTCCCCAATTCCATGGTTCTCAGAACTCTCTAATATAGAATATTTTGAGGGTATAACTTTTATTTATGAGCTCGGCGGACGGATTTTTGGTCTATTTACAGGCGTGCACCCTTTAATAGCAGGCAACTCTCAAATTTTAACACAAAACCACATTCAGGAGAAGTAGAATATCTTCAAAGTCATTATTTTGAAAAAAAAATGAAAAATATTGCCCCTCGGAGAAACCACAGGGGCTAATGTGTAGGGTGTGGCTATGGTGTTTTCTACTGTTTTGAATAGGAAAATACAGCTTGTGTGCATGCAATATGCACATGGAAGTTGTTTTTTCTTTCCTTCTCACTTCAAATTTTGCCACATATTCCTTTCTTTTACATTTGCAATGTGTGTGAACTATTTTCTTGGTTCATCTGGGGTCACTTTGTGGTGGCCATAACCACTTTAGGGGCGGATCAAGGGTGAAAAGAAGGGGGGGATAAATTAATTTCAGCACAGCTTTAACATTTTGTATATGCAACTGTACAGGGTGCCCTGTATTTTAATGGTGGCATGTAACATAAGCAACATTACAACAGTAGTATTTTGGTCATTTCTTAAATTACTGCAAGCAATGAACACCCTTGAAAGATCAAAAACTGTACACAATGGGCCTTGATGTTGTGCACTAATCCCTAGCGGTGGCTGCCTTTTATTCTCTGAAAGTACATGCTGAAGATTTATTATATGACCCTATTTATGACTCCCTGGCCCTGTCCCCATCACAGCCCAGCCTCTTTAGTACTAGCTGGGCTAATTACTGTCTCCAAAGATTCCATTGTAAAACACCTATCTTCCATCCCCCACCCACCCACCCACCACCCCCCCCCCATAAAATAACAAAAGAAATAAACTCTCTGTACAGACTGGCTTCTGAATTATTAACCAAACTTGTGCTGTATAGTCATCACTCTGGCATTGAGAGTTAGTGTGACCACATGCATTCTGTCACATGCTCACACAGGGAAAAAACAATCTCAATTTTGCAAAACCAGCTATTTCTGCAGCAGTTTCAGTATGGGTCGATTGGGACGAGCAGTGTACAAAAGGAAGAAAAGCTGGTTCCAGAATGGCCATAAACTATTCCCTGCAAAGTGTAAATCCCCAATCAGTCATTTTCAGATGAACTCACCAACAGTGTACACAAGGCCAACACAACAGCAGATGCAACTTGCTGTTGAAAGAGATGAGCGGGGGTTCATCTGTACCACGCCCAATGCAGTGCCGACAAGGAAAGTCATGCTGCTTCGACCAAACGTTGCTGAAACTACTCCCCTTGACAAACTCCAACTCAAGAAGGAAGCAGTACCACAGCCCCTCTGTAGAAGAGAACTCCAGCACCAGAGCCCAGCTGATCAGTCAGATGGAGGGAAGCGAGCAGCCTACCGGTTCGTCGACATCAATTCTGCAGTCGACTTGGGAGCGCAGGCTATCCTAGATCACCAACGCACACATCCTGATTGCAGCGGCCGGCCCACATTGATCTATGCCAGATGCTGAGGAGCGACGAGGTTTGGCTGTGTCCGAGGTACTGTCCTGCCAAAAGTGTGGGTTCTGCACTGACAAGACAAAACTGTTCACCGAAATTCCACAGACGGGGAGAGGACGACGGACTGCCACTCCCAACATGGCGTTCCAGGTTGGTCTTTACAACACCGGCATTGCAGCTGCTGGGGCTAGGCGGCTGTTGTCTGCAATGGACACAACTGTTCCCTCGATAAGTAGCCTGCAAAGTACATCAAACAAATGTGGTGAAATTATCACCACAGAAAATGAAACGGACATGTGCAACAAGAGAAAAATCGTGAAAGACATTCATGAACTGCAGGGTTACGAGAGACACAGCGCAATTGCAGTGGAAACTGACAGACAATATAATAATCCCCTTCGAAACTGTCGCAAGAAAACACCCTTCGTCGCAGCCACCCAGACAAGAGATGTTGTCGTTGAAAATGTGACAACCAGCAAGTATGTTGTCATGTACCACCAGGAGAACAAACTTTGCAAAAAATGTGACATTGACGGAGCGAGGGATCACAAGCACGCAGGGAAATGCACGGCCACTCGTCCACCGAACTTCAATATGGGAGATGAGCGCAACGGGGGCATTCAGTGCGCCCAAAAACTTTTAAACTGTAAAGAACCTTTGTTTGTAAATAGGGTGACAACAGATGCCGACGGTTGTCTGGCACGGGGTATAACATCACATATGCAAAGTAAGGTGGCAGGTATGGAAACTGAACATTCGTTAGATCCGCCTCATTTAAACCGATCACTCTGTACGGCCATAAGTCGTGCAAAATTCAGTAAAGAGATGTTTCCAGGCAAAAATAAAAGGGCAAAGAAAAACATTCAAGATCGATTTGCCGATGACGTCAGCCACAGGGCACAGGCCGAGGCTGCTGCTATACTGAAAAAAAGCGGTGGGAACACTTCCCAAATGACGACCATGGCTAGAAATGCAGCAAGTGCCATTGTTCAATGTTACATGGGGAATCACGGCCTTTGCAAAAAGTGGTCCCAAATTTGTATGGGTGGTAAATATCGGTTTCCATACCTGCCAGTCGATGCCCGTGGCAAACTGAAATTAGCAACTTGTGATGAACAGACTCTCATCAAACTCCTAGGCAAACGACTTGGCCAAGAAGCCCTTGAAAAAACTAAATATGGCACCAGTACTCAAAAAGCAGAATCAATGAACCATGCCTTTGCAGTAACCAACCCTAAGGCCACACTAACCTTCTCAAGAAATGGTTCTTGTCGATCGAGACCATAGCGCAGTGCACTTGGTGAATAACAGACACGCCAATTCAATAGTCAAAAAGTGCGCAGCTGCCGGTTGCCCAGTAACTGCAGGCTCCCCAGCTGCAAAAGCCCTTGCTGAAATGGATAAGAAACAAAAACAGTATGTTAAACGTGCTAAAGGTCAGGAGTACAAAACACGCAGAGCACAATTGCGTTCTCAAAGATTCCAGCTGTATTATGCCACACGGCCACTGTATAAACGTGGCCAACTGGATCCTAAGCCAGACGATGGTTTGAAAAATGTCTGCCACATCATCCAATCTGAACACAATTACTGCAAACGTTTTTAAATTATGTTTTTGGAATGTAACTGACAAATTTATTGTTCATTACGATACCTTAAAGCAGGCACACCCGGTACCCATCGTGCCCTTGGCACTGCTTGAGTCGTTTGCAGACTTTTCTGCTATTATTTACAGCCCTAGGTTCCAGGGACAAATGCTCGAAACAAACGCACAATGAATTCTGGCACAGGTGACTTACATCCCACTCCCGTGGCATATTTACATTTCCGGTGTGTGCCATGTAAGCCGCCCTGTGCACAGACTTCAGAGTGCGTTTGTTCGAGCCTGGCATTTTCAGGGAAATGATGCCATAGGATTTTTTTATGCATCCCCGCCAAAGCCGGCATCCTTTTGAAGGCTGAAATCTGCTCTTTTTTGCAATCGCCCATTTAATTCTGGCGCACCACGACTCCATGTCGGCCATTTTGTCTCAGTGTTTTTCAGGAGCCCAGAAATCCATTGGCTAAAAGTTTTTTACCTTGGATGTGAATGTCCACCCTTCACCATCCATTTTATTACAAGTCAAAATTTGATTTGTACAAGCTCAAACAAGTACAAACAATATTATTCACTTATTTTTGTCTGAATAAAGAAAGAACTGTGCCTTCTCTGTGTTCGATTTCAATAATAACCAATTAAAATACCCCGAAATGGAAACAAAATAAGAACATGCAGAGACTGGGGTGAATGACTCATTGTTTACATTTTTTTAACGGTTCACTTACATGTAAATGCTAACTTCCACAGTGTGTTTTGAATAAAAACCTGAAAAATCAAAGATACAGAGTGTAAAATGTTTGTTTTCATATCTATTTTAACTCAATTTAAGCTTATTTTGTACTTACAGCAATAAAAAGCACACGTTGAAATCCCCCGTCATAACAACATGGCCGCCACCACTCAGGATCTATAGGGTGCGCGCCTGCAAATAAATTCCCATAGACACTAGTGCTAAATGTCCATACTTCAAAATTCATTTAAAAATACTCAGAACTCTCACAGGTATTCAAGCTGCACAGAAAAATGATGATCAACATGTCATCTTTCATTTTCTTTTCAATTTTGGGTGGGTTGACCATTGACTTTTTGAGATATTCTCACCCAAATAAGAACACCCCTAAAACGAATGATGTTTCCCGAACTGGAAAAGTAGCCATATGGCTAAATAGCGCCACTTTCGAGCCCAATATCATCCAAAATGCTCAGAATTGGAAGCTCCAAGTCCAGGCCAGAGGTTCAGTGCCACATGTCTTCAATTCCCCAATTCCATGGTTCTCAGAACTCTCTAATATAGAATATTTTGAGGGTATAACTTTTATTTATGAGCTCGGCGGACGGATTTTTGGTCTATTTACAGGCGTGCACCCATAGCGCGTGAGGATATATGCCGACGATTGACGGCGTACGGGACGAATAACGAGGAGAGCATTGACCAAGGCTAACAACGAAGCTGTACAAAGGCCTTCGTGAATTCTTGGGGGTGTTAATTTTTTTTCTCGAAATGACGTTGTCGAAGTACATCAGCACACTGTTGTCGTGTCGACTTTCTCGCGGTACATATTCGGAATAATTATTATTATTATTATTTTTATTATTTTATTATTATTATTAAATGGTATATTTCACTCTTTCGTTGCGGCCCAAAGGCTGAATTGTGGGAAGGCTTACACTAAAAACATTAAAAAATAGACAGATTAAAGGGAATATACAACATTTGCAAACATCGGAAAATAAAACTACCAAGTTTTTGCGAAATACCTTAATAGGATGTTGGTAAATGACAGTCTAAAGCATCCTGTAAAATTATGGCACCTGGTATACTGTCATTTTCAAGAAAAGTGGTATTTTTGTATCAATTTCCAACGCTGATCGGCCGATCAGCGTTGGAAACAACTGGCTTTTTTTTCAAATACTGGCCCCAATTGACCATTGCACTTGTCTGCAATCGATTACAAACCTATGAACGGGTACGAGCCAGCTAGACTGGTTCCCTGACCTTACAATTCCCAAATGTATGTAAACTGCTCTGTTTCTTCTTATATGGAGTCAGGGAACCAGACTACAGGAAAATGATCGTTTTTCTTGGTTTTTATAGCATTTTCGAACCCAAAACCTCCAAAAAGTCAGTGTTACTATATTTGCTTTATATTTCCAACCCCCCAATTCCATCCATTTCTGAAAATTACAGCAAAAGCCAATGATGTATATTCCCTTTAAGTAGAAACTGTATGCATTACAACAAAAATAATTACAAAACCGGTAAAAAAATTATAATAGGAGTTACACAAAATAATGCATGTAACAACAAGAATGGAGGTTCACAACGAAAGAGTTTAAAAAAAAAAATGACTAAAGACAGTTGATTAAAAACTGTTGGGAAAACAAACATGGAGAAATATGGATTGCTCAGATTACGGGGAAAAATGGAGAATAAAAATCACACCAGGATATGAAGCGTAAAGCTTATAGTTGTTATTCAGCAGGTTGGTTAAGAATGGGATTGTACTATTCTTGTATCGGTTGCTTCGACATCGAGGGATGGACAGAGTACAAACATGTATTGGTAAATTTGGTATTGCGGAGATTGTTTTACTTTAACCTTTTTGGGTGGGAGCCTGCAGTCACGGTATTTATGAGATGAGAGAAGATTTTTCACAAAACTTTAAACAGAGATGATCACGTCGTGGCTGGAGAGAGAGGATTTGTAACCTATTAGACATAAGGTCATAGGGAACGTGCTCGCAAACATCAATGGAAAGGATTGTGCGAAATGCTCTTTTTTGTAATGTTTTTGAGCGATTCCCTGTGTTCCTTCGTCAATCCAGAATGCCATACAGGACATGCATACTCAGCAGTGGGTCTTACGTACTGCATGTAAACAGTGACCAAGTCATCAATGGGTAGACCACAGCGTTTAAGTTGGCGTAAGAAGTACAGTCTGCGGTTAAAGGAATTGCACATTGTAGTCACCTGGGTGTCCCATCTCAGATTGTTTTGAATGTAAACACCAAGAATTCTCAAACAATTTGATTGACCAAGGACTGAGGCACCTATTATGGCAGGTCATATTATGTACATGTACTTAGTGAAATCATTGTGATTTCAAAGAACACGGTCATCAAAACAATGTTTGACACATTTAGTGTTTGTTTCAATTTAAATGTACGTTTTCAACCCATTAAGACGAGGCTGACTGGCGTGACAATTCCTCCACGATTGAGAATTTCTTTTGATGTGACTGACAGCAATTTTTCTGCGAACCATTTTCATGAATATAGGCCTAAATACATATGTATCTTAAAAACGATAAGAAACGGTGATTTTCCCTTATTATCGTTACAGAAAAGTTTATACTTCTTTTCGTTATTTTATATCTTTGGACATGAATGTGTCCTGACCAGGAGGATCGTGGCTACGGCCTCTCCTTCTCCACCCAGTTCCCAACCGATTGACGCCAATCCAGTGCGGTCCTGTTTACATGCTGTCATGAAGCCCCAAATCAAACACACAACGCCAGCTGAAATTAACAAGACCAGCATGACCGATCGAAAAAAAATCACTAAAAAAACAGACACAAAACAAAACATATTAGGCTAAGTAGTAAATATATCTTTGAGGGCATCTGTTTGGTATGCATATGCCGCGTGGCATTAAATAATTTGCTCTCATCATGTATCCTCTGTTACAAGGAAAAAAATCACGATCACCGACCTGTCTATTGTTAATTTCCAAAGACGTTGACGGTCGTGGTTGATGGAGCTTAGGGGCGGAGCTAGCAAGTCACAGCTTTTTCATTGGCTGGGACCAAAACGGCCGTTTTGCATGTGTGCAAAACGCATGAACACTAATAAGACCAACAGCGGGCGCAATAAATTTGATTAGGGTTTCAAAAATTTCTACGCGAGTCGTTAATTTGCATAAAAAGTGTCCCCCCACAATTTTTTTGTAAAAAACGAGACCGTGTAGTTCAAAAATCGGTGGAATCGTGCGAATATAGCCGAGGATCATCTCCCTAGCTTTTGGGCTATTATCTAAGAGCAGATTTGATAAAATTAGGGTCCAAATATGGGTCCTATTTGCACAAGCAAATGTAGGGATGCCACTGGTAACTTTGGCAGTATGCAGGCTCAGCATTACCGGCAGGCTTCAAGCCGTTGATGGGCTTTTAAAAAGAACTTTTGCAAATGGGAAAGACACTTTGAAAACATCCAATCAGTTTGAATATGCTTCATGAATTTCTGAATAAACGAGCACATTTTTAACAGTAGTTAATTACAATTATATTTTGGTGTGGTGGTGGGGAGGGGTTGGCTCGAGGGGGGCTAGACAGAAGATAATCAGAACGGCGCAATAAGACCAACAGCGGGCGCAATAAATTTGATTAGGGTTTCAAAAATTTCTACGCGAGTCGTTAATTTGCATAAAAAGTGTCCCCCCCCCACAATTTTTTGCAAAAAACGAGAACGTCTAGTTTAAAAATCGGTGGAATCGTGCGAATATAGCCGAGGATCATCTCCCTAGCTTTTGGGCTATTATTTTAGAGCAGATTTAATAAAATAAGGGTGCAAAAATGGGTCCTATTTGCACGAGAAAATGTAGGGATGCCACTGGTAACTTTGGCAGTATGCAGGCTCAGCATTACCGGCAGGCTTATTACGGACACACTCTCGCAAAATGTGGTCCGGCAGCTTTCTTATACCAAGACCTCGTTGGCTTTGGGTTTTGTACGTAAACCTTATCAGTCAGCCGATCACGCTCTATTGACTTCGGCCAAACCGCAAGTCCCATCATAAGAAATAAGTTAACAATGTTAACCGGACCATTTTTTTCCAAGAGTGTGTCTCTAATGTTCTCTCTAAATCAGTGGCGTAGCCCCGGTGTGTGTGTGGGGGGGGGGGGGGGGGACGTGCCACCCTCCCCCCAAGAAATTGTTCGTGCCCCCCAAGTGCCCCCCCCCCCCATCAAAATACTGATAATGACATTGGCCCCGAAAGTGGCTCTATTATCTTATGGAGTGGTTGGATCAATTTTGGAAATGGTGTTGAACGTCGGGACTGCTTTTGAGTAAAGTTTAATTGTTACTCTTTACCTGTTTACGCTGCTCGTCCGTCATGCCGCCTCGCTTGTACGTGGGTGTTTCAATGACGCCAGGGCTACAACAATGATAAACATGAAAAAGGAAGAAAAACCCAGAAGTGTCATTATATCTTTGCAACAACACGTGTTCCAACACAAATTACCAAAACCGGCTCAGAATTTTGTCTTCACAAAAGTAGAACAATTGGTAGAATTCGTAAAACTGTCTGACAGGCTCCACGACTTGCCTTTAGCGATCCGTGGGTGAAAAAGTGAAGCTTTAAAAGCAAACCCTATAATGTATCAAATTAAGAGGTACAAATACAATATAGGCCTATAATAATGTCTTTACAAAAACCTCACTATTTGAACATATTCGATATGCATCAACTTCTAAATACACGAGGAAGGACTTTTCGACGAGGATGATTTCAGGATTCAAATGACCAAGTTTAGTGTAAAACAAAAGGGGAAAGTCAATTGTAAGAAACACTCACTTGACCAAGTTGACCCTCACTTCATAAGGGGCCAAATCTGCAAAGGGCAAACACAGGGAGTGGAGATCTTTGACAAATATTAGTTTGAGATTTAAAACAATGGTGTTGAAATAAAAGATGAACGATACACGACGGGTTGTAAAATTGTACAAAATATATGTATTTTTGTTTACATGTTTATGTTTTACACTATCAAATTATTTTCAGAACAAATGACAAATGTTTACTATGTTTGAATATGGAAGGTTTCATGCTGATGCCATATGTTGACTGATTCACAGGATTTTGAAGACTTCGTGCTGATTTTATGTTGATTAAATTGTAATAAGTTAATTTATTCAGATGTGTCGTTGAGAAACCTAAGTTTAGCTGAGCAGTATTTTTTTCTGGCAAAATTGCTCACTAGTACTACAGGCAAAGAGTGGTGACCAATGAATTTTAAATAATCTCTGCTCTGGTCTCGTGCTGTGAAATTTGCCATGTGCACGATTCTGTGTGAAGCAATCCAGCGCTGCCTTAGACATACAATACGTCACCATCCCTGTCACCTGCAGAAAAAATTGCTTTTAATTTCAAACCGAAAACCAAAACATATATACTAACATGAATACATCCAACTATACCAATTACCATGAGTGAGAACTAGACAAAACTCGAAACCAACTATCCGTAACCAACCACCTTGTCTGTGAATACTTACCGCCATAATGCCATAGAGACTGGAAACTTTTACAATGGCACCTTTGAGGGAAAAAAACCATGAAAACAAGTAAAACATTACAAATTGTAAAAACAATTCTTCTGAAATCAGTGGAGTACATGTACTTCCGAATGTATGTCAGTTACTGCCACAAAATGAGACAAAACCTTCACGTAGTCGCTAGAAACATCACATGGTCGCCATGGCAATGTCAAACTTAAATCTGGAAAATTGCTTTTTAAAATATTAGTGGGAAAAAAAATACAAACATTCTTTAATTGTTGGACAATTCTTACATATATTAACACAGAGCCCAACTGTCATCGCAGATTACTTCCCGGCTAATGCCGGTACCCATTTATACTCCTGGGTGGAGAGAGGCAAGTGGGGATGAAGTGGCTTGCCCAAGGACACAACATGGCCAGCCGTTGGATTCGAACTCCTGACCCTCTGATCATGAGTCACGCAACTAAACATTTTCTTAACACAGATTTTGCTCAAGTACCTTGTGTTTGAATTACATGTGGTTTGAGTAGATGTGTGAGTTGTAACGGTGCCCGGACGTTGACAGCAAACGTTTTGTCAAATTGCTCCAGAGTAACGCTCTCCAATGAAGCGGGGATAGCGACACCCGCATTGTTGACCTACAAACAATACCAACGTCTATGTTTCGTTTATAAACGCTTCAAGCGTTCCGCGCTTTTACAGTGTGGCATTCAAGTCGTTCAAACACTTTTAAAAACAAGCTTTTATAGATATGTTAAAGTGTTTAAAAAATCAGTGCCGTTTCACGAACGGCGTTTACACTGTGCACGGAATGTTTCTAATTCGTCAGATTTCAGTTTAAGCAGCTGAAAAACTTCAACCGGCTGTTACTTGGTAGGATTTGTTGGGGTGGTTTGGTACATGGGTATCTGCATGACTCAAAATTTAAATAACAGGTGTAAGTCCGTTGAACATCGTCTCGATCTACCCTTCAACGAGTTTGCGCGTTCAAGTGGGTTTACATCGTCTGCTGGACGCCGCCATGCATGCGAAGACGCGCAACAATTGAGATGCATACTGCAAATACATGCACCATCCATACATCGATCAAACGTCTTGAATAAAGACTAGTGTCTACTAACCAGTACATCCAAGCTGCTATGTGAATATGGTCTCATCAGCAACTTTCTTGACATCTGCCTCTTTCTCGAGATCAGCTACAATCAGCAGAATCTGAGGAACTTAACAGATGTTCACAGAACATGGATAAGCCCCCCCCCCCCCCAAAAAAAGTCTCCGGTTTCTGGTATGCGCACACGTCGCCGTAGCCATGAAAAAGGTTGTTTTTTTTAATGAAAGTTGATGTCTCAAACCCGCCAAACCCACTGGTTTGACTGGAATCCTACTGCTGCACAATTTTAGCGTGTTTTTAGATTGGGTTATGGCCGAGAATAAGCTTTATGTGGCCTCTCTGGACTCCCATATATTTGCACTAAGTTTAGTCGGGCACCATTTGCAGTCATCAGCCGACATTTGAAGCAAAAAAAAATCAGGTAAAAAAAAAAAAAAATGAGCCGCGTCGATCGCCGCACCAGTTTTTGGGCAAGCTCCATACCAGAAACCGGAGACTTTTTTTTGGCCTAAGGAAAGGAATGCTAAATAGGCCACTATAATGACGGCATGAATGTCGTCTATAGCGATGCTGATCTGAATTGAAAACTTGGCTTAAAAATGGGCTTCATTTTGATATTGATTTTGACGTGGACGCTCATGGAAAGCGAAGTTAAATGCCCTCAGGCGCGGATCTAGGGGAGGGGGTAAACCCCCCCCCCCCATAGCTCTGTCCAAAAAAAAAAAAAATATCATGCGAAACCCCCCCCCCCCCCGCTGTGACACCCCAAAAAATTATTCTGGTATAATGTCCGCCTGTTCAAAATACGGTACACGATTCTGTAATCTAGTGTTAATAATCGTCGAATTTGAACAGCGCCCCCTATTGAAATATGGTACCAGCCCCCCTCCCTAGTTTTGGATTTTACGGAGGCCAAGCGTCCGGAGAAAAAACCTGTGTACATTTTCATATTTTTGGGCTGATACCCCCCCCCCCCCCACCCCCTCCCCAACCCCCTGCGTGCGAAAATTCCTGGATCCGCCCCTGGCCCTCAAAACAGTTGAATGCACTCCATGCCTGTATTTACAATTATTGGGCAATTTCAAGTGCGTAAATTCCCTGCTTATACAGGTGACAAATCCCTTAGTGATACGATAGGCCCGCGGATTGTTTTTTTTCTGTAGTTGGGCGAAGCCATTTTCGTGAATATTTCAGTAGTTTCATTTGGATCATTGCGAGACACTTAGATTCTCCTTCTCTTTTTTTCCCTTAAATTAAAATAACCCCACCGATACATTTAGAGAAGAAAACTAGTCGATGTAAATAAGGCCAAAAAAAGTCTCCGGTTTCTGGTATGCGCGCGCGTCGCCGTAGCCATGCGCGTCGGCAAAATGAACAAGTTTTTTTTTCAATGAAAGATGATGTCTCAAAACCGCCAAACTCACTGGTTTGACTGGAATCCTGCTGCTGCACAATTTTAACGTGTTTCTGGATGGGGTTATGATCGAGAATAAGCTTTATGTGGCCTCTCTGGACTCCAATATATTTGCACTAAGTTTAGTCGGACACCATTTGCAGTCATCAGCCGACATTTGAAGCAAAAAAGTCAGGTAAAAAAAAAAAAAGCCGCGTCGCCGCACCACTTTTTTGGCAAGCTCCATACCAGAAACAGGAGACCTTTTTTTGGCCTAAGCATCGGTGGATTCGAACCAATGTCTACAAGAAATCAACCTTATCTTTAGGCAAGTCATTCTGTTGGCATTCCTCAGCGACCGTCTTCAGATTGGCTTCATTCCAACCATCAGAGACAGATCGAGAGGTTGGATTGATAGTCACATTGTATTCAAGGAGCAAGGTATCTTACTGTCGAGAACAAGAATTGTTTTAATGTAATACACTTTCCTGACACCTCCCACCAGGAAAACTCAAAGATGTACTGTCGCGGACACCGTGACCAAGTGTCTTTATTTCATAATTTATTAAATGGTTGATTGAATCAAATCATGACTCGCAGCTCAGGGCTGAATTGTTATTATCATTACTCACGGTTTATTAAAATTGAAAGTGGTCATACCCAGGGCAAAATTGCATTAAATTCACAATGAGTAATAAAAGTCAACAACACAAAGTTCAGCTCCACTAAAAGAAGATTACAATAGATTAAACACAGACAGAATTATTGCACAATTTCAAAAATATTACACATGCACACAAGAATTAAAAGGGCAGCCAGAGACAAAATTTGCAGTGAATAAAGAAATTAGGAGTGTAAACAAAAACACAAGACAGCTAGACTCTTTATGGCGCAAAATTCAACGGTAAAGTATTGAGCTGCTACAGACAGTTTTCCTTCAGTAGTTTAACCATATATGGAAATGCACTATTAGAAATACACTCAAAACATACCACAAGGAACGCAATGAATACAATTGATATAGGGGTGAGAAAATAAAAGACTAAACGTTGCAGTAGCATCAATTATTGCATAAGAAAATACAGAGGTAAAGGATTGAGCAATTAATTATTTACTTATTTAACAATTACAGACAATTTTCGTTCAGCCATATAAGGACATGCACTATTAGCATGTCTCTGTGTGCGTACTTTTTGGGGTTTAACATGTACATTATTGAACATGATTTACAATAACTGGAAAAAAAGTAATCCCATAAAAATACCATTATTACCATTAAAATATTAAGAAGTACCAGACAAAACTGACCAAAAAAAGGAATACACGACAAAAACAAAAGTACACTAAAAAACTGTTCAGAACATAAAACGCATGAATTATGGCATTAATGCCATTAACAAAAAACAAATATAAATTTGAATAGAAGTGTGGGAACTATAGTGTTAATTAGCAACTATTGAGTAAGCAGATCAGGTAAGGCAATATTATAATATTGATATATTAAAAAGTACCAGACAAAACTGACCTCATACAAAAGAAAACCAATCATGTTCTTGCAGTCTGATGGTTCCCTGACCCCACTTAACATGAAACGGAGCAATTTATAGACTAAGTTGGGGAATTGTAAGGTCAGAGAATCAACCTAGCAGGTTTGAACCCCTTCACATGTGTGTACTCAACTGCGAAAAGAAAAACTTCGGAATAACTATTTATGAAAATTTAGGAGCATTTTTTGAAAAAAGAAGAAGTTAATTTTCTCCAACGCTGGTTCTCCAAAGTTTTCTTGAAAATGACAGCACACAAGTAGCCACGATTTTACAGGATGCTTGAGACTGTCATTCCCTAACAATCCGGTAAGGTATTTCGTGATAATTTGATCATTTCGTTTTGCGATGTTTGCAAATGTTGCATTTTAAAGACAGTGGTTGTCGTCGAGCTCAGGCTACCACAGTAGCCTATAGTGGATAGCGTGATGAGCTATGGATACAAAGATCCAGCTTTTTCGAATCCGCGTCGAGTCGCTGCTTATTTTCCTGGATTATTTTTTTTCTATTTTTCTCCTCTAAATTTATCGTCGAGATAATTTTAATTGAAGGGAAAAAGAAAACGAAAGCCTATGTGTCTAGCTATGATTCAAAGAAAAACTGTGGGCAAATTATTCAAGATTTTCAACGGAAGAGGGGGGTACCTAGGGCGAATTATTGTTTTCTCAAACGAGATCCGACAATATCAAAAGAGTTCTCTCTCTCTCTCTCTACGTTCACCGACGATTGACACAATGGCAGTTGATTCGAGGACTGGTTGGGAAGTAGTCCTGACTGATATCAGGTGATCCGAGTTCAGTGGAAAATACTGGAAAATATATGCCGATTGTTACGGCGCATTGTTATGGTTTTTGAGCTTGTCAGAACTCTCGAACCGTTATGGAAATAGTTACTGAACAAATATTAAAAACACAAAATCCGCCCCCCCCCCCCCCCACCACCACCACCTCTACACATGGTTGATGAACCATATGTGCCAGATGAAATAACCACGCAAAATGGTAATTTCCAACAACTTTACTGTTTCCCGAGCCACAGACGTATCCAGTACGAGTACTATCTGTAATGGTCCGGTTGGTCCCTATTACAATCCTCCGCCCCCGGGGACCCAGTTTTCTTAATAACCATAACAAAAAACTAGAAATGTGTTTGTGGACAAACACTGAGCTGTTTCGACCGTTTTATTAATGACTGCCGTAAAGGAATTTCATCCAGGTCGAATGAACATGTACATGCGTATTCTATACAAAAAGTGTGTCCATCCTATGTAAAAAAAAAAACATTTTTCATGACGTCATGATGACGGCACACATTTTTTGAATTTTTTTGTATCTATCTACGACCTAACAAACCTTTTGCAAAAAAGAATTTCGAAGTTACCACGTTACATTGATGAGATATGAGTAAAAGGTCCAAAAATTGAATAATTCATATAAAATCAAATGATGACGTCATCGTGACGTCACTGCAATTTTTGTCTATAACACTGCCTGGAATATCTGCATACCGACATTGAACCTAATCGGACATCAGGTCCTCTGAGGTCGATCGGACCGTATTTTATATAATTTTTGCAAAATTTGAAGAAAATATTAAAATTTGAAAAATTCATAAAAAATCAGACGATGACGTCATGAAGACGTCACTTCAGATGTTGAATGCTTTTATCTATACCTACCTACCCACCAAGTTTCATAACGATCGGACATACCCTTATATGTGAATCAAAAAATCATGTTTTTGATGATGTCATGATGACGTCACACATTTTATGAAATTGTGTGCATCTATCTATGACCTGACAAACATGTTACAAAAAGAATTTTGAATTTACCATGCTCCATTCATGAGATTTGAGTAAAAGGTCCAAAAATTGCATAATTTATATAAAATCACATGATGACGTCATCGTGACATCACTGCAATTTTTGTCTATAACACGTCCCGGAATACTTGCATACCAAGTTTGAACCAAATCGGACTTCCGGTTCTGTAGATATAGGACCTTAAAGTATGTACTTTTTGGATGACGTCACGTGACACGTGATGACGTCATGATGACGTCATGATGACGTCATGATTCGGCATACATCTTTAGGTGGTGTTCTAAGTTTCATAACGATCGGACATATCCTTATATGTGAATCACAAAATCACGTTTTTGATGACGTCATGATGACGTTACACATTTTATGAAATTTTGTGCATTTATCTTTTTCCTAACAAACATGTTACAAAAAGAATTTTGAATTTACCATGTTCCATTGGTGAGATATGAGTAAAAGGTCCAAAAATTGCATAATTTATATAAAATCACACGATGACGTCATCATGACGTCACTGCAATTTTCGTCTATAACACGTCCCGGAATACTTGCATACCAAGTTTGAACCAAATCGGACTTCCGGTTCTGTAGATATAGGACCTTAAAGTATGTACTTTTTGGATGACGTCACGTGACACGTGATGACGTCATGATGACGTCATGATTCGGCATACATCTTCAGGTGGTGTTCTAAGTGTGTGCCAGGTTTGAAGTCAATCGGATTTGAAAAAAGTCCAAAAGTGCCCTGTAGAACGAAAACACGTGTTATCCTATGGGAAAAAAAGTGGAAGAAAAAAAAAAAAAGAGAAAAAAAAAAATAACAAAAACAAGAGCTGTTTCGGTGTGTACACCGAAACAGCTAAATATAAAACCGATTCTGTTGAACCTCCATCTAATCCTAGCCAGAGACACACACTACGGATATATGCAGTCACCTTTAGTGTGTGACCCCGGGTCAGGCATAATCTGAGCCTGACAGTGACAACCTGGGCTGGCGACAAACCTCCCATATACACGTGCACAAAACAAGGTCACTTGCGGGTAGACAGTGCACGGCTTGACAAAGACTATGTAAACAACATTTGTTTCCTGTGAAGGACCTATGTGAAATGGTCTCTAGTTATTATTGCTGGCCACATGTTTACGTTCTTTTGGGGGCGGGTCTTAGGCTCAGTTAGTCCAAAACTGCTGTTTACTATGGTTACAATACAAGGCTATTGACTCCTTGCTGTGGTAAAGGTGATTTCCCTTGAGTGCTATGTACAGTGTGCCTTTTTTTTATTACATCCAAAGCTTGAGACGCGTGTCTAGCCGATGGTGAAAACCTAGGTGATAATTTATGCTCCTCATTAGCATTGAATGGACCACTGGTTGTAATAGCCTGCTATTTCATAGTGGCCAGTGCATTGCATCACTTCATTCATTCATGAACTTGCTCTATGATTCATTCAAGATGGCTTCGAAGAGTGAGGAAGACGTTTTGCGAGCAGTTTTGCGAGATGATTTGAGCAGTGACAGTGAGAATGAAAGTGTTGTGGAAACTTCAGATGAGGAAGAGATTTCGTCGAGAAGCTCGATGTCAATGACTTCGGCAGAGCCTGGCAGCGATTCTGACAGCGATCCTGCGCCTCCTCCCCCCAAAAGACCGGCACACATACCACCCAAAGGGCAGCGTCACCAGCAAACACCCGCCCCACCTCCAGCGACTCCACCGGCAACAACTCCGCCTGCACCGACGCAGACTACACCGACCCGGGCTGCACCGACCCAACCAGCACCCCCACAACCAGGACCCGCCCAACCAGCACCCACTAGACCCGCACCAGCAGGGCGTACACCAGCCAGGGGTGTAGCGGCCAGACAGAGAGCACCCCAGGATCCAAATAAGGGAAAGGACGGCACAGTGTGGAGCGACCAGCCACCTCCACCTGCCAGAGCAGCCGCGGCTAACATACTGACCCAGCGAGCATCAGGCCCAAAAAACTTGGGTGGGGCTTCATCGCCGATGGAGCTGTTTCAGCTTTTCTTCCCGGCCGCTCTGATGAACATCATTCTGCGCTATACAAACGCCGAGGGCTTAGCCAGGAAAGGAAGAAGCTGGGTGAACGTGGCCATGGTGGAACTTCACGCATTCCTTGGGCTGATTTTCTACATCGGCCTCACTAAATCAGGTCGTGTGAAAGCCCGTTCGTTTTGGCGCCCAGGGGTATTTTGTCGCCCTTTGTGCAAGGCTACAATGGCGGGACACCGCTTTGAACAATTGCTAGTCATGCTCCGTTTTGATGACAAGACGACCTGCGTCCAACGCAAAGCCACGGACAAATTTGCCGCCATCAGGGAGATCTTCGACATGTTCACAGCGAGTCTTCGACACCACTTTAGCCCGGGAGAGAGCCTAACGGTCGATGAGCAATTAGTTGCCTTCAGAGGAAGATGCTCCTTCAAACAATACATGCATAAGAAGCCGGCAAAGTATGGTTTGAAGTTTTGGGCGTCTGTGGACAGTGCAACACATTATGTCTGCAACATGCAGCCGTACACCGGAAAGGAGGGTGACCAGAGAGAACGCGAACTTGGTGCTCGTGTTGTCAAGGACTTAGTCGAGCCTGTCTTCGGAACAGGTCGCAGTGTGACTGCGGACAATTTCTTCGTTAATAAGGAATTAGCGGACTTCCTCCTGACCAAGAAACTGACCCTAGTTGGAACGATCAAGGGAAATCGCAGAGAGGTCCCCCCGGTCTTGAGAAAGGAGAACGTCCACAACTCGCCAGCAAAAACATCCATTTTCCGGTACTGTGGGATGAACACAATGGTGGCTTTTGTGCCCAAGCCGAGGAGAAGTGTGTTGTTGCTGTCTTCTATGCACCACGACGGAACAATCACCCAGCCGTCTCAGAAACCTGAAATCATCAGGTATTATAACTCCACCAAGGGCGGCGTCGACACCGTTGACCAAATGTGCAGCGAGTACAATTGTGCACGAATTACCAACCGGTGGCCCATGGTAGTCTTCTACCACATGCTCAATTGTGCAGTCATCAATGCATACGTGTTGTATCTGCAGCTGTATCCCAACCTCCGCCGTAGCGAGGAATCCCGCATGAGTTTCATGGAGCAGCTTGTCTCGGCGCTGACGCGGGAGCAGATCGAGATGCGGAGACATCACCCACAGCAGCTGCGGCGAGAGACGGTGGATGCACTGAAGTTCATTGGTCTGCCAGTTGTTTTCGCCCCCGGGCAGCAAGCTCCAGGTGGGAAAACCCCAAGGCAACGATGCTCCTTTTGTCCTAAGGGCAGCCAACTCAAGACCGGCCGGAGATGTAGCGAGTGTGGATATCCAGCATGCACCATACACAGCAGAATGACAACAGTACCGCCAACTGTCACTTGCAGCAACTGTGCCATGGCCGAATAGACACTGAGAGACAATGAACATTCAGTCCTCCCTCTTTCCTATGATCAAGAGAGACAGTTTCATTGCCTTTTTCGTTGATTGTGTTTTTCCCTATTTTGTTCTTATTTTGTATATATTTATGGATCAAGTGCATCCATGCATTTTTTTTGCCACGGCTGAATAGACACTGAAAGACAAAAAACATTCAGTCCTCCCTCTTTCCTATGATCAAGAGAGACAGACCACATGCTCAATTGTGCAGTCATCAATGCATACGTGTTGTATCTGCAGCTGCATCCCAACCTCCGCCGTGGCGAGGAATCCCGCATGGGTTTCATGCAGCAGCTTGTCTCGGAGCTGACGCGGGAGCAAATCGAGATGCGGAGACATCGCCTTTTTCGTTGATTGTATCTTTCTCCATTAGTTCTTATTTTTGTATTTATTTCTGGATCAAGTGCATCCTTCCTGTTTTTTTCTGTGCCACGGCTTAATAGACACTGAGAGACAAAGAACATTCAGTCCTCCCTCTTTGTTACGACCAAGAGAGACAGTTTCATTGCCTTTTTCGTCGATTGTATGAAGTGGATCCATTTTCTTTTTTGGTTTTTCTAATAAACGTTTTTGTACGAAATCAGATTTGTTTATTTTTTTCTCCATGTAACATTACTGACAGTCAACAAAGCTGATACAGTATGTTCAAACAGGCAGACGGCTGTTTATCTCGGAACAGCAGGGCGATCAACAACCCAACCAACCCATTAGCATCAAGTTGTGGAAGAACAAGGTGTATTGGACGGTGTGATGGCAGCAGCGTAGCCAGGATTCTGAGCATGGGGGCGAGCGGGGAGGGGGGGGGGGGGCTGACTGGATGTTACATGGGGAAAATAATTGTTGCCTTAGACATACACGTAGACATTTTACGTTTCCGAAATGCAAGTGGGGGGCGACCGAGGGCGACGATTTTCATGGGGGCGTGTATGTGCCCTAGCTCCCACGCCCCCACCCCCCACCCCGGCTACAGCGCTGTGTGATGGTGCCTGGGGGCACGTGCCTGGGGCATATGGCTGCATATTTATTGTCAACAGACATGTCAAGATTGTGTTCATATAGATACAGTGTTGTGTAGCCTCGAACCATGGCGCTATTTAGCCCAAAACATCAGGGTCCCCGGAGGGACCCCTTGTAGACTTGAAATCAAGTCTGTAATGAGCGGTTTTAATCGCGTCCGCCGCGCGCGACTGCCAAGCTCTGTGCATGTGCCGGGGGTACGACATACCGCATGCTGTCCTAGTAGCGGGGACGCTACGTACATTTTCGACCCCATGCGTGTGCGACTGACCATGCCGCGCGGTGTACGTGTATGTACATCGTACATGTACATGACTTTTGCATGAATGGTTGTAGCGCTCACGTTGCGTGAACGGCGGTGGCATGGCCGGTATGCGGATTCTGGCGCTGAAGACGGACATAAACCACTTTAGTCTAACGACTTGCCATCAAGTCTAGACCCCTTGATGAAGGCGTGTCAGTAAATGGGCGTGGTGCAGCGGAGGGCCAGTGCCTGGGAGCATGTGCCTCGGGCATCTGGCTCCTTATTTATAGTCAACAGACATGTCAAGATTGTGCTCATATAGATACATGTACTGTGTTGTGTAGCCTCAAACCATGGCGCTACTTACACTGCAAAAACTGTAGTGTTAATTTAACACCATTCGGTATCTATATAGGACAACACCAGTAATATTTAACACCAGATGGTCTTATATAGATACCAATGGTGTAAATTTAACACTCGAGTTTTTGCAGTGTAGCGCTAAATATTTTGGTCCCCGGACGGACCCCTTACTGTAAGCGTGTTAGTAAATGGGCTTTCTGCGTCGGAGGGTTCTTGACCAGCAAATGCACCTTTAATTATCTCCTTTTTGCCTACCGACCGACCCTATAGACCTTTACCATGCTGCCACCATTTTAGTCATGTTCCCTGTATCCAATAACAGTACTGAATGATATTGTTTTGTGCAAAAAGGAACCAGACTATTTTTCCTTTCAGCCTCGCTTTGTTTACGTTTACTTGAAAGGGGAAAAATCATGATGGCCGCAACATGATCAATGGTCTATTCAGAGGCAAGTATATGAAAACTAAACAAATCAAACGAAATGCCCTAATGTGCGTGCGAAAATGGCTTGTCCATAGTAACCTCTTGATGGCGCACTGCATGCACTGTGAATCGTTCCCAATTAGGCCAATTTTTTTTTTGTTTCAAGCTTGGATTGTACAGACAAGGTACATGTAGGTACTATTTTGCTTTTTTGGTGTCCTCATGTACATTGGTGTCCTCCATAATTTGCCTTGGTGCTTTCGATCATTTGCCTTGGTGCAATTTCCCATTCCTTGGTGCTCTTTGGTAAACAAAATTTGAGGTGCGGAAATGGAGGTCGCTGTTGGAGCTACCGCGGAACATTTTGGGAAAAAAAAGATCGACGCGCATGATTAGAATCGATGCGCGCGCTGACCAGAGACCGATTTTTTTTTTTTTTTTTTGCCTTACCTAAATATTTTGAAAAAATATCTCGATGTGTGCTTCACTCTTTATTTTCTGGAGTCATGACCGTAAGCAGATATTTCCCGCCATCTATGGTGATGAGCTCTCCCGTGACGTAGGACGAATCATCGGAGGCTAAGAATGCTATCACCTTGGCAACCTCATCCACGGTGCCGGGACGACCCATGGCATGGGTGCGTTCACACAACTTCAAAAACTGGAACAGGAAAAAGAAGGGGAAGAGATCGAAAACTTCAAAGCAAATCTTTAATTCTCAGTTGAAAATTATTAACCCTTCATTCATCAGAGTCATAACGCTGGACTAGTTGTAGATATAGTAATTGATGTTGGGAACAATCAACCAAAATAATCCTCCTAGAAGTATTCTCGTTTTAATTCCATCCGATCATTTAAATATGGTACGATATTACGCAGTGGCGTAAATCTGTGCCGTCGAGTGGGGGGGGGGGGGGGGGGGGGGATAGGGGATGACCTACATCCAAAAATTGCCAGGCCATGGAAATTAAACAAGCGGGGGGCGGGGGGGGACACCACAGTACACTAGGGGGCGCTCTTTAGGATATAGATGTATATCAATGTGTATACTCGTGCTTACATCAAATAGGCGCATTTTAAAAGCTTGTGTACTTTGTTTCTCCACTTTTCACTGCTTTTATACAATTTGGTGGTTGGGATGCTAAAAAAACCTCGAAACCACATTGTTTTCTCATCACGAAGAAGTGGGGGGGGGGAGGATGATTCAATAGGGGGGGGGGGATACATATACCCCCATCCCCCCGGGATTTACGCCCCTGCTATTACGGCCTCAAGCTTTTATGATATCTATATGTATGGTGGCTCTGAAGGGACATCGCAAATCATCAATATTCACGTCAAAAAAAATCACGCCTCGCTCCGGCTCCGGTTGCCAATATTTTGACGTTAATATTTGAGTCCAGAGAGCGAGATACGAATTTTTTTGACGCCAACAGTGACGTCAGGATTCAAGATTTGACACAAGTCCTGACTGATTTTGTCGCCAAAATATTGACGTCCATATTCATGAGCTGCGATGTTCTTTCAGAGCCACCATATAATGAGTCGAAATTGGGGGGGGGGGGGGACTCGCATTGAACGCGAGCAGCGCACGTGAGTAGAACACGTGTGGAACCATTTTGGCGACCTGGGAACGCATTCTGAGCTTAATAACACATGACCGAAACAATGCTACAGTTCCTCCTACCTGACAACGGCCAGAGCATACTGTCTGAAACTTTGATGAGATTCCCACATGCACAAACTAGCAAAAGAGATCTGCTACCTGGGCAATTTATAAAAATAGATTCAGAGAACACGATCGAAAATGGCTTCGTCGTAAATTAGGCATATTATGTGATCTACACTGACTGTTTTACCTGCTCATAACGTTCATCCGACATGCCACTTCGCTTGAACACTGGTGTCTTAATGACGCCAGGGCTACAAGAAAAGATGAAAAGAACACAAACTAATCGACGGTATATTCTGCAACAACGAACACAAACAATTAGCAAAAGCGTCCAAGAATTTCTACTTAAATCAACTAATGAAATTGTTCATGAGGATTTTATCCTGTCTGAATTGTAAGGGGAGGGGCTTCATTAAATAAGCAATCATCAGATATGAAAGCAGCAATGATTTCTTTACCGACAAAGGTCAAATAATAATCTTTGTCGTATTAGGTTAGACAAATGCCGTGGCCGAACTCTCTGGTTGCCTTCAACTATACTTAAAGGGCCCCCCCAATGCAATTTTTTTAAATGCAACTTTGTGTCCCATTTAATCTTCAATTTTCGTGCTGCCATTTTCAAGAGTATTATGTCTTCTAGTTATTTTGTTATGCTTATGCGAATTTCCGTATTCATGAGCAAAATAATGTGTGATGTCATTACAGGCAGAAACCTCAATGTTGCAGCTATTTCAACACCAAAAGTTGCCAGAATTGTTGATATTTTGCTGTCCTGATTTTCATATTTTTTGGGTGATTTGTTGTTGTATCAGTACATAGCAGTAAGCCAATGAGCAAACTTTTCTCACAACTGTTTTCCATGAGCAAATTTTTGAGTTCATAATTTGAACAGAAAACCCATAAAACTGAACGGTGTCTTCCTGATAATAATATCATCATTCGCTTGTAGCCCCCGCCTGCAAACAGGACGCTGGAAGGTGCTGATCTCTAAGAGTTCTCATTGGACAGATTTTGTGTGACCTGTGACGTACTGCAGCGTGCTGCTGTTTATCATATACGTAGCGCGCTAGCTGCATGCGAAGGTCATAAGTTAACCATAATGCCATCCGTACTTCTTTCACAAGATTCTGTGAAGCGGCATCAGCCTTTCCCAGCGCCCTGCTTGCAGGGCGGGGGTACGAGCGAAATGAAATCACAGCAATAGCGCCCTCAGTTGTCCAGAAAATCATGGATTTTTTTTTCAAAAAAGGTTTAAAGCAGTACACTGTTCAGTAAAATTAAATCAAAGAGGGTTGTCAAATAGTTTTCATACATTTAAAAGGAGTAGAAAGTTGCACAAAATGTTTTCCTAAGGAAAAAAAAACATCTCATGGATCCTCTGTGTGGACGACTTTGACGAGGAAAAGGGACAAGAGTTTGTCAAATATAACAAAAATAATTAGCAAGCTCAGTTTAAAAAAGATCGAAATAAAAGTCGAGTTGTTAAAGACTTACTTGACTGAGTTGACCCTTACTCCATGAGGGGCGAGATCTACAATTAAAGGGGGGGGGAAGGAAGTACTCTATAAACATCATTTTTAAATAGTCAATTTATGATTATAATAAAGTATGATTCAAATGTGTGATCTAAATGTATGATTAAAAATAGATTGTAATCACTAAACATTCCACTGCAAGAAGAAATAATGCATTTGGACTGTTAGAAATGTTTCAATTTTGAGGATAAATAAACAATTTGATTATTTTAGCTCAACTGTAAGCTCATGTGGTTCAAGTTACCGTGTGTACTGTTCTGTGTTAAGGAATCCAATGCCGTCTTAGACATACAATAGGGTATCATCCCGGGAAACTGTCGGGAAAAACAATTGCAATTTCAAAACATCTTTAAAACATCTTTTGGGGAGGGCTCACCAGTATTTTTCGATTGGGGTGGGGTTAGCGAGGGAGAGGAGTGATCATGTGACGTATAGGACGCGTTATAAATTCATGCAATATAGGGTGAGTCAAAAAAAAGGAACCCAAGGCCAAACAAAAAGTCTCCGGTTTCTGGTACGCGCGCGCGTCGACGTAGCCATGCGCGTCGGCAAAATGAAAAAGTTTTTTTTTACAATGTAATGATGATGTCTCAAAACTGCCAAACTCACTGGTTTGACTGGAATCCTGCTGCTTCACAATTTTAACGTGTTTTAAGATGGGGTTACGATCGAGTATAAGCTTTATGTGGCCTCTCTGGGTCCAATACATTTTGCACTAAATTTAGTCGGGCACAATTTGCAGTCATCAGCCGACATTTGAAGGGGGAAAAAAGTAAACAAAAACAAAAAGAAAAGCCGCGTCGCCGCATCATTTTTTGGGCAAGCTCCATACCAGAAACCGGAGACTTTTTTGGCCCAAATGGTGCCCCCTATTTTTCAAAGAAGTTCTGCATGTAACGCTTTCCAGATCTAGGACATGAAAGCCCAATTACTAAGCTTCCCTTTAGTGAAAGAATCAATTTAATCGCTCATTTTCTTCATGTACTTTTCCAGTTATGGAATTTTGAACACAAACGCCGTTTTTTAACCTTGTCCACGCATCACAATAAAAGTAAGTGATATCTCAGCAAAACGAAAACTTCACATTAAAAAAAAAACACTTCAGAACACTCTAATAACTATGATAACTGGCACTTATCATTATTGAAAAGCCTACTGCTTTCAGTGTTAAAACAACATGCTTTAAAATGTCAAGAGTTTACAGCCGTGCCCTGCCTTCTCCTTGGCTACCCTGATATTTTCAGGATACGACATGCATGGTTTCATTCCTACTGAAATATCACGTACCTTAACGTGATCCGTGGTCAAGGTTAAAAAAACGGTGTTTGTCTTCAACATTCCATAACTGGAATAGTACATGAGCGATTTGAATGATTCTTTCACTAAAAGAAAGCTTATTAATTGGGCTTTTATATCCTAGATCAGAAAAGCGCTACATGCAGAACTTCTTTAAAAGATAGAGGCACCATTTGGGTTGTCTCTTTTTTTTTAATTACCCTGTATTAAAAAACAGGAACCTGAAATATAGAAATTGTGCGGGTATACGGGATGCGTGTGCGATCTGGTTATATCTCTATTTTGTGTGGTTATTTCACCATACCCGCATACCTACATCTCAACATTTTGATATGAAATAACCGTGCGAAATGGTGATATCACAAGCAACGTTTCCCGAGCCGCATATATGCCCCATAACACGCGTACCAACTCCAAGCTCCAATGGAGGCCTAGTCAGGCCGAAAATTCAGCTCCAATATTCCTAATGAGCACTGCTTTAACTTATTTTCATCCTATACAGGGTGAGTAAAACAAAACCGAAACCCAAATGGCGGGACCATTGTTTTAGTGAAGTTCTGCATGTATAGCACTTTCTAAAACTAGTATATGAAAGCCCAATTCATAAACTTTGTTGTAGTACATGAATCATTCAAGTCACTCATGCACTTGTCAAGTTACGGAAATTTAAACACAACCACCGTTTTAAGGTTCTGTCCACGGATCACAAAAAAGTTCAGTGTTCTTTCAGCAAAACGAAAACAAATCACATAGGATTGTGTGTGAATTGTTTTCGTTTTGCTGAAAGAACGCACACCTTTTTTTGTGATCCGTGGACAGAACTTTAAAACGGTGGTTGTGTATAAAATTGCGTAACTTGAAAAGTACATGAGTGATTTGAATGATTCTTTTACTAAAAGAAAGCTTATGAATTAGGCTTCCATATCCTATAAGTGCTACATGAAGAACTTCACTAAAATAATAGTCCCGACATTAGAGTTTACGGGGTTTTTACTCACCCTGTATATCTTCAGTGCTACCCAGTTCTGTTTCATATACGATATTAACTTAGGGCCTTTCCCTAGTGGGTTTTTTTTTTTGGGGGGGGGGGCTGAGGCTAGTTCCCCGATCGCTCCCTTGCGTGGTCCACTTCGTTTAGATATCTTCAAATAAAAGTAAAACTCAACTGTCCTTTTTGTCCGTTACCAAGCATCTCACTAGTGACTTCTTACCGCCATAATGCCGTAGACACTGGAAACATTCACAATGGCACCTGGAAGAAAACAAAAATGAACAGTTGAAAAGGATATTGTGTCAAGATAATTTTGCAATATGTCGCCTGTCGCCACAAAATTAGAAAAATGGCAACATGTGAATAAATCTCTTTTGTGAGTATGCGGTGGCTCTAAAAAGTACCGGTTTTAACTTAACGTTTCGGACAGCATGCTCTGTTCGTCAGGAGACTAAGTGGATTCCAACTTCGCTTCCATTCGGAATCCCCTCAGTCTCCTGACGAGTCGACGGACAGAGCATGCTGTCCGAAACGTTGAGTTAAACCGCTTCTCAGAGCCACCACACACTCACAAAAGAATTGTGTTAACATGTTGCCACAGCAAAGTTACCTTGCTGTTATCCTCGCCATGCAAACTTTTCATTCTTATAGTCAATATACATTGCTTATTTGGGTACCGGTATTTTAAATTCACTTGTGAATTTTAATTGTATCTGGGTTGTTAGATTTTTACGACATTGTGTATGTATACATGTACTGCGCACTTGAACACTAATGTGGAATCTGCGCAATATAAATTAATTATTATTAATTAATTATTATTACATGACCTGGCAATTGGACAAGGTGTAGCCTAAGGTTACTGTATACCGGTGAAGAAATTGTTCACATGCGTTTTGATGCATGTAGGCCTATCTCCATCTGCAGTTTGACAGAGAGCTGCCAATTTGCTCCGTCCTGCCTGAATTGAAGAAGATGCTATTTGACAATACAAGTCGATTTCAGCTACATGTATACCTTTAGTTTTGATGAGATGTGGTCTGAGTAGGTGTGTGAGTTGTAATGGTGCTCGGACGTTGACATCAAACGTCTTGTCGAATTTCTCCAAAGTAAACGTCTCAATGGATGCAGGATGAACGACACCTGCATTGTTGACCTACAGACGAGACAGAAATCTGACATTATTGCAAACTGACACTGATAGGCATATAAAATAAAATTTAAAAAACCCACTGATTTTCACAAAGAGACCCACTTGCATGCGACATCCGTATCAGTTACGTCTTGAGTTAAAGACTAGTGTCTGGACTAGAGCTATACTACACTAACCAGTACATCCAAGCTGCCAAAGTATTCAATGGTTTTATCAGCAACTTTCTTGACGTCTTCTTCTTCGCCAAGATCGGCTGGTATGAGGAGAATCTGAGAAAACAACGGTAAATGGGTAAATTAAGTATTCTTAAGCCTTAATTAACGGAATAACAATGTGATGGAGTAGTTATAGGTCTAAGTGGGTGGTTTTAAACCGGTATTGGGGGCCTGGCCGTTGATGTGCTGTTTCAATAGGCCGTACAATGTCAAGGTCCAGTGGTATAACGGTGTGTGAGTCATATACGATGGTACGTGGGTTCGAACCCTGCCAGGAACATGGTGTTTGTGGTCTTGGGCAAGACACTTAAAGGGAATGTACATCATTGGCTTTTGCTGTAATTTTCAGAAATGAACTATTTGAGGGGTTAGTATAATAGATCAAATTTTGTTACACTGACATGTTTGAAGTTTTTTCTACGAAAATGCTGGAAAAACCAAGAAAAACAAAAAACGTTCAAGTAGTCTGGTTCCCTGACTCCACTAAAGATAAAATGGATCAATTTCCAGATGCCGGAAAATTGTAAGGTAAGGGAACAAGCCTAGCTGGCCTGCACCCGTTCATGAATATATAACCAATAGCAAACCAAATTTGAACTGAATAAAAAATGGTACATTTTGAGCAGTAGTTGCACAATAGTTTGGTTTTTCCAACGGTGGTCTGCCGACCACCGCTGGAAACAGATACACAACTTCCATTTTCTTGAAAATGGCTTCACACCAGGTGCCATAATTTTACAGGATGCTTTAGACTGTCATTTACCAACATCCTAGTAGGGTATTTCGTAAAAACTTGGTAGTTTTATTTTTCGATGTTTGCAAATGTTGTATATTCCCTTTAACTACAATTGCCTCTCTCCACCCTGGAGTATGGGTACCTGTAAGGGTCGAGGACCGAATGTGTGCTGATATCGGCTGCCGCGTGGTCACGTGGCCGATCGTGGCCTAATGAACGGCTAATAATTGTAAAGCGCTTTGAGAGTGTTGAAACGATGGAAAGCGCTAGGCCTACATAGGCCTAAGCATTACAATTCATTTTATATTATTTAAACACCAAGCGGTGCATAAACGTCGGCTTACAACATCCACGTGACGGGCTGTCAACCAATGGGAATACGTAAACTGCCTCCTGCAGGTATTTATGAATTAAACATAAGGCAGGAACGAATGCTCAAATTGCATCGACCCGAATTAAATAAATGTTGTGTTTTGAAGGCATTTATGTTTTTATGGTAACAAAGCTGGTTCAAATGTGAGGCAGAAGTTGATGCAATGGACAGTGCATGCGAAAGGAAATTTACTGATGTTGAAATGTGAAACTTATGAAAATGGAGAGTGAAGAGTGGGTTTAGCTACCACGAGGGGTGTTAAAGCAAGCATATTGCTGAGTTTCTCTGAAGGATTTTCTTTTTATTATGCCCAAGTCGGGGGTGGGGTGGGGTGGGGGTGGGGGGTGGGGTTGACACCCAACACCCTGGTGTAAAAATATACCGTATTTAGTTTTTGAATGTATACTTACTATACGGGCAACTAACTTTATCTTTAGGCAAGCCATTCTGTTGGCATTCCTCAGCGACCGTCTTCAGATTGGCTTCATTCCGACCAGACAGAGACAGGTAGCATCCTAACGAGGCAAAATATCTGGCCGTCTCAGCTCCAATGCCAGAACTTGCTCCTACATGCAAAACAACAATCGAAAGATCCAACCAATTTGAGTCAGGGTAAGATGGTCACGTTTCCGTTTTCTAAGTGGCAGATAGCAGTCACACTTTGTGAACAAGATTTATTTTCAAAAATTGATCTGAAGTGATTTTCGAATCGAACTTACATATCTGAAACGGGACGTGTTGCATCATGACAAAACAAAGGTTTCTGCAAAAGTTAAAACCATTGCTATGACGTCACCCTATTGTTAAAATCGTGGATTCGTATCTATTAAACCATTGCTATGACGTCACACTATTGTTAAAAGTGTGGATTCGGAACTACGAATCTGTTACGCTGGTCACAAAGTGTGGATTCGGAACGAAGAATCTTTAGTAAAGTGTGGATTCGGAATTACGAATCCACACTTTGAACACGTCAGACAATTGTTCTCTATAATGAGAATTAATAGGACCGTCTGCGTGAAATACGAAATTACCAATGCATCTTCCCTGTCAGATTCTCCGCCGTCACTGCAAAACCTACTTCTAGTCAGAATGAAATGAACTATCAATTTGTCAACGGAAGGAGCCGGGACAACCTGACGCCACTTTTTTTCTCCATATATCATCTCCACTCACTGTTAATGCCAATACTTCTTTTGACGCAATGGTTTAAGTCGAAGAATACACTCGCAAGTGTGGATTCCTAATTTACGAATTCACTCGGCGCTTTCTCGTGTATTCTCCTTAACGGAATCTTTCGAATTGGACAAAAAGTGTGGATTCGTAGGCCTATATCTATGTGAATATTTAGTAAAGCGTGGCCTTCGGAACTACAAATCCACACTTTGCACAACTATTTATGTAAATAACCATGCTACGAATGCTTGCCTTTTATCTCGACTCAACTCAACAGGTTCGTGAAAATACTTCTTTTGACGCAATGGTTAAGTCAGAGAATACACTCGCAAGTGTGGATTCTTAATTTACGAATTCGCATTTTCTCGTGTAGTCTCCTTAACAACTACTCCCGACCGCCCTGCTTTACCACAACAATATTAATTTTTGTTCGGGTAGTGGGCAGATAGGGGAAATATTTGGGGGAATTGTGCCTCTGATGATACAAGCATGGCATTTGGCACACAGTCAGAGTATGTCATGAGAAAGATATTCGACTATAGGGCCATCTCAGATTGGTCCTTTGAAAAACAATTAGGAAGAATAACGAGCAATTTTCAAAATTTTCAAACTGGTTGACATTGCTTGTTATACTGCCTATATTTTTTTCAAAGGACAAAGCTGCGATAGCCTTATAGCCAAATGGGTAATTGCAGAATACCCCGCCACTCGGAAATACACCCCTAAAATCATCTGGCTACGCGGTTGGAATCGCTGGAAAAGAAATAATTTAAGTCCAAACCAATAGGGCAAAAACCTAATTTGATTTATATCACCCCGGCGCAAAAATTCCATCTTATAATAGTTTATGCGGTACCCGCTGCTATGTACATCAGATTCGAACCGGCTAACCGATCTCGGTGGTCGAGTGGTAAGACATCTGCACTCGAAAGCAAGAGGTCGTGGGTTCGAGTCCCACCCGAGTGATTTTTTTTCCAATCTTCACTCGGGAGAAAACACACTGAGTATACAGTGTTTAAACGTCGGTTAAGGGCAAAAACCTAATTTGATTCATTTTGGATGTTATTGGGCTCGATAGTGGCGCTATTTTGCCATGTTGTGGAGGGATCGTTTTTCAAGATGGCTACTTTTCTGCTTTGGGGAAAATAGGGGTCGTCTTCTTTGGGTGAGAATATCTCGAAAAGTCAACGGTCAACCCATCAAAAAATGAAATGAAAATGAAAGATGACACATTGATCATCATTTTTCTGTGCAGCTTGAATACATGTGAGAGTTCTGAGTATTTTTAAACGAATGTCGAAGTATGCGCATTTAGCACTAGTACTGTCTATAGGATTTTTTTGCAGGATTTTTTTGCAAGGTACAATCGCATGATCACCTATCTGACTTTTTTCGCTGAAAAATTCGGCCTGTATACATGATTCTTTGATAAAGAAAGCACAAAAATTCCACACCACATACATCAGTTATCAAATCATTACTGACCTGTCACAAGAGCCACTTTGCCTTTTAATGAGCTCATTGATGTTTAAGTTCGGCGAGGGGGGATGAAACAGCGAGTCGCAAAAGTGGATGAACTGCTTGTTGTAGCTCAGCATCACGGTCATCTGGACTTTGACCTCATGCACTTGGAAATGGTTTTACTATTTTGTTCCTTTATGAAGTGCAATGAGATGAAAGTGCTGGTGGGTCAGAATAAAACATAAACCAAACTACATGTATATCAAAACACGATTGTACTGGTAGGCTTTACGGTCGTTTTTGGCGATTGTTTAAAATTTGTGGTGGTACAATGAGTCAGTGTTGGAGCAAAGGCTTTAACCCTGAAGGCCAAGGCCAAGGCTTTGGCCCTCAAGGCCAAGGCTTTGACCCTCAAGCCTCGAGGCCAAGGCCAAGGCTTAACCCTCAAGGCTAAGGCCAAGGCCAAGGCCCTGTTTTATAAAATGACCACTAATATAGAACTAATTATAGTCACATGACACATCATCACAAATCGCTCATTAAGAAGAACAACTTGTCTTTAATTGCAATCAACATGCTCGCATACACTGTTTTATGACTGCATTGTATCTATTAAAGTATAAGTTCATGTCTTCGTGAATATGGTTTAACTAAAACAAAATAGCGATTTACTTCTATATTGACGCACAATTCTCCCGAGTGTAACAAAAGAGGGATCCAAGAAACTGATTTGGGAAATTTTTATTTGCTGGGCCAACATGGTCAGAAATATTAGCATTATCTAAAACAGATACATGCAAATCTTTAGCACTTATCAGGGAGACTTATACAACCAATCAGATCTATTCCATAATTGTATACAATTTAAGTGATCATCTCATTAGCCCCACAAGTGTACAGAATATTGTTGCAGCAAATCTACTACAATGGTAACAAAATGTGATGCTATAAAAGTGGAAGTGTGCCCAACACACAAATCTATAGGGTGTTTCCCTCCTCCATGGTAACACGATTAAAATGGTAACAGCAAAATTTCAAACAGATTTATCTGGAAAATGCAAAAATCTATGGGCCTTGAAGAGCCTTGACTCAAAATTGCAAGGCACTGATCCCTCAAGGCCAAGGCTTTTGCCCTCAAGCCTCAAGGCCAAGGCCAAGGCCCTAAAGTCCAGCCTTAAGGCAGCCTTAAGGCCAAGGCCCAGCATCAAGGCGCTACATCACTGCAATGAGTATTATGTCACGTTGCATCATAGAATTTTGCGCTAAGAATTTTGAAGAGGATTGAGCTCGCTGTGAAAATGCACTCAGCAGGCAGCAGTGACGATTTCTTGGCAACATCGGGGGACGAGCCAACCTCGTGCTTACTTTATTTCCAACCTCGTTTCCAGTAGTAAGCCCTTGGATAAGAAACTTTCTTTCTGATGTGATCCTGATTCGATACCGCAATTGGCTATAGTAATGATTTATAGCGTGTACTTGGTGTTGTATTTCCAATGTGCATTACCGGTTTTCACGGTCATTGTAATTGTAACATCCAAGCCTTCGAAAAAATACTCCTTTTCTTTCCAATTTGCTCATATTAATATGAAATGTGATGTACATTGGCGGGATAAGATTGTAACATTTTAACTTCGAAAACAATCGTGTTTACGGTAACTCACGGCGCGACGAATTGATTCTGTTTTTACCCCAGACATAGCCTTTCGCAAGGCCTTCATGTATTTAACCGGCATTATAACGGCGAAAACGCGATGTGACTGGAGCTGAGACCACACGCACGAGTAGCGAAGCCACGAGGCCTTTTCCAACTTGTCAGGCATGTCCTATGTTTTCTTTATTTCTTGATTTTGGCTACCCTAAAAGGGTAGCAAAATTCCAACCACTAGCCTTATAAATACGCGCGTGGCTACTACCTGGATGCGCGTCTTTGCTCCAGTCGCTTTGTTTTTTTCGCAGCTTCGCCACTCTAAGCCACGGTGGGCTTGGCGAAAGGCTACCCAAGATACCTCATACAAAACAAACGCTAATGTAACGCACAGGCGCGGCGGGCACTAGACTTTTCCTCATTTCCATATGTGCTCACAAATTGTGCACATGCAAACGATCCAATACCAGGGTGAGAGAGCAGGTAGTGATGGGCGCGTACTGCTAATAATCACCATGAAGCGAAACGTGTACAGTACCCTCTTCGTATAGGGGGCGCTGTTCAAAGTAGAAGATCTTGGCCGCTTTGCGCGACGTTCCAATGCAGACCAGTAGGGCCTAAATAAATTCCCATGCATAGACCCCAATGATAAATGCCCCTACTTCAGAAATTCAGGAAAAATACTCACAACACTCCAAGGTGTTCAAGACGTACATCAAATTAAAGCTGATTTCATCATCTTTCATTTTTTTCCCCAATTTTTTTGGGGTTAATCTGATGACTTTTGGGAAAATTTCCATCCGAAGATGACCACCCCTTAAAATAGTCCTGAAGCCCATCGCCATTTTGAAAAACGGTGCCTACACTCCATTGCACAATAGAGCGCTTTTAGGGTCCAAATTACATCCAAATTTCACAGAAATACAAGCTCAAGGTCCTGTACACGGCTTCCACCCATATTTTTAACAAACGCTCAAGTTCATGGCCCACAATAATGCTCAGATACCGAAGATTTTGAGGGCATGCAAGTCGTGATTTGGTCGGCGTAAGCAATTTTGTACCAATTTACTGGTCTGCAACCATAAGCGCACTTGTTAAAAAAGGGCGCTCGTGAAAAAAAAATGGGGGGGGGGGGTAAATATTCCCCTTAACCAGCACCCCCCCCCCCTCCTGCAACCCCCCCCCCCCCCCCCCCCCCCCCCAGTGCTTCGCCACTGCTGAGTACGGGGGTGATTTCAGCACCATTTGTAATTATACTAGAGGGCGAGTAAAAAAAACTGCAATGAGGCAAAGAAGCCATCTCTTTTTTTCAAAACCAAGTTGAAGTTTTGAACTAAAGTTCAGTCAGTTTTAAATTTGCTTTGTCTACAATGTCTTTATTGTACCGTTTACTCTTGCCTTGTGGACAAAAACGTAAATCGGGTCCCGCAGTAAAAAGATTCATTAAAGACAAACTGTAAATGCAGTTAACTTCATTTTTTGCACACAAAGTTTATATTCAACGAATACGTCATTCTTACAACATTTAAAAAGTTCAAAACTTCAAGGGCGAATCCAGGGAGGGGGGGGGGGTTGCAACGGGGGCCATGACCCCCCCCCCCAAAAAAAAAACCTAATTTATGTTTTTTAAGTGACGTCGCATTAAAGGCAGGCACTGCGTACACCGCAATCTTTTCCTCCAAAAAAAGTTGGTTTAAAGTGGTCTGAAATTGCCTCAGATCGCACCATAGGGGCATCTTAAAAAAAGATTCGGGGCCCTTTAGCGGGCCCCCATCCCACGCCCAGGGGCGTAGCACGGTCTTTTTTATTGGGGGGTAATTTTTTTTAAAGGGCACTTGCACATCCGTTGTGAAATGTAGACAGGTTTTTTTTCTCCGGACACTTGGCCTCCGTAAAATCCAAAAAAAAAGGGGGGAGCTGGTACCATCCGTCGATGGGGGCGCTGTTCAAAACCGACAATTATACACACAAAGGGCCAGCGATACATGTGCGCAATTCTGAAAAAGGCATGCACCCAAAACGGCAGATGCCACAAAAAAGAACACCACTTCTTTTTTGAAAAGAGCACTTGTTCAGAAAAAAGGCACTTCGTATAAAAAGGGCACTATTTACAAATTTCATACAAATTATGAAAAAAAGGGCATTTGAATGGAAAAAGGCAGTCTTTACAAAATATTGGGGGGGGGGGGGTAATTACCCCCCCCCCCCCACCCTTTATATCGCGTTATATCACGGTGGCCGCGAATATCTGTAAATGAAGCCGTGAGTTTGACTTTAGGATCATTCTGATAAGGCGGTCGAAAATAGACATTTAGCGGTCGATATATCTATGGATTAGCATTTATTTTGAGAACAATGCAGTCTTTATCACTTTTTTTGTCACGGTCACTTATCTCGACCATGGGATTTTAGGGTAACCGTCGTATTATGTTTGGGTTGACCCATTTTGCTTTGTCATCATATTGCCATAGTGAATATACAGTGAATATCATTCATATTATTAATAGTTTTATTATCAATCGGAACATTAAAAACTGACCAAGAGATCAACTGCAGATTTTCACGCACCATTGCCGCGGCTAAGAATTGGGAAATGCCTGCTTACAGTAGCAGAAAATGCCGTGCTTATATTATGCGTCATGCAGCATAGATCACGGGATAGCGTGGAAATTTGAGATTCTGTGCTCACAGGGTTAGCACAAAATTGTTTCTGCTAGCGCGGTTGGCACAGAATGTTGACCATTGTAAGCAGAGCCATGAAATTGGGCAGAGCATACACAAAACAATGAACGCCAAATTGCTTTGCAATTCGCCGCCCACTTTTAAGATCAAACGCAGCCCTCGTTCTGGTTGACTTGAAGTCGTCGTAACTGTACTTTTAAGCAAAAAACTGAATTGTTGGCGTTGATACTATTCTGTCCCCCGTATTTCTAGCTATAAAAGTAGCTGCAATGTATGCCTACGCATACGTGGTTCTAGAATCTTGAAACCACGAAGAAATAAAAGTAGGTTTATGTTGTAAAGAAACTTTAGCAGCATGAAACAAAACTTTAGCAATAGGGAAGTAGGCCTATAACATTCATGTTTGAAAGGCTCCCTAGTTGAGTCAGCAGATGGCTTCCAGGACCCCTCCCCCAACTCCCCAAGGCCCCGCTTTTGGGACTTCCTAAGCTATGGTATGATGCAGTGTTGTAGTACTCGTTCTCGGTACTCGTACTCAAGTACTACTCGAGTACTTTTTTGGGAGTACTCGTACTCGTACTCGTACTCGAATGTCAAAGTACTCGTACTCAAAATGACGGTACTCGTACTCGGGCAGCAAAGTATGTCGAAATTGTACTCGATCATTAAAGTACTCTTACTCGAATAGCAGTACTCGGCCGGGGAAAATGTTATAGCTTCACTTACCATGACCTTATTTTATCGATACTTTCAGTTTGAAATGGTTGATTGGCTTGTGGAGAAATCGAGATTTCCTGATTTTCTTCTGTGCAAGTCCGGACAAACGCATTTAACAGTTAGCCGTGAGTGGGTCTGTATATCGGTCTGACTGGGCCTGGGCCAATTACGCACAATGAACCATTTGCCGTATGGCCGTAGAAATGCGAGACTCGTACTCGGAAGTACTCGTACTCGTACTCGGAAGTACAAGTACTCGTACTTGGAGACCCGTTCTTGTACTCAGAGGTACAAGTACTCGTACTTGTACTCTTACTCGGCAACCTAAGTCCTTGGCAGAACTCGGTACTCGGAAAAAGTACTCGACTACAACACTGGTATGATGGTCTAGTGTCGTGAGCATACGCACCTCCTTATTTGAAGGCCTGGCATGACGGTCAGGGGTAATAATGATCAAGCTTCTAGGGGCGGATTTAGCTTTCAGGAAACGGGGGGGGGGTGATATAAAGGGGAGGGTTCAGTCTAAGGCGTGCCAAACACCCTGCTATGGGGGGGGGGAGGAGGTTCCAGGGCATGTTCTCCGGAAAATTGTGAAATCTACAATGATTTCTTCTGCATTTTTAGGCAATTCCAGAAAAATTTGGTAACTTATTTCGACCATTTATTGTATTGTTTTATGGTCCTTATTTACTCGTTTCCAAACATAAGTCAGTGGCTGAAGGGAGGGGCGTTTGCATACCCCCACCCCAACCCCCGATCCGCTACTGTCGTCGTCAGCTTCATGTGGGTGAATTATTAAATACATACATCTAATTATTTAATAAATACATACATTTAGTTGACACAAAATGACATTGAATAATGTGGAACAGCAGTTTAAATAATATGTGTGTTTATTCTATGGTGCTAAAAATAGACTATCGTCAAATATAAATGTATACAATGTATATCTTTTATCTAAAACACCTTACCAGGGTCACGACTTCAAGTTGCGATAAAAAGTCATAATAACCTCTTCACAATCTGATTGCTTATGTTATCATATTATTTTCGAGTCAATTTTTTTTTCAGAGAGGGAGGGGAGGGGCACTTGTGCGTCCTCAGTTTCTCGGGGGGGGGGGTGCTTTCAATGAGTTTGGTCATGGTATCAAATAAGTCCTTAAGTTGCTCTCCGAATTCTAAATGTTGGGGCAAGGGGATGAATGTACCCGCCAGGAACACAGGAGGAGCCTGCGCCCTGTGTCTTCCATTTACATTGTCAATTTCTACCTTACGGGAAGGCGACATCGTTGGCGATATATCACGACTTTAACCGTTGTTCTTTTCCGATGTTTTCAGTTACCAAGTAATCATTTCTTTACTTATTTATTACATTTACTTTATAAAGGGCATGCCCAAACAGTAAAACCTTTAGCCCTAAAAGGGCCAGGTTATTTTGACCATCTCTCAGCCGGGGGGGGGGATTCCCCTTTAAGATCTCGGCCATCGAGTGACGAAAAAAATTGAAACTCGGTAAATGCATAGAGCAACTCATCATGAACATACCCAAGAAATTTCATGACTATAGGTCAAGGGTTTTGGAATTATGGCTAAGTATGTACGAATGGTAATTCTGCTCTGTGTACACGAAGTATGTGGGAAAATTTAGTTTTCACGGCGCATAGCGCCGGAAATTTTTTATATTTTTGGTATCAAAAAGATGCGCAAGGCTCGAGGCTAAAAAGTCATAACAGCTCGAGTCGCAAAAAAAAATTAAAATTCAAGGCTATCGCGGAAGAAGTCGGGGGGGGGGGGACGATTCCGCCCCGGCCCTTTTAGGGTTAAACTGGTTTCCACTGGGGCCATGCATATACATTACACATTATCACAAATTAAGTTGTTTGTGATTATTCGGCAGTTGGCCGGGATAGTCCACCAAAGTCTCTCGACTTATTTCCAGTTGGGTCCCTTGGTAGAAGATGTGGACGGAAATAACAGTTTTAGTCGTGGGAGGAAAACCACAGAGTGCTATTCTGGGATAAAACCCACGGACTCAGACAGGGACTGAAAACCCAAATCCACATACTGGCCTAGGTGGGATTCGAACCCGGGTCCCAGTGGTGGAATTAAGGCGAGGAAAGCACCGAGACGCCAACCTGATCCCATAAAAAAAGTTGGCATTGAAGCAAGAACTGACCTAAAATTGTGACCGATAGCGTATGCACGACAATGGTACTAATTTTGGTACCAGAAAAATACAGGGCATTAAACTATCACCAGTGAACATGTCTTGTTTACTGTTATCGGTTGTTAATCTCTTCACAGCCGGTGTACATCATTTGAATATAACTGAACATCTTCACAGAGACAGTTATACTTTAATCTCGGAAACAGAATCATGCGAGAATAATTGTCCCAACGATGATTTGGGTCGGCACATGGGAACCCCTGAAGACCATTCTTAACTTTAAGGTTATTAGTCTTTAATCGTTTATCAAAGACAACAATATTCATGAAATTAGAACCACCATAGCCTCCGAAAATTAGACGGAAAAGAAATTGTCATCGATTTGAGTCTATCGACAGATTTGTTTTATAACACCTGCACCGCGCGAAAAGGGATTAAAATTTATCGCTAATCCGAGAGATACCAAACACACCGCACGTCTATTTTTGTGCACGCTATCGGATTAGGAAGGATTTATAACTAAAAATAACTGATTCTGAATTTGTAGAGGGATAAAGGGCAGAAAGATAGATAGTGAAATGTTGATAAAATGAAATGCAATGTTTTTTCAACGATTCTCCAATCACGATGGAGGTTTTGCAGACCACGTGATACATAACAGCAAATGAGATAGATGGGATGTGTGTTTCACTGACCACGTGCTTTCAAAACGCAAGTGTGTCAACATTTTCCCTTCATAAAGCGGATGAAACTGTGTTTTCAAACATTCTTTAGCAAAACAACGAACTCGTTCGCATAAGAAAACTCAGTTTCCTTTCAAAATCTGTGTTCAGTTTCATCTCGGCACACTCTCGATACTTTAATTCCAAAACATGGGTGACTCTGTAAAACACTTGTTACCCGTAGAGTTCATGCTCAAATTCTTGAAGACGATTACTCAGAATAACAGTCATCGTCGACTGTTCCACGTCACCGTCATTCTTTCCCTCATCTATGCCATCATCAACAGGCGGAGGAAGCAGCGGGCACTGCAGGCCAACCCTGCCCGAGGACTCCCGCTGCCCCCAGGCCCGTGGGGCTGGCCCATCCTCGGCATCATGCCATCCTTGGCCGGGGGTAAACCTCACCATGTCCTCACCGAGATGAGCAAGACGTACGGTCCCATCATGAGTTTCATGATGGGTAGCTTCCGTACCGTGGTCCTGAGCGACTATGACTTGATCAAGGAGGCCTTTGCTAAGTCCGGGGACAAGTTCAGCGACAGGCCCAAGGTCTTCATGTTTGAGAATATCCATCCGGCAGGAGCTGGTGAGTTGCAAATTTGGTTGTCTGTTGTCTTTTTGCCAATTAATATACATGCATGCATTATATTTGTCTACATATCTAGCCCTGATGTGTTATATTGTTGAAACACTTGTATTATATATATATGTACAAGTTTTCCACGAATCCCTTTCCGAATGCACTCGTATCCGTGTCTCCTAAGTGTGGTAACGATTAAACTATATTTGCAAAAAAGTGTTCACGAAAGTTTGCTGTAGAAATCGACGATCATCGCCTCTCCCTCTTTAAAATGGTGCATATTTTGCTCCAATTTCTCCAATTGATTTGATGACATAGTCCATTGTTTGGTTGCTGCCGTTTGTATACAAGTTTTACAGAATCAATCCCCGAGTTATTTCCTATAATGTTTAAGGGTTTACAAAGAATTGTTCGGAGATTATCGCATTTCATTGTTGTGAATTTTGTCTCAATTTCTTCAATTGCTCACTGGTCATCTTCAATTTATTTGTTCGCTGCAGGTGTCGTACTGAATTACTACGAAACTGGTAACTGGAAGGACAACCGCCGGTTCACGCTCAGAGCTCTCAGGAAGCTCGGCATGGGCAAGGCGGCCATGATGGAGGACAGAATCATCGAAGAGGCTGGGTTTGTCATCCGGAGTTTCGACCAGCAGCAAGGGCGGCCGTTCCGCTCGTGTGACTTCACCAACCTCGCCGTGGCCAACATGATCAACTCCTTGGTGTTCGGCAAACGGGCCGACTATGACGATCCGGTCTTCCTTGAGGTCATCACCAAGATGCTGGACCTCTTCAAGCATCTCGGCGTCTGCCTTTTCAATTTCATTCCCATGATGAAGTATCTGCCGGGCAGCGGGTATTGGGAGACGGCCAAAATCCCCAAGTTCTTTGAGGACATGTGGTACCGCCCTCACGTGAGTAAACAACCCTTTGTTTTCGTTTTTAATTATGTTGGCAATATGATTATAACGATGACGACGTCAATGAAAATAGTGACGGTGAGGAAAATAGAAACAATGAGAATGACACGACGGGGAACATAAATTCATGATGACACTAAAATTTAAAAAATTAATAATCCCTAGAAAAAATTGAGCATAGTTAAAACAAAAGTAAAGTTGAATATTAGAATTTACGCAGACGTAAATATTAATTCTCAGATTCGTTTGCATATTGAGTTGGTAATGTTCAAGTTACTGAAGAGGAAACACTAGCTTGTTATGCATATTATGTAGATTGCTGATGAATATTCATACATTTTATTGTGTTACAGGTGATGGAACACGTGAAGACCTTCAACGCTAACCATATCAGGGACTTTGTCGATGCATACCTCCACGAGCACTTCTTAAAGGAGGGATCTCACTACCACTACGATGACGCGGCCGCCATGGGGGCAGTCGGCGATGTGTTCGGCGCGGGGCTGGAGACCACCTCGGTCGCCCTAGACTGGGTCATCATGTGTCTGACCAAATACCCAGAGGTCCAGGAGAAAGCACAGAGGGAGCTGGATGAGGTGGTGGGGCGCCACCGCATGCCGCAGTGGGCTGACAGGCAAAACCTGCACTACGTCATGGCTATGTTGGACGAGGTTATGCGCTGGTCTGCAGGAGGCCCGTTCGGTAGGTTTTTGTTTTTATTTTTGTTCAATTCAATTTTATTCCATTCAATTAAAGATAAAAATGTTTGATGACGACCAAAATATGCTTTTAAAAAATCTAAAAAGTGAAATGTAAAATAGTTTGTTATACAGAAAGACAGACACTAAAATTATTTGAAACTTTGAATTATATTCTAAAAAATATGTAAGCCAAACTGTTGTGATAACAACTACGGGCAATCCGAGTTGAAGCAATTTGTTGAAACTCTCACTATGATCAATGCTGAATTCATTCTGTCACGCATGCGCACTGTCTGTGAAAACTTTAAAGAAAAGAACAACATCATTTCGAAAAAAGTAACTGGTACACTTTTACATGCATGCATGGTATCACCGGATAAGTTCACAGTCAGCACACCCGAACATATGCTGACTGAATCACCTTACAAAACAACTTTCAAAATTCACCAACTGTTCCCTCCGACCCACCAAGTGATTGTACCTCTTTTCCTCCTTGTTTCAGGTGTTCCTCACTCCCCGATTGAAGACACCGAGTTCCGCGGTTACTTCATCCCCAAGGGTGCGGTGGTCATCCCCAACCTACACGCGGTCATGCACAACCCCGACGTCTTTCCCGATCCGGGGGCTGTGAAGCCAGAGCGGTTCTTAAACTCCGACGGCAAGTTCGTCAAGCATGAACACATGTCGCAGTTTAGCGTCGGTGAGTTTTTGAGAAATACTTTTTTGTTATCATCATTTTAAAGTTGCTCTTTTCGTGCTCTTCAAGACGTTTGAATTTTGTTCATCCAAACGAAATTGCAAACCTTCCTTTAAATATTACTTTATTAAAATTTTGAGAGTCCGCAACAGTAGCTGAAAAAAAGTTTCACTTTAGGTTGCTTTTGCGCCTCAAACGCTGAATTGAAAAGGATCCCTTGAATTATAGAGCCAGAAAAAAATTGAAAAACGAATCTGAATGGGCATAAACGAAATGTGCTGCTCAATCACTTAACTGATTGAACTGAAATGGAAACGAATGCTCTGGTAGCGAAAATGAAACGCGTGTTCAGAGGGATTCTCAAATTTAGACGAAAATGAATGACCGATTTTCAGAAGTGAATGAACATTTCAGGAAATTGGCCGGGAAAACCTCTATTATTACCACCAATTGCGTTTAAAGTCCATCTGAAGCGGATGACTCTCAACCCCTCCCCCCTTGCTTGAGTGGAAGAGGCTACCACCCCCTCCTTACTTGAGTGGAAGAGGCTATCTAAAGATGATAACCATATTGATTGGATTACCTTTATTTGATAACGTAATCGAAATTAATTCCATCTTCAAATATCATAAGTAATAACAGCACAGGCTGAGTCTATAAACTCTTTAACAAACAGATAGCAGTAATAATCCCCAGCGTATGACTGTACACTGAAGCAGGCCTATACACTTATTTTGTTAGTCTAATTTCCCTTTTTTGGTTTTTATTGTCTACAACAGGTCGACGCGCTTGTGTTGGGGAGCATCTCGCCAGAATGGAGATCTACACCATTGTCACTCACATTATCCACACCTTCACGTTGAGGGCGCCCAACGGCGACACCGACAGTATCCGAACAGAGGGCATCATGGGCCTGTCCAAGAACCCTTGTCCGTACAAACTCTGCGCTATCCGAAGAACAGACACTTATGACGTCACCGAAATTCCCATGGACCTTCTTTCAGACGATAATAATAACAATAATACCTTGGACAGTAATAATAACAACAACGAAGCCAAGCATTGCGTCCATTGACATGCAAATCGCAGCCAATTTATTTCGTTTTCGTAAACGAATTGTACTTTTGTAGCATAATGAAAAGCCGTTGTATATAATAGGCCCTATATGTATATATGCTTATGCTTGTATTATTTTTGTACACAAACAGTGAACATAAGTAGGAGCGTTTAAGTTTATTAATTAAGTCTTTCAAGAAACACATTCATGAACCAATTAATGCGCAAAGACCATAATCGCATTTTTGTCTAAGAATACACGAAATGTCTACCAGGTGCTGTGACAGCATACTTCAGAAAGATGTGTATTGTGAGATTCTGGCCAATGATATGCTCTGTTGACTTTTATTTTAATGGTCTCTTTTTTTCCACAAAAACTACAGTGCTTTATTGAATTTATAATAGCTCTATGATTATTACACTTTTCCATTCGGGTTTTTTTTTTTTGGGGGGGGGGGCAACATCCCATTGAATGCGGTTGAATGTTGCGTAGTTTCGTCCACGAAATAGATTCCTTTTCTATTTGCAACTCTAGAGAGTGCTAGGGGTAGATTCAATCTTATATCCGAATGTTCATCATTTAATGGATTAATTTTGGGTGAAGGGGGGGGGGGGGGGGGATTCCTCGAGTTATGCTTCTACTTCTGATGTATTTATTTTAATAAGAACTCCGACAAGTTTGGTAATAAACACTTTACGTTATGTGAATTTAAAAATGTGTTTTGTTTTCCACATGATTGCTTTTCGAGATTGTAGTTGTGGAATTCTTTCGGATTAATATGTATCGTGTAGTTATAGTCCCTTGTAAAAATTACATACCATTTAAAGAAAGAAAGATAAACAAACCTTTAACGCCTGCAGAATAATATTTAATAATATAGTCGAAGATTACGAAGAGTCTTCTCAAACACTCAAAAGGGGGCGCTCTGCAAACAAGTGGCGAAGTTGATGCTCTCCAATTCGCTTCAGTGCCCCCGTAAGAGCGCATTTTACCGTTTACATTTCTTCAGCTTTTGCCTTATGATCAACACAATGCAAGAACTTGTAGAATGAAACTTTTATATTAGACCTGTTTTTGAACACGACAAGCCGTACCCCGGCGACAAATAAAGACACAGTAAACAGCTGGTCTTGGGTTCGAGTCCCACCTGACAAAAGCCTTTTGATTTGTTTTTATATCTCAATATCTCGGACAGCATGCACTAGCTGAGTATATGCATTTAAACAGTAATCGTTAAGGTGTGTTTTGGTTAATAATATGAGGTTTTTTCCAAAGTGCTAGTGCCATTTTTTTTTTTTTTAGAATCCTACCCTCTCCTTGTTATTTATTTAGTTGTACACAAATTATAGAATGAAGCGAAAATGTATTGTAAAGAAACAGCTGTTTTACTGTGATGTCCAAGTTCTTGTGTAACTTTTTCATATATTTTTAAAATGGGTACATCGCATCTAGGAAATAAGCTTCCTCTTCTTATGCCAAAGATGAAACCGCATGCTATTGAAAAAATATGGATTTTTTTCCGAACGAACGTTCTATTTGTATGTCTTTGTTTTAACGGGGGGGGGGGGGTAGTTTTATGCTTTCGGGGCGTGCACAAACTCTACACCCTGCAAGAGCCATATTGTATGACATGCAGTCAATAATTTTCGAGTTTATGAAGAAATAATTGTTCATATTGCTAGAGAAATAGCAATAGTAAACAAATCTATTCTTCTAGGTGAACACGTACATGTTTTATTCATTCCAATGAATGCACAAAAGATTTATAATTATAACGAGCATATATCTCTGTTGCATAAAACAAAACAGAAGGGCCAAATTATCGAGTATTAAATTTAATAATAAGTAAGAATAATCCTGAACCATCGTGCGTCACGCGTTGTTTACTAGTACGCTGTCTAATGATACCTGGCCACCTTAAGAAAGCGTGTAAACAAAGCATGACGTCAGGCCAATAAATTGATTGGAAGGGTACAATGTTGATGGCCTGAGAGAAATCACAAGAAAGGAATTTTATTTTAGGTTTTCTTCTCAAGACTAAAATGAGGAAAAAGTGGTGCTGTGCGGGCATCAATTCGTAACCAATCCTCTACATGATATTTCTCGATATCGCAAATTCAGTTCGCATCATTATGCACGTCATCCACTTCACTCGTACGCCTTCCTCGAGATCTTCGACGACTGTTCATTACACTGAACGGAAACCCACCAGGAAACAGCCGTAGATATTCAGTGCATTTTTCGCATATTATTTCCCACGATTCTTTGATCGTGAGCAAAATATGGACTGCAATTTCTACTTCAAAGCAGGTCTAGAAACATAAACACATTATTTTAATCCACGGAGATATGTGTTGTTATTTATGCTGCAGCTTTGTTTCAGGTGAAGAAGGAATTTTTCCTTCTTTTTTCGTTGATGAGTGTAATTTGCCCTGAAGAACGGTAGGAAATAAAATCCAAGTTTTATTTGTGCCCTGACATAAAAATCAAGATGGCGACCGTGACAGCAAGCAGTGGTAAGCGAATGTCAAACAAATCCAATAATATTTTATATTTGTATTATCCTGATTTAAAAAGTTATAGCTACATGACGTATAACACAGTGCTAATGTTTCAAAATGTGCTTATTTTGCAGATGAGGAGCTTCATGAAAAGCTCATTAGGACCGTTAAAAAAGAGGTTGGTCGTTATTTCATTCTTTTCATTTTTTTCCATGCATCACGTGCATGCAGGCCAGCTATACAAATTAAAATAGGCCAAGCTAGGCCTATGACAATAGTCATGACCTGCACTATACAAATGAGGGATATCATGCATGACGTGAAATATCACGAAGATCACAGTAGTAGGCATAATATTAATAGGTTAAAAAGTGCATAAACATGATATAGTTAATGTTCTTCTTCATCATGTTCATGTTCTTCTTCATGTTCTTTTTCATGTTTTTGCGTAAAAATTTGGCCTCGCCACCGGCCCTTGCTTGTCTCAGATTGCAAAGTGACTTCTTCTGCAACCATGGCAACCTTAAAAAACTGCAAAGATTTTTTTTTTCTGGACATAATATTCTTCATGTTGTTATATGTTTTTCCAGGTTATGCCTTGCAAATCAATTTTCATTTTTTTTTGGGGGGGGGTCGGGTCACTCATTGGGAAAGAATGTTGCATCCTGACACCACTTTTCTCATCAAATGTTCTCTCAATGAAGGTCAGTCATTGCAAAAAAAATTGTAAAGAAATGAATTTGGGACTGAGAAAAACTTCAAATTTTGTTAGAAAATACTTTGCATATGCACTAGACTCTCCATAGACGTTGTACTCGACCAAAGAAGTGGCGTCCAGATATCACGTACTTTCCGGTCAATGTAGTAGTTTTACCCCATAATTTCCCTAAAAAATCAATTCCTGTTGCTTTGCAATGACACCAGCTATTTAGGCCAAGTGAAAAAAAAAACCCAGTTGATACTGATAGTCCCCGCCTGCATCCTTTTTTGAAAACGAATTTTTTTTTGTTATTTGTTATTTTTTTTTCTCACCTCAAAAAAGCTAATTAGTTCTTGTATTTCGCTTTAATAAAACACATAGAACATGTTTTAACACGAATATTTTGACTCTACTTACTCTTAGGATAGCTAATTAAAAGCTGGCGGTCATTTGAACCCAAATTGGCAGCCTGATAAAGGCGGCCTCATGTGCCTGGATTCATCTATGGGAAAAAGGCCATTCACTTCACAATTGCCGTGTTTTATTATTCTTCGCCGTTTGTCAACATATCATTTCTTATTGCACGCCCTGTTCTCTGAAATAGGTCAAGCAAATTATGGAAGAGGCAGTCACAAGGAAATTTGTACATGAAGACAGTGGAAGTATCATCTCATTATGTGGTAAGATACAATTTATCAGAATTGGTTTCTTCATAAATACTTCTTCGATTGTCGCAGTTTGGTTGCACGACAACCTCGTTGTGATGAACAAGACAAAGGAAGGCTGGCAAGCCAAGTAAAGCTGGAGTGCAGAAAATTCAATTCAATTGCTATGGAATGGCTATTCACTGGAAGTCTTTTCATGCGTCTAGTCTACACAATAGACTGGATTTAGCCCATTGGTTGGATTAAACCTCATAACGATGTTGTCGTGAGGGAGTGTGTGGCCTAGTGGTTAGGGTTCGTGACTCATGATCAGAGGGTCCGGGGTTCGAATCCAGCTGCTGGTCGTATATTGTGTCCTTGGGCAAGCCACTTCATCTCCACTTGTCCCTCTCCACCCAGGAGTATAAATGGGTACCGGCATTAGCTGGGGAGTAACCTGCAATGGACTAGCAACATATCCAGGGGGAATAGAAATATTCTCAGTCGTTTCATGCTACTGAAACTGAAATACACGCCGGCCTGATGAGCCACATTGGCTCGCGACAGACTTTACTTTTACTTTTACAGGGTCATCCTATACGATAGCACTGCCCTGCTTACCAGTAAGTCAGTGGGGCAGTCACGCAGTCAGTCAGCGAGCGCTTTCCATCGTATAAACAATCTCAAAACGCTTTACAATTATTCCCCATTCATCAGGCCACAAGACCACGTGGCAGCTGATATCAGCGCACATTCGGTCCACCACCTTCACAGGTACCTATTCATACTCCTGGGTGGAGAGAGGCAATTGTGGAAAAGTGTCTTGCCCAAGGGCACAAACACCATGTTCTTGGCCGGGTTTGAACCCATGTACCATCATACATGACTCAAACACCCTAACCACTGAACCATGGCTGGACCATACCCTAACCACCCCAACCCTTCAAAATCCAATTGCATGTTTTGTTAGAATCTGTTGGAGTGAGTACTGCACTGGTAAACTGATTATGCTTTACATGGGGTTCTATCACCATAATGAGAGTCCAACAGTTTGGGTGTTGAGTTTTATACCATATGGTGTTGGATTTTCCAAGAGTGACAAGTTTTCCTAGTAAATCACCCAAGGGTTTCATAGGGTTAATGTACAGACAAACTGACACTGAAGTTCAATAATATAACGGTGTCTTTTATTTTGTAATAAAAAAAATGACAGCTGCCGTGGATGCGTGTCTTGCGCAAGGGTTGAAGCGTCGCATCAGTGGACTGTTCAAGGGGAATCTAACGACAGCATCGTTACTTAAGCACCTAGCCAAGCAGCATCCGGAGGTTTCAGAGGTTGCGCACAAAGTGCAGGAGATTGAAAGTAGACTCGAGGAAGCAAACAAGTAAGTTGTGTCCGAATTACTAATATCTACGGCTTAAAGTTACATCTGTGACTATGGTAGCGGCTGCAGCCAATTTTCATAGACTGGTGTGTAATTTCAAACCGTAGCCAGAAACAGGGGCCAAAAATGTGCTAAGCGGAAACTGTTCTTGGCTAAGCAAGATTAGTTACCGGCCAAAATTGTATGCAATGTGTAGTGATTTTGATTGGTTCCCAGTTGATTTCTGCTTATACCGGAATATAGCACGTAATGTCTCATTTATAAGCAGAAATTTGTTAAGCTCAAAAAAATGTGCTTAGCAATTAGCACACAGAGGTTACCAACTGACAGTGGCTGAAACATCATGCAATGCATGCATGTACCTTGATTGACTGGTTCGAACCTGATTTGTCCTCAGCACACAAATTTACTAGGTAATGCGACTTCGTTGTGGATTCACCTGTGTCAACACATCATATTCAGCTTTTTGTATCTATCATGTTTCTGACTAGTCTATTGAAAATCCCCTTGCATAGCAAGAGTCTAGGATATGCGAGCAGATTCGGCGATTAATTATGCAAAACGAGACTGCATCTTGACCTTGAGATTCTGACCATTCAGCGGGCGCCTTCTACATGTATATCGGGTCTTCGGTAACCCGTTGTTATATTACAAAACATGGTAGCAAAATTGACCAATCATCAGCTTAGTCCACATTTCTGATTGAAAGACATCACAATTTCTAAAGTTGACTCTGATTGGCAGGCATGCGGAGTCGCATAAAGTTTTCGTGGATTATGACGTGTGGCTCTGCACATGTGATTATCTGAATCTAGCACTAATTATAACACCTCACCCACAGATCCTGTATTTACAATGTAGATTGGCTGAGAGTGAGTCACATGGCATTCGCTATTTTTACTACTATCTTGCTGTGCACAGCCAAAAATACTGTACAATGATTGCCTTGGTCTGAAAAAGTACTACACGCATAGAAACCAACGTCGCAACCAGAGGTACATGTATGTGTTTACATGCAGGTTTTCGCGTTGCGCGTATTGTTCCCGTGCAACAAACTTGGATTCAAACATTTCATGAAGGGGTAGTTTGGAAAAGGGCAAGTAAACTTTCAACTAATTTCATATTGAAATTAAAGTATATTTTATTGGAGGTTGGTTAAATTAAACGGTTATCTCTTAAAAATCAAGTGCAATCTGCGGGTTACATGTAGGTGTTATAAAACAAATATTGACTGCTTTAACTCGTGGTGTAGTAAACTTAGCCTCCCGAGGTGATCCATGGAGCGTTTCCGTTTCCCTCGGCTACGCCTCGAGAAAACAGAACGCTCCATGGAGATCACCTCGGGAGCAGTCAATATTTGTATAATGTAGGACTAGGTTTTTGTTTGCTTTCTAAGAATGTCAGCATTCACAGAGATTTGCCACCTCAATTGTCATTTGACACGTCTTTGTCAACCATCTGATCTACTTTGTCGGATTATTAAGAGGTCAAAGTGAATAATTTCTCAAAATGTTTTGTGTTTAGTAGTGTTGACAATTACATGTATTCAGGTTTTTCCTCAAAGTTTTTGATGCAATGTTTTCTTTCGAGGCAACTGAAAACGATTTTAAGGTCCTTCAATACAAATGCAAATTGTCCTTCTAGCAGTAACACCTAAACAGTTGGGTTTCTGTAAAACTGCATTCGCGTTGGACTAATTTTTAAAAAAGATTTAACCGATATGATTGTCAACACTAAAATGGGTAAAATCTTACCAGTGTATGGATTTGGACTTTTGGACTTTGGACTTTTTGACTTGGGAAATTCTTAACAAACCGCAGTTAACCCTAGCCTCACCTAAAGCTACAAAATACAACTGAGTAGTAACCTTTTCTTTCCATACAAGTGTGCACAACACATGTAGTATTCTGTGGTATAAGGTACCTGACCCCCAGAGAGCCCTAAGGGGGTTAGGGTTGAATGAATTGATCGGGGCGTAAACATGTGTTTGGGCGAACGGCTGTCGTATACTCTTTGATCGTCGTAACGTATGCCATACAGGTTGCTTGCTAAAATCAGTGAATAATACCTTGTTGTGCAGTATGTACCGGTAAAATGTCTAATGGTGCCCATAATATCAAAGATGACTTTCATAAAAAAAAACCACCATTTTGACCATAAAATTATTGAAATTGCTAGCCTAAGATATCACGCACAGCGCGAGTGCAGTGCGCCTGTGTAGTGTGACCCTCATAGCTTTGCCTTGCGGTTTACTGACTCTCGCTGTCCGCACTGGACTTTCTCGTCTCGGGTAAAGTGACCAGGTTACATCTCCTGGTCAAAAGTTGGCCGGTAAAAGTAACCACTTGACTTGGGAAAAGTAACCAAGAGAAGACTCTTCTGGGCTGTTTGTACTGGACTTCAAAAAATGGGAAAAGTACCCGCCATCTCAGTGAGCTACATGTATATACCCAAAAAAGTCTGATGGGGCACAGCTTTTGATAAAATTGAATGGGACACCATAGCTGTTGAGATTGAAAAGTTTTGCGTAATTGCACATACGTGTTTCAAGCTTGAACTTGTTGAAAAGTACATAAAGTATCGTACAGTGCCTCTAGCTGGGATCATGTGATGAAGGCCATGAAAGCAGTGTCGTAACAGATTTCCCCAGACAAAAGGGTTTTTGGAAAACAGTTTCATCATCCAAAAATAGCCTTTTAGAAGACCCAGGATTACTTTTTTTTCAAAATCCGGAAAAATTCACAAAAGATTAGTCGCGAGGTAGACAAGTTATAGTCCCTATTCATTGCTTTTGATTATGGTTTGCAGAGGTACATGTATGAATTTACATTTTTGTGATGATACATTGTCTGGGAGGGTTGGGCGCCGAGTGCAATGATGTGAAACCATTTGCATTCAGCTGGATTTCAGCTATCGCCCCAAGCAATAAAAAAAATCCATTAAAATTTATTTTGCACGTATTGGTGATTCAACTTCAGAATGATTTGGTATTGATCGGCTGAAAATGGGCGCGTCAGGGATGGATCAATGTTTGGGGGTGGGGATTTGTTTAGAGGAGAGGAATGGGGGGGGGGGTGGCTCATGCAATTTTATTTACTCTTTAAAATCTTTTCTGACACATTTATACTGGAATTTGTAGGCCTTTCCTTGTGGAGACATCTCTTTGTTCTGGTGTACTAAAATGTTAGACTGTGAAAATCTAGTTTCAAAATGCTTTCAAAATTTTACCCAGAATTAGTTTCCTGGGCTAAATATAAGATAAGATAAGTGCATAATGTATCAAGTGTTACTAGAGTTTGAAAAACCTGTGAGTACATGTATATCTTGGAAAAGGCAAGAAAAGACACTAAAGTTTTTTTTGTACTGGCAAGCCTTGCAAAAGTTAAAAAAAAGAAGAAATGGTTAAATATGCATGGACGTGTATCATGAATAAATGAAACAACACAGATGACTGGACTCTGTAGAATGACATTTAAGTGCTCAAGTGTGTCCTGGAAGCATTGTATTCATTGTAATTCACAGGACAGTGGCTAACAGCAGGAATCATGTACATATGCTGAAAACACTATTTTTGTTCAACTATATTTGTGCACAAATTGCAGGCTGCTTCCGTTGATAGACTTTTTTTTTGTAATTTAGCAAATCTTTCTTCATGTTTGTTTTCTCAAAATTCCAAAGGATGTGTATGTACAACAGTTTGAAAAGTGGCTTTTTTTTTGAAAAGCTGAATATATAGGCCCCCACCCCTATGTTTTGCAGAGGCAAATATTTAAAATAAGTGACATTTTTTATTCCCCACTTCTCCAACTGAAAAATGTTTTTAACACTCCATTTGAGCTGGTTGCATATTATCCAGGGTCAAAAACAAGTATAGACTCATGCGGGCACACTGTCACGTCTATCACGACGTTCCTCATCAATAGCGAAACCATTGTGCGAAGATAAGGGAAAATCATGAGCATACAGCATTCGTGATAAAAGCATTACAGGTTCTGTAATCAATAAGGTTTCTAAACACATGTCAAAAAAGATTTTTGTTAAAATTTAGTTGTTCCAATGCCAAAAATTACACCTTCGAGGTACCGGTTCATGTACATGTGCACGTGTCTTGAAAATTAAATTAAATTACATATCATGTACACGTATACATGTGGACTGTTGTTTGGTCAGTTGTTTTTCTGATTCTGTGGATGATGGATAAAATTAACAAATTCAATGTAGGGCCTAACTCAAATGAGAGGAAATTTACATGTAGTTTCTGAAGCATTTCCAATAACCATTTCTGATAACCATTTGAATGTCATCTGGTTGAATATGCTGTGTGCGATATTCTACATGTACAGAACACACATGTTGGAGTTTGCACAGTTTTCTACAGATGAAGAAACTGTGAAATTTGTCGCCAGTTTCGAGACAATCTGTACCCAAATCCTAAACAACTACGTGCAAATCATGTTGGTAAAGGTACCAGTGCATTGTAACTAATTTATAATCATATTTATGGAGTGATTTTGGAGATTAGCTGAAATATTGGAAAATCTAAAACATTAGAGAAACACTTTGATGAAGTACCAGTACACGTGTATGCGTACCACTTCACATAAAATGCAGAAGTGCATGATACATTAATGTATTATTTACACACTCAGTACACAAGTGTGACCATGATGACAAGTACTTGTAGTACTATTGCATGTACATGTACATGTATGTACATTGACATATTTCGTGTTTGTGCAAAGCACAGGGTGAGCCAAAAAAAGCGGAACCCAAACCCCCAAAATTATATTTCATATTTAAAAAAATACGTAGCACCAAAAATAACAAAGACTGGAAGCCTAATTTCATAAGCTACTTTTAGATGAAAAATGACTGAAATTTGTCAATCTGTGTAGAAAATATCTACATTTGAACACAATGACCCTAGTAAAAACCCGTCTTGTCCCAAAAAAAATGTGATTTCAAGAATCGTCGTCGCAATTTTCTTTGAACATCACAAGCGATAAAATCTCAGTTTAAACGTTAAGCATGTTCATCAGAATCCCTTTGAAGGCCCGTTCTTTAAAAAAGTAGAGTTTATAATTGTTTGCCTAACCAGCATGACCAGGGTTGTTAATAATGATATTGTGTACGACAGTTGGTGACAGTTGTTGAAACAAGTATTCTGTGTCATTTTCTGTGTTGTTCCAAACAGTCAAAACACACAATGAGTTGCTTTTTTTGGACGAGACAGGTTTTAGGGTCATTGTATTCAATGGTGATATTCTTTGAATGAATTGAGCAATTTCAGTAATTTTTTTCATCTAAAAGTAGCTTTGGAAATTGGCTTTCTAGTCATTATTATGTTTTGTGCTACGTATTTGTTTAAATATGAAATTTATTTTATGGGGTTTGGGTTCCACTTTTTTTGACTCGCCCTGTAGGATTTAATGCAAATGTTCATGAATAATAGTTGATATCATTGATATTGAATTCATATCCCATGTACGTCTTACCTGTATGTACAGTTTTTACCTGAACAGGCAAAGCGTGTGTAGAGTGATATTCCAAGGCTGTCATTTGATGATGTTTATGAATAATCTGATCAATGATTTATGCATGTCATTAGCATGCAAAATAGGCCATGCACCTTTTAATGGGGTAATCCGTTGTACCAGGTTGTCTGGGGAAAATGACCAGTTGACCACGAAGAATGGTTGACCTCACATACAACCTTTTGATCACGAAACAGGATTTCGTCCTTAGCACTCTGTGTTTCCCCCCAAAAAATCAGTCAATTGACTGATCGTTGGAACTCACCCTCATTTCTTGATTTTCTCTATTAATGACAACAAGCCAGATGGAATAATTTCACGGGGTGTTTAGTACCAGTACGATCTGTAATCATGATAATCCAAGTAGCTTTTGATAACAATTTTGGGATAAATGCAATGATCCTACCTGTCTTAACCCTAACCGCCCTATATACCGGTAGTATTTGCCAAAGTGGAGGAATTTGGAGGATTGAGGTTACATGGCAAAAATGCGTTACTGATTTCGTAGGATGCACTCTGTCAAGGTCTTGGGCCGGACCTTGTGTTGTTATTACTTAGCCATGGTGCATAAATGTAGGCCTGGATTATGCTTGGAATCCTCTGTACTGCTCCAGGATGTCACTGACCAAGCCTCAACATATTGACAGTCACTGCTGCAGGATTTTGCAGGATTCAGGAAGTAGTCACCCCTCCACCAACCATATTCAAGAAACAGTGGAGGAATTCAGGATTGAGGCTATATGCTATTTTTCTATGAGGCCAATTGGAGGATTTTTCAGGATTAAGGCTTCATCCTAGCAAAAAAGCCTAGGGAGTTAGGGTTAATTGCTACTTGTGTCTAAGTAAATTAACTTTTAACCCTAACGTACCTAAATCCATCAAAATCCATCCCTCTTTTTCGGGGGATTTCGGCGGATTCAGGATACCTCCATATTGAACATACTGGGGGATTTTGATGGACTCAGGATTCGAAGCCTAGCGGAACTGGCGGATTTTGATGGATTCAGGATACCTCCATTTTGAGCTATTGGGGGACTTTGATGGATTCAGGATCTCAACAGTTTAACTCTTTTGCAATGTTTGTGGTCAAGTAAATACTGCTGGCACTAGCCCTGCCAAGTCTGTCACATACTGTACAAACATGTACACACATGTACTGGGTGGACTTGCATGGAGGGTCACATGCTGGAGGAGAGATACAAATAATGCGCGAAAACGTGACGAACGCAACACCGTTTACGCGCAAAGAGCACCATGTGCATCGCTAATAATTATGTGTGCGCATCGCGTAAATACTCGGTGCGCATTTCTAGCTTCGCGCGCATTGAGCTAGGTCACGTGCTGGAGGAAAGATACATTTAGCTCCATTACTTTACGTTAATTTGTTGCGCGTCTACGAGAGACAACCAAAATGGCGGAGATTTATCGCACAGTGACTGGGCGCGTGTGGACGCGCTGCCGATCTAGTCTTATATCTATGGTTTACGGGCTGAAACATGCGCTAATGTCTTTCACACAAATTTTGTGCGCGAGACGTATTCACTTCGGTACTGATCCATGCTGGGGTATTTTGCATTGCATTGGTGTATTTTGATGGATCCTATGCAACAACACACATCACAATTTTCATGCGAGCATGGTATCCTGAATCCGTCAAAATCCACCAGAAAGTTAGGTGATGGATTTTGAAGACTCTATGGAAAAACATGCTGTATTTTTTTTCATGCCACCATGGTATCCTGAATCCGCCAGAATCCATCAAGACTTTTGCTGGTGGATTCTGGCGGATTCAGGATACCTCCAGAATCTACACTGGGGGATTCTGATGGATTCAGGATACCAGCATTTTTTGCATGACAAAATTGGTGGATTTTGGCGGATTCAGGATACTTTCTAGTAAAAGAGCCCCAGGAGTTAGGGTTAAATGAGACATTGACTGAAAAAAAATCGGCCCACACTTATTTATGGAATAATCACTTTACAAATTTTGAATAATTTGCAACCGAATAATAATACAATTCTCTTGGGGTAGACTGGTTTTCACATCTCCCTTTTAAAATCAATAGTGTGGGGTCCAGGTACCAGTTTACTCAAAGGGCAGATCTGTTTGTGTGCAAAATTGACCCAAATGAAACGTTAATTTCAAAAGGTTGACATGTAAAATAGCAGGAAAAAAACACACCTTTTTTCCTCTTTTAACAAAATATTAAAAGGTCAACATTTGTTAACCGAAAAAAAAATAAATTTGTTGAAGATGAATAGATCATACCGGTAAGTACCGGTACATGTACATTGTACGGTACTGCTTTTAAACAGATCATAAAAATACACAGTTTATGTAATTTATTCATGAAATATAAAAAATGCAATTTAATGTACATTGTAACAAATGTATCTTCCCTTGATAAACCAGTACATTGAGTTACATAATGCATAATGAATACAATGTAAAATTTTTATCGCTTTTTGTTTTTTACATTTTAGAAAACTCGGCGGCAGTAACAGCATCAATGGCGAGAGTCCGAACAAACCACACACCAGCATCAGAGCCACGCTGCAGCAGCGCCACCTATGGATCAGGGTAGCGCTGTTTGAGAAACAGCTGTCTAAGATCATTGAGCTTATCAATCAGGAGAGCAGGTAAGCCTTAAAGCATATTGCTTAGCGTTGTAAGCAAAGCGCCTGGGGCGAATTTCCAGGAAAAGCTAAGTACGGAAGTTCACTAAGCGCAGAAAATATATGCTTAGCGAAAACCAGCCCAAAGGTCATGCAATTGACATTGCTTGCAACTGGTATCCGGCTGATCTCTGCTTTGTGCGCACGTTTTCTAAGCAATTTTTTTTGCACAGCAGATTTGGGAAATTAGACACAGTTGCTTTGAATTATAGTGAAGCTAGTGAGAGGGTTAATTTCTCCCTGTTTTTAAGGAACACGTGGCTTCTAAAAAAAATCTTTTGGAGTTTTAAAAGGTAAAAATGCAATGCAACTTAAACAGATGGGTGTTGAATAATATGATATGTTGAATATGACAAACAAAACTTTTTAGATTTAACTTATACAACTTAGACAAAGAAATTAAAAAAAAAAATCTATTTAAATAAAACAAGTCCGATTTAAATTTTAAAAAAATGAATTTTTTTTATTTAAAAAAGAAAAGAAAAGATTTTTAACAAATCTGACTACATGAATGAAATGAGACATGAAAAGTGACGTAGCGCAATTAATCTGTCCCATGCATTATGCAATTACCAGTACTGGTACAGTTTTGTTTGACAAAATGTGGTAGGTGGTCAGCCACTGGTAATTTCTAAAATCGGTCTGTACATGTAATTTCACCGGCTGCTGTTCTAAACCAGCAAATATATTAGATAATTTTTTTTTCCTGAAATAGACCACACATCAACATGATCAATGGAAACTGACTAGGGGCATTATTATTATATTTATATTGAACAAAGAAATTGATTGAAGTGGGGTTTGAACCTGCGACCTCCGGATTGTCATTCTGGTGCGCGACCAACTGAGCTGTCCAGCCGTACGTGTGCTGTATGTTGGCAGTACATGTACATTGTACATTCCCCCATTTAGTCAATGTCTTTGTTCAAGGGGCGCTAGTCAGAAGCCATAAACCCGTTTATGGCATGTAGCCAGGGATCACGTTGGATCATTCCAGCACTCTACCAACTGAGCTATCCAGCCATACATGCATATGTTGGCAGTACAGTGTACATTCCCCCATTTTGTCAATGTCTTTGTTCAAGGGGCGCTAGTCAGAAGCCATAAACCCGTTTATGGCATGTAGCCAGGGATCACGTTGGATCATTCCAGCACTCTACCAACTGAGCTATCCAGCCCTATGTTGGCGGTTTCTCATTTTGTCAATGTCTTTGTTCAAGGGGCTCTAGTCATATCCAGGGATCACGTTCACGCCCAAAGTCACGATGCTAGCAACATGAGAGCCGTTAAAGGGAATATACATCATTTGCTTTTGCTGTAATTTTCAGAAATGGATGGAATTAGGGGGGTTGGAAATATAGCAAATATACATGTAGCTACACTGACTTTTTTGAGGTTTTGGGTTCGGAAATGCTATAAAAACCAAGAAAAACGATCATTTTCCTGTAGTCTGGTTCCCTGACTCCATATAAGAAAAAAACAGAGCAGTTTACATTCATTGGAGAATTGTAAGGTCAGGGAACCAGTCTAGCTGGCTCGTACCCGTTCATACATGTAGGTTTGTAATTGATTGCAAACAAGTGCGATGGTCAATTTGGGCCAGTATTTGAAAAAAAAGCCAGTTGTTTCCAACGCTGATCGGCCGATCAGCGTTGGAAATTGATACAAAAATACCACTTTTCTTGAAAATGACAGTATACCAGGTGCCATGATTTTACAGGATGCTTTACACTGTCATTCACTAACAGTCCAGCAAGGTATTTCAAAATGATTTGGTAGTTTTATTTTTTGATGTTTGCAAATGTTGTATTTTTCCTTTAAGCAATGCTGCAAACTTGGCAAACCTGGAAAATTTAGCAAACGGTGATCACTCACAGAGGATAAGGCTGGGTACTTGTAGCTCAGTTTATAGAACTGCAATCTGGAGGTCATGGGTTCAAACCCTGCTCCATTCAATTTCTTTGTTCAACTTTAAAATAGAAAAAACAAATGGAGGGACCCCCTACAATGTATTGCTAATGCTGAGTGTGTAAGTTACGTACATGTACATGTACGTATGCGTGGGTAGGCATTACATTCACTGTGTGGACATCCAAACAAAAGAGGTCCACATAAACCAGGTAGAGGCGACGTTGTGTGGACTTGCCCACGTCCACACAGTGTTTCCCCATTTCTGGAAAACAGGTTTAGAGGCATTTTTTGGTTAGGTTTATCGTGGCAAAATGAAGAGAAACACTAAAGGGGATCATAGAAAAAAAATTGGGTTGAAAGAGTTTTCACAGTTTGAGAAAAATGAGGTTTTTTCACTGGTTTTTCTTAACTACACGAAACCAAGGGAATGTCCACACTAGCTGTTACCAGCTAGAACCATACATTAGCTGGTACAGAGGAAATGCTACGTTTGTACATGAGGGTGTGGTAACCAGTCTACCCTGCGAGAACTGAATTATTGTGAGATTGTTGGGAGCGCAAGTAAATCAAAATTTTTGAAGTACATGTAGTTATTCCGTCATTACGTCGGCTGTTTTTCGTTCAAAAGTGAATAATGTTGGAACTGCCAAAAAAAAAAAAGCAATTTAAAAACATAGGCCTAATCCAGTATTTTGGGGATGAAACTTGAAAACAGAGCTGATGATCTGTTTCAATTGAACCAACTGTTATTGGTTAGGTCAAAAAAAAGAAAAAGTTCTGCTTCCGGTTACCCCACATTGTACCTACCCTATTTTTTTTTTTGGGGGGGGGGGGGATGACCAAAAAAACCCCCAAAACCACAACCATCAATGACTACCTTTTACCCTTGACTGCACACGGACATCTACCGGTACTGGTACATATGATCAGCACACACACAAAAATGCCAAAAAGAAGAAAATTCCCTACCTACATGTACATACCCTATTTTGAAATGCCATGTAATCGGAAGCAGAACCATTTTTTTTGGCCTTGGGATTATTACAAGGTAAGCCTGTACGTACATACAAATGTACAGTATATATACTCCCTGGGCCTTTTTTATTTTCCAAATTCACCAGTGTGCAACAAACCAGACATGTATTCCAACATGTCCAATGGCACATTTTTTTTACTGCACGATATTTAAAGTGTTGAGTGATTGTTTTTGTTGTAAACCGCAAAAAGAAATCAATAATTTCTGGGTTATGGTGAAGAAAAACCTACATTTGCGGTTGAGCAACACGTGCACATATTGTACGGTAATCTGTTGGAGCCATTTCTACATGTCCAATTGTACAGATAGAAAACAGATGGTGCAATTATATAATGTGTGTTTCAAGGGAAGGGACGGTGCTGGAAATTTCTCTTGTTTAATTTTATGGCGGACATCAATTTGTTTTGTCCAACAAATGTGTATACCGGTACACATGTACATGTACATGTACATGTAAGACGTTGACTTGTCTGAAAACTTGAACTTAATATGTGTTTAATACACATATTGAGTTGAAGTACATGTACATGTACATGTATTATCTAGAGAAAACTACAAAGTATTTCATAATTAGACAACAGGGCCCTGTGTAGTTTGTATTGAAAGTTGTACTATTGGTGATTTGTTTGTGCGTGGCATGTCCTAAAAAAGGTAAATTTTCAAATTTTTCTGCATTACATGTACCTGCCTATTGTTACACAGTAAAAAAGCTATAGACAAGTTCATATTTTTAAATGTACATCATTGGTTTTTGCTGTAAATTTCAGAAATGAAGTATTTGGGGGGTTAGTATAAAAGATCAAATATGGTTACACTGACAAGTTTGAAGGTTTGTTTTCGAAAATGCTGGAAAAATCAAGAAAATCAAAAATGTTCAAGTAGTCTGGTTCCCTGACTCCATTAAAATGAAATGAATCAATTTATAGATGCCGGAAAATTGTAAGGTAAGGAAACCAGTCAAGCTGGCCTGCACCCGTTCATGAACATGTAACCAATAGCCAACAATATTTGGACTGAAAAAAAATAGTAAATTTGGACCAGTAGTTGAAAAATAGTCAGGTTTTTCCAACGGTGGTCGGCCGACCACCGTTGGAAATTTATACAAAGTACCACTTTTCTTGAAAATGACTTCACACCAGGTGCCATAATTTTACAGGATGCTTTTGACTTTCAGTTACCAACATTATAGTAAGGTACTTTGCAAAAATTTGGTAGTTTTGTTTTCCGATGTTTGCAGATGTTGTATATTCCCTTTAAACATTCAGGTATAATTACTGATTACGGGATGGATGAACCCCTCAAAAAGCCCTTTTGGGGGAAAAATACGCTGGGAAATTCCGTAGATTACTTTTTATTATTATTTTTAATGGAAAACATACATGAACATGTATGTAACTTTGTACTTGTCATCGGAAACAAAAAAAAATGATACCGGGAAATGTTGAGTTTATTTATTAACAGAGTGCCTGGGAAAGTGATCTCCCGGCTGTGCTGTAATGTCTCTGTAAACAAATTGACTCTACATGTAAGCAGCACTCAGCGACTCACAGGGAGACATGAAAGCTGCTTCTACACAGGATCAAAAGAACCTTAAAGGTGCAGTCCATCATTTGTAATTTGTGCATTATGTTCGTTTGAAGCAACAAACGTGCTCAAAATGTACAGAAGGGTGCTGAACAGCTGACCTGAGGAACTTTCAGCTCAGTGAATGATGTACATGAAAACAATATTCTAGGATCTCAAATTCTAATTACAAGGTGCTGAATCATGGTTTGAATCGGGTCTGAATTCAGCGTCCAAGACATGTTCTCACTGAGGCGATTGCAGCTTCGCGCTGTCTCACACTGAACCGTTGAATAAAGCAACCGCGCGCGTGTGTGCGCTGTGTCAACGCTTGCACGTCAAATAAAAAACGAACTATTAACGGAAATTTGCATCTAAGACGCATCGTTGGAAAGGCCTTCTTTCGTTGATTTCTTCAAAATGACAGCTTGCCAGAAAGATTAATTTCACAGGGAGTTTAGTCCCCTTACTATCTTTCAACCAAGTATGTTTTTCAACAATAATTACGTCAGTTACTTTTTGGATAGAGCTGCAAATGATGGACTGAAGCTTTAAGTTAATGTAATAATACACATCCCTGCATTGCTGATTGTTGCCCTCCTGCGACTCACAAGAAGACAGGATAAAAAGTACCCCATGCATCCTTGCATCTTATTGCTGATTGTTTCCCCCCCCCCCCAAGAATGAGAAATTAGAGAGCAGGTGAATTTTCTAACATTTTTTTTGTCTCGGCGCAGGTCAAAGTAATTACTGTAGTTGTTAACCATTAGTCTTCGTACGCACTCTGCCTTGGATGAGTTGAGATGGTTAGGGTCTGGGTAATAAGTCCTGAGGAATTGTGGACGCGCAGGATATTATAATTACATGTATCATTGTTATTGGTTCAAATGCCAGATGTGATCGTAAGATGTGTATGGTAAATATATACATATGTGAGGTGTTTTGGCAAAATGAGGCAGAACTGGGCACAGGACGTAGTGGAGATGCACAAAAACGAATTCGCCCAAAAATGAATGGGGGTTATTTTTTTTTTTGAATTTTCAGATTTATTGATGTTTGTAATCGTAGATAGGTATCTACACATGTATTTTAAAGAAATCGTATAAGTCGTGGAATACAAATTTTTTTTATGGGGAAAAAAATGACAGATTTCATTTTCACCGCTGTCACTCGACACACTTCTTTTTTTTATTTTTTAGAAAGCTAACTACAAATGTAATTTGGCTTTCATATCCTAGATCTGGAAAGCGCTACATTGTACATGCAGAACTTCTTTAAAAAAAAAAAAACACCATTTGGGTTTCCTCTTTTTTTTACTCACACTCACCCTGTACATGTACACATGTATATTGATCTTACATGTACGCATCCCGGTACATCTACTGTACATGCAAATAAAACTGTATGTACATGTACATTGAATCGAGAGCGATTTTGTTCAGATTACCCTGCAGCGATTCTCAAGCAGCAAATATAGTTGCTACAAATACATAGTTACACAAAATATTCTGCTGTACACATACATGTCTGCAGTCGTTAACCACGAGAGAGTATACCGGTACATATGTGGTCATAAACCCTAAGGGAACATGTACGTATGTATGTGATGAATCTTAATTATGTAGTGTTGATCTGTGCTTGGGCGCTTTGGTTGGTGGCTCAGATTGATCAAGCGTACACATTAGCCTATCATGTTTGTTTTATGCATGCATGTGCATTCAAGGTTTTCAGAAAATTTGAAAATCAGCATATGGGATGTTAATATTTGCTAACGTTAATGTACAATGTATTGTATGCACACATACAATGTACATTTGTACGTGTACATGGACACATACAGTACAAATCACAGAATACATGAATTGTGTGCAACATTAGCATTTGGTGCCATTTGAGTTGGAAAAGTACTTGCCTTTTCCAGATGTGTATCTATCTAGTGGGCGATAAAAAAAGGTCAGGGTTTAAATTCCAAGAAAACCCCCCAGAATATACAATGTACCGGTAAGTTGCTTGAGGACCAGGTATAGCGGCTGATGGTCAAAGATATTTTTGAATGAATTCAAAGACTTAGATGAGGGCAATTCCATGCGAAAGTGGACAATTTATGAAATCTTCAGAACTACAAGCATCACAACCTCAAATGTGGTATCAAATGAAAGGGGACAAGAAGGCCTTTTAGTTGAGCGGTGTGCCAGTGTTAAATTAATTTTTTTGTCAAAAGAACTGTTTATTTTTTGGGCTACAAAATCATGTACGCGTAGGTTTTAGGTAACCATTTTGACATCTTGATCTGATACACCGTGCCCTCTGGAGACATGCACACAATAGGGAACAAAAGATTGTATACATCTCCACAGGGCAATTTCTATAGATGAATACGTCTCCACAAGGTTTTCACAAAATAGATACTATATGGATTTTACTCAAAAACTAGGAATTTCAAAGGTAGGTTGATCTGTCGCAAATGGAAAAGTTTTAGAAAAGGGATATTAAATCTGAATTTCAGCCAAGGAAATTAATTCTGGTTAAAATAAGAGCATTTTGAAACTTCACTTTCAAACTTGAAAACTTTACTACACGAGAACAAAGAAATGTCTCCACAAGGATACAAATTTCTGTATGGGTGTTTTCACACATGTACATGTATGCAAAATGCAAATTGTGAGTTTTTGAGAGAAAGGTTCATATTTTATGAAAATTTCACATACACGTAGAACTTAGCATACTGCCGGTACGATTCAGTATGTTTTTTTTTTCGCGTGTGTGAAGTTGATTTCAGACACGTACTGGTAACATCTGTAACGCATTATGTTTCCATAAACATCAAAGTTCCATTTTGTAAAATTTCACTGGTGTTTTTATAGAGTGAACCACAACAGAGTTAGGCCTATTTGATCAAATTCTTGCAAGCAACTTCACAGACTTTTGAGATTTGAAGGTTTGCATGGTGGAAAGATACTAAGAAAAAGACAAGATAAGTTTGCAGTAGCACCATGTGAATAAATCTCTTTTGTGAGTATGTGTGGTTCTGAAAAGAACCAGTTCTTTTTCAGAACCACACATACTCACAAAAGAGATTTATTCACATGGTTCGCAGACTTTTATCAATTGGTACTGAAAATCACAAATCTACAAAATGTATATAAGTATTACATGCGTAATGGTTGTTTACAGCGCTGATATCTCGTTAATTAATTCAGCTAACATTACATTAACCATGTCATGTTGTATCGGTACCTTAAGGCCTAAGCTAGAGTTAAGTATAAAATAAATATAATTTGCTTTCACTGCAAGTATTTTACTTTGTTGTTTCAAATTGGTTTTTGGCTCTGAATGTAACATCCGTACAATGGAATTGCCCATGTAATTGCAGTGTTTTGGTCGAGTGCGCCACAAGTCCATTCATTTATGGTCAGTGACGATTATACGGGCTCCGTGCACAAGTACCCTCTCCACGGTTACTCAGAGAGAGTTGAGGGACATCACTGGGAGAGATTCTTGATCGCATCGCTGATGGCGCCTGACGCTCACGCGAATTGGGCTTGTGGTCATTCAGCATGTTCAGAATGAAATGAGTCGTACTTGTGTACGTTCTTCACGCCATCAGTGTGTCAAGCAGTACGCCCACGTGTTGCGTCTCTGCTGCTGTTCCTGCATGGAGCCCATAGATTATGTGGCGTTTGGTAGCCTAAAATAATGCATCAGTATTCATGGTACATGTATCGGTGCTGTGTGTTTTGACGGATATGTGATTCGGCAAATTCCACACTAATGGGCCAATTAAATAAGTTCATGGATGTTGCAAATAAAGGGTAAAAGATGAGCTAGTGTTTTCTTTAGTTTTTTTCTATACATGTACATGTACCTTGCTAAGTTGAAAGTGACTAGGACAAGAAATTCAAGAGATGATATCTTTTTTTATTTATTTCTGTGTTATGTACGTAACATGGACATGATGGACAGACTCTGCAAGGAAAAGGGTGCTTACATTGTAGGACAAATTCAGTTTCTATAGGCATTTTTATTTGACATAATCAACCCATTTACATTGCTATCAAGCAAAAATATATAAATTTTTGGACTGGCTTCACAGTTATGATGTGATTAGGGCTACGTACGAACAGGGACGGACATTTTGTGACAAATGTCCAGTCTGTTCGTACGTATAAATCCTGATTATAAAATATCAAATAATTCTTCACATTGACTCTGAGTTTTCTAGGTTTTGTCTGATGGCATTCCTCCAGGTTACGGTACATCTTCTTAAATCAGACAACATTAGGGGATCATTAAATGTTATGCTTACTTTGTGACTTTTTGTCTGTCCTTCGTAACGTACATGTACCGTACCTATCACTTTTAAAAACAATTTCCACAATATTCTCTAAAAAAAAACCAGTTATCCTTTGCATATGAGGATATTTGTTCGAAGCTTGCAATGTTTACAGCAAAAGTTGAGAGACAAAGATCCTAGTTTTAGTATCAAACTCAAAAGGTCTTCTCAAGTGTCACACTTTTGGGCCCATTAGTGTGGAATTCCCCATTTACATATTTTGTGCTGGTTATTGTCTGTGATATTATTAATTGTCTTATTGTTATTGTTTTATTTCAGTAAATATTATGAGAAGGAAGCATTAATGGCTCACCCTGCTGATGGTCCAATCATTGCATCGCTACTTGGTAAGTTGAAATCTGGACCATGAACTAACCCTAAGGAATCACTGTTTAACCTCTTAACACTTGAATTACAATGTAATACATTGTATTACAATGAAGCAAATTGTTGCAATGTAATACATTGTGTTTATAATTCTGTGGTGCTTATATACAGTCGCACAATTATTACCCCTGTTCATCAGGCATTGAGACCAGTTTCTGCAGCAGCTCGAGATCAGCGCATTCTGGTATCTACCTTCACAGGTACCCATTTATACTCCTGGGTGGAGAGAGGTAAATGTAGTTAAGTGTCTTGCTCAGGAACACAAGCACCATGCATGTTCCCCGTCAGGGTTCGAACACACATATCACAGCACACAGTCGTTTTTTGCTATGCTTCCGAGGATTGGCTGTGTGTTTTCCTTTGTTCCCTGATCTAACCTTTTCCCATGGACTAAACGCACAAACCTGCGTTCGAGGAAAATAGGCACCGTCATTCGAGGATGAATGGCCCCTTTGTGCTCCTTTTGTTGTCTGTCCTCAAGCGTAATACAATACAGGAACACGTGAGTCGAACACCGTAACCATTGGACCACAGCGCTCCACTTTCCCTGAAGAAACCAAACAGAGCAGTGCCAATTTTTGGGGCAGTCGCCAATGAATTTCTAACATTTTATCTGTTTGTTTTTTTTTTTAGTTGGACCCTGTGCGCTAGACTACTCTAAGATGAAGACTGCAGATCACTATTGGACTGATCCCCCAGCCGATGAGTTGGTTCAGAGACACAGAATCCACAGCATGAATCCTGGCGTCGTTTCTACTACACCTGCTTCCCCTAAGAGACCTGGTTTACAGGTAAGCAGATGAGTGGATTCAGAGACCTAGAATCCACAGCATGAATCCTGGCGTCGTTTCTACGACACCTGTTTCCCCTAAGAGACCTGGCTTACAGGTAAGCAGATGAGTGGATTCAGAGACACAGAATCCACAGCATGAATCCTGGTGTTGTTTCTAACGACACCTGCTTCCCCTAAGAGACCTGGCTTACAGGTAAGCAGATGAGTGGATTCAGAGACACAGAATCCACTGCATGAATCCTGGTGTTGTTTCTACGACACCTGCTTCCCCTAAGAGACCTGGCTTACAGGTAAGCAGATGAGTGGATTCAGAGACACAGAATCCACAGCATGAATCCTGGTGTCGTTTCTACGACACCTGCTTCCCCAAAGAGACCTGGTTTACAGGTAAGCAGATGAGTGGATTCAGAGACCTAGAATCCACAGCATGAATCCTGGTGTCGTTTCTACGACACCTGCTTCCCCTAAGAGACCTGGCTTACAGGTAAGCTGATGAGTAAGCAGATGAGTAAGCAGAAGAGATGAGACATATAATCCACAGCATGCATCTTGTGGTCATCTCTACTACACTTGCTTCCCCTAAGAGACCTGCAGAAGGTTGTGGGTTTGAGTCTCAGTGATAAAGCTCAGCACAGTTTCCCTGACTGAAAATATGATAGATATCTGTAAGCTTATTGCCATCCATTCAATCCACAAGTGTTCGTCAATGTGGTAATGATATTCATACATATGCATATTCATACTCTATTTGTACCAAATTAATATTCATACCTGATTAATATTCATACTTTATTGTTCTTACCATTGTGATAGGTCAAGCGTTTACCTGGTCACCAGGGGTCATCAGATGATCACAGAGGCACACCCCTCTCCGCCAGAGACTACGTAGAGTCTCTTCATCAAAATTCCAGGAGTACTCTGCTGTATGGCAAGAACAATGTCTTGGTGCAGCCGGTGAGTTAATACCATTATTCTTGGTTTAAAAATACAAAAGTTTCAATATTGACTCATACTAGGTGCTTCGAAAGTGGTTTAAACTAGTGCTTTGGATGTATTCTCGTGGAAATCATATCTACTCAGTTTTCATGTGCACAAGGATTGCCATGTGCTGATACTGGTGTGGGACCTGATATCGCACGGTGATTTGTCAAATACAGTTTATGCGGCACCAGTCTTTCGTTGACAGATTGGCTTAAACTTTGATGCTTGAAATGTGTATAGACAATACATGATGCATCGGAAATACAAAAATATGGGGATTTCAAACTTTTTTTTGGATAAACCTACATGTACATCATTATGATTTCCGATAATCCATACTTTTGACACGAGGTAAGTAAACGATCTAAAGAACAAGATTTGGACAAATCTGGAAAAACGTGCAGCTCCAACTCTGTTAGCATTTGACTTCTAAATCTTTGATCTCTGTTTTATCTTTTGGTCTTTTGTTTTGTTTTACAGAAGGAGGACATTCAGCACATTCCAGGCTACCTGTCACTCCATCAAACAGCCGAGCATCTGACCATCAAATGGACCCCCAATCAACTCATGAATGGAGGGGGCAGCTCAGAAGATAGCGAGACTGACCCTGAGAAAAGGTGAGTGGTGTTTACTCACGAGTAGGTCACTCATCGCTCACCACAATTGTCCGTCAACTGAGGGAGCAAATGAGAGATTGCCACATTCATGGCTTTTGCTTGGTACACATGTGCCGCACCTGAGTCACCATAACATGGCCAAGATTGTAATGGTGTTGAGGTTAAGTCCATCACAAGTCAATCACAAGTCAAGCTCAAGGCAATCACAAGTCATCACAAGTCAATGACAAATCAATCTTAGGTCAAGTCATTCACAAGTCCATCACAAGTTGGTTACAAGTCAATCAAACTTTAGTCACAAGTCAATCACATGTCGATCACAAGTCAATCTCAAGATGGTCACAAGTCATTTACAAGTCCTCACAAGTCAATCACATGTCGATCACAAGTCAATCACATGTCGATCACAAGTCCATCACAATTCAGTCACAAGCTAATCACAAGTCGGTCACAGGTCAATCTCAAGATGGTCACAAGTCATTTACAAGTCAATCACAAGTCAATCACAAGTCAGTCACAATTCAATCTCATGTCATTCATAATCAATATCAAGTCGGTCACAAGTCAATCACAAGTCAGTCACAAGTCAATCACAAGTCAGTCACAGGTCAATCACAAGTCATCACAAGTCATTCACAAGTCATTCACAAGTCAGTCACAAGTCAATCACAAGTCAGTCACAAGTCAGTCACAAGTCAATCACAAGTCATTCACAAGTCAGTCACAAGTCATTCACAAGTCATTCACAAGTCAATCACAAGTCAGTCACAAGTCAGTCACAAGTCAGTCACAAGTCAGTCACAAGTCAGTCACATATCCATCACAAGTCAGTCACAAGTCAGTCACAAGTCAGTCACAAGTCAATCACAAGTCAGTCACAAGTCATCACAAGTCAATTACAAGTCAGTCACAAGTTAATCACAAGTCAATCACAAGTCCATCACAAGTCAGTCACAAGTCAATCACAAGTCAGTCACAAGTCAATCACAAGTCAATCACAAGTCAATTGCAAGTCAATCACACGTCAATCACAAGTCAACCACACGTCAGTCACAAGTCATCACAAGTCAGTCACAAGTCAGTCACAAGTCAGTCACAAGTCAATCACAAGTCAATCACAAGTCAATCACAAATCAATCATAAGTCAATCACAAGTCAATCGCACGTCCTCACAAGACAATCACAAGACAGTCACAAGTCAATCACAAGTCATTCACAATTCAATCTCATGTCATTCATAATCAATATCAAGTCGGTCACAAGTCATTTACAAGTCAGTCACTAGTCAATCACAAGTCCATCACAAGTCGTCCAGTCTCAAGTCCAAGTAACAGGCTATTCAAGTGAACTATGACAAAGGCATTCCTTTGTTATTATCCATCCCTGTTACTTGTGACCAGGCTTGTGATTTACTTATGATTTACTTGTGACTGGACTTGTGAAGGCCTTGTGATGGACTCAACCACAGCACTGCTTTCTAAGTCATGCCATGGCATTGGGTCAGTCCGCACCAGACTGGTTTGCATATTAATCTGGCTGGGAATTAGGCTAAAATTACTGTATTGGCTCTGGGCAGTGCTCTCAAGGGGTAATAATGTGAAATTTATATTACGGTGAGGGTTTCTTTCAACGTGTTGTCAACCATTACCTTCCTGTGCGTTGTATGCACTGCAGATGAGAGGATTTAGCCAGAAATAATTTCTTTTCAATTTGGGAAACAACAGTATGATAATGATTCCACTCCTTTAAAGGCATATAGGATCATTTGCTTTGCACGCATTTTGTTCATTTCAAAATCCAAAGATGAATGTTCCAAACCTAACCTGTTGAAGTTTCAGCTCAGTGGATATTACACTTTTTGAGCAAACAGTGCAAAACCATGCACGACCTTTTGATCACTAAACACGATTTCTGCCATAGCGCTCAGTATTTCCAAAAATCAGTCAATTGACTGATCGTTGGAAATCACCTGCATTTCTTGATTTCTTCTAAATGACAGCAAGCCAGACAGAATAATTTCATGGGGTGTTAGTACCAATACGATCTTTAATCCAAGTAAGCTGTTTGAAAATAATTCGGTAGGTTAGTTATGGGATAAATGCAAATGATCCTATATGCCTTTAAATACCAAAACTTAACATGAATCTCATTAATTTTTAAGAAGTAACATTTGGGAGCGGTATGTGTACAGTTTCTGTTCATTCACCATTTGTGTAGAAAGCTTATTTTTGGTCCATTAAAATTCGCTTTTTTGTTCTGTTTTGTTGTTAGTCCTGTGTCACGAACACGGTAAGTCTCACTGTGTTTTCCATTGCTGAACCAGCTAATGCAAATAAGAAAAAAAACACAAACGCACAAAAGAATGGACCAAGTCCGTGGTTTTCCATCATCCAATTTCTTCGTTGTCAACTCGCGCATCCATTTCATTCATTTCATATTGTTTTCTCAGCTGGGTTGTGGTTGCAATTTTATTGGAAGTTTTCTTCACAGCTTTGGTGATGGGATCAGGCATAGATTACTAACGGTTTCCAAATAATTAGATTTTAGTATTTGCATGACGAAAGAGTAAAACTTTGAAGAAGGCTAGATATTTTCTTCAGACCTTTTCAGTATTCAGTATACAGGGCGAGTAAAAATAAACGAAACCCAAATGGCAGGACCAATTTTTTGAGTGAAGTTTTGCCTGTAGCACTTTCAAAAATCTAGGATATGAAAGCCCAGTCATTAAGCTTTCTTTTAGTACAAGAATCATTCAAATCGCTCATGTACTTTCCAAGTTATGGAAGTTTGAACACAAACACCGTTTTAAAGTTTTGTCCTCGGATCACAAAGGAAGTGTTCCGTCAGCAAAACGAAAACAATTCTCATAGGGATGCATGTGAATTGTTTTCGTTTTGCTGAAAGAACACTTACCTTTTTTTGTGAATTGTGGACAGCACTTTGAAACGGTGTTTGTGTTCAAAATTCCGTAACTTGAAAAGTATGTGAGTGATTCGAATGATTCTTGTACTATAAGAAAGTTCTTTGATTGGGCTTTCATATCCCAGATTTTGAAAGTGCTACAGATAAAACTTCATTCAAAAATTGGTCCTGCCATTTGCATTTTTTACTCACTCTGTACTTGACACACAGTGAATCTCTAGATTCTACATCCTTCGAGTTCTTATATCACACCAACACAGATAACCGGGGTATAAGACTGAAACGGTTTCTATGGTTACAGAGAACTGTTTAATGAGACTCAGCGTTTTGGTCAGCGGTATTGAAGAGGATTTTCTTTTGGAAACTTCTTTACCTCGTGAGAATTAAAAAGTTGCTTTTTGAAATAATGTTAATTTAGTATTACGGTTCCGGTATTTCTTTTGAGTTAACCTAAGAATTCTATCAAATTTTAAACAGAATTACAACTGTTTATTCATGTTGCATTAAAGAGGTTGTGGAATGCTCGAAGACATTTCCGTCATTTTTCGGGTATATGTAGCCTAAGGTGTGATGAAATAAAAACGACTATTGTGTCTGTCATGAAATGAGTACAAACGGTACTTTTGAGAGCTGTTTTTCAGGTCCTGTTTCGACCCGAACGTGCAATTTGTGTAAAAGTCGTCGTTGGGGGCAGCAAACAAAACATAGTAAATCTTGACGTAATAAACAGGACTCCCGATGCAGCGTAGTATAAAAGAGTCCTTTTTATTACGTCACGTCACGAGAACTGATTGTGCTCTGATTTCAGACCATGAAACTAATCACACACATGGGAAAAAATGGAAACGGAAATGTGAAATTCTTCTCAAAATAGATTTTTTTTGTTAAGGACAGTAAGGGTTTTTGCTTGTCTAATAGTGTCTGTTTTCTTATCTATCTAGACATATCTGTCAGTCTGTCTTGACACACAAGCGAGTCTGTCTGTTTAGCTTGCAAGTTTTCTATCTGTAGCTTAAAGATGACCTAGCTTACTAGAAATTGCTATTTAGACTACTAATGATCATAAAACTCTTGAGTTTACGTCAAGTGCAGTTACTTTTTGTGTAATAAACAGGTTTTGTGGGGTCATACAGCACATATGCGTGGAGCATGCACGGTGAAGGGTCACAACTACTGCTTGCATTGACATAAATGCTTTTCAGACTTTTGAAAGGCAAAACTTCCTTTGCACGGCATTACTTCAAAAATTATTCATATGATGGATTTTGCATTTTAAAGTTTCTGTTGTAAATTTGACACTGGGTTTTGCCCTTGACAGCACTTGAAAATACGTCCGTGAAGTAGTCAGCACTCAAAAATATGTTGGTGAAGGGCAAAACCCAATATTGAATTCACTTCAAAGACTCTTCTAAATCTGTAAAGGGTCCATGTGATGAATTTTTCTTAGGAACACATTTTGTGCAGTTTTCTACTCCTCTTAAATGTACATGTATGGAAACTATTTGACATCCCTTTTTGGTTAATTTTATTGAAAAGTGCACTTTTGGAAACATTTAAAATTTTCCATGCTTTTCCAAACAACTGAGGGTGCTGTTGCTGTGATGTCTTTTCAGGAAGACACTGTTCAGTTTAGGGGTTTTCTGTTCAAATTGCAAACCCAAAATTTGCTCATTGAAAACATTTGTGAGAAAGATTTGCTCATTGGCTAACTGCAATGTACAACAAATCACCACAGAAAAGAAAATTTACGACAGCGAAATATCCAAAATTCTAGCAACTTTTTGTGCTGAAATAGCTATAACATTGAGGTTTCCACCCAGAATGACATCACAGTTTTGCTCATGAATATGGAAATTGGCATTATTAGCATAAAAACCAAAAAGGCACCAAAATACCCCTGAAAATGGCCAATACCCCTGAAAATTGAAAATAATGGGACAAAAATGGTGCATTTTCAAGAATTGCTTTAAAAAAGTTACATTGCATGGGCCCTGTAAGCAAAAGCAAGGAATGAAATTTGGAGGTTTTTGGAGGGTGAAAGATGAAGATTGCCGCCAGGTGCAACATTGACTGGCTAATTCGTGGAGCTTCTGTTAAACACAGAAAATACATGTATGTGCTTAGCAGAAATTGGTTACCAGCTAAATAATTATGAAATGTCTACAGCTGTTAACCGGTTCCCGGCCGAATTTTGCTAAGTTCATAAATTGTTCAGCAATATGTTTTTTCGTCTACTGGCTACACAAAATCAGGCCCAGACAAGCAGGTTCGATGATTGTTTGAATTTGTAGGATAAAACAGGGTGCTAGCAAAATAATTGCAACAGGGAGCACTCATTTCACAGCTTCAATTCTTACCATAGATTTGTGTATAAGTATATGGAACTAAAAAAAATATCTCTGCAAGCGACTTCAATCTTTTGTTCTGTTTGCTGCCTTGGATTTATAAAACAAAATTAAAAATTACAATACTAGCTAATTAACGGTACTTTTCTGAAAATATACCTTTACTTAGCAATCATTTGTTTCTACACATTGCACCTCAAGAGTACTAACACTTGTAGAACCAGTACTTGCATATAACTTAAGATATCTGACTTCAAAGCTTTCATTTTTACCAAATACATGTAGATCAGATAAATTTATTCTAATACCTCTATGCTATCAGTTATCTTTGATATTCTAAATAATGAACTTCTTGGAATTGAGGGCTTTCAGAGGCAGATTTTATTTGCTCTGCTTACGGCTCAAAGGCCAAAAATGTTCATCATGCAGCATACCGTTATTGACTGGCCATGCCAGTTTGGTATACATGTAATGGCTCACTTTGTAGTCATGGTTTCTATCAAACACTGTACAGGCAGACTTTGAGCTTGCACAAATTTGCTGAACTCTGCACGAGACAACTTCCAAAGCTGTTTTTGTTGGTTGGAACTTTTTGAGCTTAACAAGAACCTCCTAATTATAAGCAATAATGGGCATGAAAAAGGCAAGAAATGTGATAAAGTAGATTGCTCAAAGGCATTTCTACACAGAACTGGTGAAACACAAGAAACTACCATATTCAGTCCCTATTGTATGAAACAAGAGTCTGTATAAACATGGACAAAGTAATTTGTAAAATAAATTAATTCATTCATAAATTTATACATCAGGTCCTTGATGGTAAAACGGTCTAATTTTGTACCATCCTGGGCACATTGAAAATGTGTTAAATTTCTGAAAGCGTTTGTTAAAGTGTGCTACCAGAAACACATCAATATATTTTGTTTTGTATAATGCGCCATATTTTATATAAGAATTGTTTTATTATTGTTATTTGTTTATTGTGTATTGTTTTAGTGATATGTATGACTTGTGTCGCTTTTAAGCAAAAACAAGTTTTTGATTGCAAAACATTATCTTTGAGTTAGGTCGGGTACAGTTATTAGATGTAAATTAATATAATAAGTCTTATATAACCTTTTGCCTAAAAATGAATTTTGAAAAATGTGTATTTGGCAAAAAACAGGGTCTTTTGAACACAGTTGGTTCAAACTTCAGGCTCGATTTTTCTCAAAAAGCTAAGTTAGTCTGTTTTGCCATCAAAGAGCCAACATGTCTTTGATCAGTGTCTTCATTTTTACTATCAACTGTGTTTATGTTATTCCTTTGTGTTGTTTTTCCATCTTCATTCCAGCATCTACTGGGACTATGCAGTGACAGTCAATCTGGAAGACATCGTGTATCTTCATTGCCATCAGCAACGTGAGTAGAATCCACTGGAATTACTCGGACACAGACTGCACAGTTTTTAATCTGAAATATCCTCAGGCCAGATTCATGTCAATAGAATATTGCTGAAACATTTGTTCACAGCTGATTAGCATTATGGGGAATGTAATAATGCTGCTAACTGGAGAAATTGTAAATAAATATTTTTTATTGTGAATTTCTGGGGTATTTTTTTTGGGTTGATGCTATTTATCAATTATCAAAATTTAACGGTACATAGAAATCAACAAGATAGAAATAGTAGATTTCCATACTGTAAACACATGTACAGTGAACCACATAGCCATTTTGAGTCCAAACATTTTGAAAGTCTAAGTATCACTGCTGTTTGTTTCATGAAAATGAAAGTACCACACTTATGCCCCTCTTTGACGACTAGCAGCTATGAAATTTTCTTTTTCCTGATATGATTATTGAGTCAGCATAGTCGGGCAAAAGAGTTTGCAAAGGAACTTTCTCAAAATCCCTAAAAAAAATCAATTATCAGTGGAAACATTTCAATAGGCATCTGGGGCATAGACCAAAGTAACAAATGGGATTGCCTATATTTTGTTGTTTGGTTTAAAGGGAATATACATCATTTGCTTTTGCTGTAATTTTCAGAAATGGTGGGAATTGGGGGGTTGGAAATATATAGCAAATATAGTTACACTGACTTTTTGAGGTTTTGGGTTCAAAAATGCTATAAAAACATGAAAAACCAAGAAAAACAATCATTTTCCTGTAGTCTGGCTCTCTGACTCCATATAAGAAGAAACAGAGCAGTTTACATATATTGGGGAATTGTAAGGTCAGGGAATCAGTCTAGCTGGCTAGTACCCGTTCATAGGTGTGTAATCGATTGCAAACAAGTGCGATGGTCAATTGGGGCCAGTATTTGAAAAAAAGCCAGTATTTTCCAACGCTGATTGGCCGATCAGCGTTGGAAATTGATACAAAAATAGCCATGATTTTACAGGATGTTTTACACTGTCATTCACTAACAGTCCAGCAAGGTTTTTCAAAATGATTTGGTAGTTTTATTTTTTGATGTTTGCAAATGTTGTATTTTCCCTTTAAACTTTTTTTGTGAGGTCCACGTTGCTGTACCGGTACCTGTATGTACAGTGTACAAAACAATGGTAAAGGCCAGGAAGTATATAGTAGTAAGCAATGTTGGTATTCGGTGTGCACAAGATTTGACTATTTCTACTTTTGGAATAACACTGCAGATATGTGCACACTAGTCTATGGAGGCAGTGTTGGAAACTTTGCATGTAGTTTGATTTACCCAGTGGCATGCATATCAACGGAATCAACAAGTATTAGGAGTGACCCAGATCCACTAAAACCGATTTGGTTGCAGACAGATCAACTTGTATTAATTATCTTTGACAAACCACTGCTACTGTCAGCAATGGTCATGATTTACAGTAAAGCCTCACACATAAAGAAGACATGTATTAAAACAAAGATGCATTCACGACTCGATCATATTTCAGTTTAAATTTTATTTTTCATGTTAACTTTCCACAGCGGACAGCGGTGGTACCCTAGTCCTAGTCGGTCAAGACGGTGTCCAGTACCCCCCTATCCATTTCCCTAAGGGTGGTCATCTCCTGGCCTTCCTGACCTGTCTTGAGAATGGCCTCCTCCCCCGCGGTCAGCTAGACCCGCCCCTCTGGTCTCAGCGGGGTAAGGGGAAGGTCCTACCCAAGCTACGCCGTAAGACCTCGCCTCTGAGTGCCAACCAGAAGGAAGGCACGCAGATCTTTGAAGGAGAGGAGGCGACGGATTACGTCTTCAGGATCATCAAGGCCTTCAAGCCTGAGTATGGTGAGTAATCTTAACCTGATAGAGCCAGTACTACATTGTATTACATTGTGCTTATTACCTGAAGAATATATGAAACCATACTGGTAGAGTGCCTGGGCAGTTGCTAGCAGTACAGGGAGTAACAAAACGGGGGCGGTTTAGGGCGTTAGAGGAACAAACTGATTAACCTACTTACCCAAGTTGGATAAGTTGGATTTTTGAGTTCCTATCACCTATTGTGGGGAGTGTGGCCTAGTGGTTAGGGTTCATGACTCATGATCAGAGGGTCAGGGGTTCGAATCCAGCTGCAGAAGTATAAATGGGTACCGGCATTAGCTGGGAGTAACCTGCTATGGACTAGCATCCCATCCAGGGGGAGTAGAAATATTCTCAGTCGTTTCATGCCAAGGAAACCGGAGATAAATGCTGGCCTGATGGACCACATTGGCTCGTGACAGACTTCACTACTTTACTACTTACTGTTGAGGCATCTCCCCTGCCCCCCCCCCCCCAAAAAAAACCTTTTTATGACGAAATGTGATATTCGTCCAAACTTTCAAGGCGTTTTTGCAAGGAACCTTCCTGATCCTTCAAAATCCCCCATCTCGTACTTAGGGTAGAATCATTCACTTTGTCCAGAAGAAGCTCTGCAATTGTCATAACATATTCCAGGAAAATTTCTGACCCATTGAGTAGACCAGATGCATGACAAGACTTCCGGTGAACAGCCACTCTGAATCAGTTGAATAGAATTTCGTGCACTCTCATGACTCTGGGTTCAGCGTTAACTAGACTTGCCTTGTCTTGGTGTTTTTGTAGTTCCCGAGGACATGATCGACCCAAAGCGAAGCAAATCTGGAGGATTCCCGTGGCTGTTACGCGACAGCGGGCCTAGGCACTCACTGATCCGACAGCAAGAGGCTCTAGCCAGTCCTACCAACGCCACCGCAACCACATCACGTATCTACTCTCCCTCCTCACCAAATACTGAAATACCCATCATGACAGCAGCCACATCAAGGTAGGCACTAGTAATGTTACCCTAACCCTGACCCTAACCCTAACCCCACCGCAACCACATCACGTATCTACTCTCCCGCCTCACCAAATACTGGAATACCAATCATGACAGCGGCCACATCTAGGTAGGTACAAGTAATGCTACCCTAACCCTAACCCTAACCCTAACCCTAACCCCTACACCACCGCCACCACGTCACGTATCTACTCTCCCTCTTCACCAAATACTGAAATACCTATCATGACAGCAGCCACATCAAGGTAGGCACTAGTAATGCTACCCTAAGCCTAACCCTAACCCTAACCCCAACACCACCGCCACCACGTCACGTATCTACTCTCCCTCTTCACCAAATACTGAAATACCCATCATGACAGCAGCCACATCAAGGTAGGCACTAACATTGTATTTGAATCCATCAAAAGTCCAGCACAAGGCATTCCCAAATGAACCGTGATAAAGGGTTATCCTTTGGTACTGTTCATCACTTGTCGTTTGTGAATGGACTTGTGATGTACTTGTGACAGGACTTACGGTGGACTTGAGTACAGTTAAAAGGGCATTACAGCCTGAAATCTTGGAACATTTTATGTTTTGGATTGTTTACTAATCCTGTTTCAAAGGTCTGGTCGAAAGGAAACTAACCTAATGTTCTACCGTGCCCGAAAAAAGACGTAAAAAACCTGGTTGTTTACATCGGACACGATGGCATTAAGCATATGTATTTCAAGTCATCTCTGTTCAAAGAACTCTACACGTTGTGCGTGTGTGTCACATAATACAAACAGCACCAATACACAAATGTTGTTTCTTACATGTCTGCAGAATGCGAACCACTGGTGCGACAGTATTCACAACTAGTACTCACTGCTAAATTTTATGGGACAAAATTGTGACCCCTGAAATTTGTTATCGCCTGGTTCTTGCAGGAACAACACAAAACCGCCCAGTTATTAGAGGATGGTTGTGTGGATGTTTAATTCTACTTCTAAACGCTCTTTACAATTGATATAATTTCGTTTCAAATGCATTTTGTAGCACAATTGGGCGCATTCAAGGCCGCAATGTCCCTTTAAGTACAGACAAGTCTACACAGGTACAATGAGACCATAATTATAAAATGACAAATAATAAAAACGATAACAAATAACAGACGAGGATTTTTTTTTTCCCACAGGTCCTCAATCAAGCTGCTGTGTGATACCATGAAGAAACAGATCATATCAAGAGCCTTCTATGGATGTAAGTGCTCTCCAAACGTAAAAAAAATATCTCATTGCTGTTGTGAATTTTAAAATGTTGCCCTTTACTTTAAAATTAATGCACATGGCAAAACCTTGCAAGCTACTCCCATAGATGGTCTCATGACTGTGAAATTCTTTTTTGGGGGGGGGGGTTGGCTAAATAGGCTGGGTAGTCCACGACGTTAACATCTTGACTTGACAAAACTTTGCAATGAAACTCTTTCAAAACCAGATTTTATTTAACACAGGCATGCAACTTTTTCCTCGGATCCGCTGATTTCCTCTTTTTTACTTCTCATGAATGCCATTACAAATTGAAAAAACACTGTACAAAGTCTTGTGTGGTTTGGAATTTCCTAATTTTTTTTCTAAATTCCTAATTGTATGCTGATTACCAATTTGTCTCAAATAAAAAAGTCCTTTGGAGTTTTTTCATATGATAACTTCTGGTTTGGAAAGACAATGCGGTTCCATTTTTATGGGTCACGTTTTTTGACCTGGTTATTTGAGACCCAGTCATATTTGTGAAACAGGAGTCATGTTGGTTTTAAGGCCGTTGTCCAGTCTGTTCTGGGTTGGCCTGCTTTCTCCCTATGGCTCTCCTCCACTTGGCCCTGTCCGTCGCATCCCTCGCATTGACTCCAAGCAGTCGCATGTCATCTGACACGGAGCTCTGCCAAGTCTTGCGCGGTCGGCCGACGGGTGTGGGCCCACCCACAATTACGTTGGTACACCTCTTGACCCAGTTGACATCTTCCTTTCTCTCCACATGACCAAACCACCTCAGCCTGTGCCTCCTCAATACGATGCCGATCCCCTCCACTCCCACTCTCCTCCTCAGCTCCTCGCTTGACAGGAGGTTCTTCGGATTTTGGAGCAACACAAAAGCATCATCTTTCAGACCTTCCGTCCAATTGTCAGCAGAAGCAATCGGTGCAGCCGATTGAGATCTTACGATCCTACATTTTATTCTTCCTTTCTCTACTACCACAGGGCTTGCTCACTGTCGCCACCTGCGCACAGTTCGTACACACCTGTCCGGCTTGGTGGATGCTAACATCATTGCCTTGGATGCATCGGAGGGGCTCGATGCTGAGAAATGGGCCAGGTTCCTGGAGGCTGGAAAGGTATAGGACCGAGATGTCACAAGTCAATCACAAACCGATCATTAGTCAATCACAAATTAAGCACAGGTCAATCACAAGGCGATCATTAGTCATCACAAGTCAATCACAAGTCAGTCACATGTCACTTATGAGGCAATGAAAAGGCGATCACAAGTCAATGAAATATAAATTGTTAGTCATCACAAGTCATTCACAAGTCAATCTTAAGTCGTAAGTGTGGGCTGCTGTGGTCCAATGGTTACGGTGTTGGACTCGTGTGCCCTGTTACATGGGTTCAAATCCTAACCGTGGGAACATGGTGCTTGTGCTCTTGAGCAAAGCACTTTACCATTATTGCTTCGTCCTTCGGATTGGACGCAAAGCTGTAGGTCCCGTGTGTTGTGTAATGCAAGTTAAAGAACCCAGTAACACTTATCACTAAGAGAAGGGGTTTGCCCCGGTGTTTCTGGCAGTGGCTGCAATGTGCCCGCAGCACCTTGTATACCCTTATAAAGGTGCTACATAATGGGTCTTTTATTTCTCATAAGCTTCATTTAATAATAGACATAATTTCCAGCGCCTTGAGTACCTTATTGTTGGTAGATACGTGAGCTATATAAGACTCCGGTATTAATTCAGTCACAAGTCAATCACAAGTCATTGAAGTCAATAAAAATCATTCATTAGTCACCACAAGTCGGTCACAAATCAATCACAAGTTGATCGCAAGTCGTTAAAGGTAGAGTCCATCATTTGCAGCCATCCGAAAAGTAACTGGCGTAATTATTGTTGAAAAACTAACTTGGTTGAAAGATAGTAAGGAGACTAAACTCCCTGTGAAATTATTCTTTCTGGGAAGCTGTCATTTTGAAGTAATCAACGAAAGAAGGCATTTCCAACGGTGATTCTTAAGAAGCACCGTAGGAAAATTTAAATTAGTAGTTCGTTTTGTTATTCAGCGCAGCGCGCACAAGTATTCGAACGACGCACACGCGCGCGCGGTTGTTATAATTCGTCGGATCAGTGCGCGACGTCGCGTATAGTTGCAATTCAAAACAATTCAAAACATGATTCAGCAACTTTTGATTTGAAATTGAGATCTTAGAATGCTGTTTTTCTCGGAATGTACAGCTGAAGCTTAGCTGAAACTTCATCAGGTTAGTTGCTCAGTATCCTTCATTAGATTTTGAACTCTTTTGTTGCTTCAAACGAACAAAATGCACAAATTACAAATGATGGACTCTACCTTTAACAAATTAATCACTAGTATGCAAAAGTCAATGAAAACTCAAACTATGTGTTAAACATTTCTAAATTATTTCATTCCACGACAAAAATTGAGTCTCTGTTCACATTCAGAACAAGTATTTTGGGATGTCAGTTAGAACATGCAAATATTTAAAAAAAATATTTCTGTGTTATTTTTGTTAGTATATAATTAAATAACTATGACTCACCTGCTAATGACAATTCACCTGACAATAGTCCTGTGATCATGAAGAGATTATGAAACTCTTTTTGTTTTGTTTTAGGAGGTGAATGAAGAAGAGGTGATGCGTCTGGTGTATTTTGGAGGCGTGGCTCACGAGATCAGAAAAGAGGTGAAGATAATACTATGCTTGCATCTCATTGTGATAAGTTGATTTTCCTATCATAACAATCACTATAGTAATTTTTTTGTAGTTGCTCTAACGACTTTGCAAAGAAGGACTTTGTTGAGTAAAAAATATCAACCGGTGTAAAAGTAGTATTGCTTACAAAGGCCGCTTTGAAGCGTTTCCGTTCCATACCCGTTCGCATTCCCTTTCTGCAAATACGCTAGATTTGTGCTCACTTGACATAATCAGATATTATTATCTGTGGAAGCGAAAATGTCCACATCAATGGAATGCAAATAAAACTTTGTCTTCATCCTACAGGTTGGGCCGTCCTTCATGTTAAAGTGAAAGTGGAAACAACTCATGATTTCAATAATTGATATTCATTTTGACTCTTTGTTCTAGTCAAGTCCTCACAAGTCCATCACAAGTCCTCCAGTCCCAATTCAAGTCACAAGCTATTCCAATGAGCTTTGATAAAGACATTCTTTCATTATTGTTTATCCCCTGGTTCTTGTGACTGGACTTGTGATTTACTTGTGACTGGACTCACAGTGGACTGGTAATAGACCTTTATCATGCTGCCACCATTTCAGTCATGTTCCCTGTATCCAATAACAGTACTGAATGATAATGGTTTTTGTGCAAAAAGGAACCAGACTATTTTCACTTCCGACCTCGCTTTGGTTACCTTGATTTGAAAGGGAAAAAAAAAATCAAGATGGCCGCAACATGATAATGGTCTATGGACTCGGCTCAGCACCAGCAGTTTCCCTGGCTAATTCGCTTCACTGTAAAATTCCTGTGGACTATTTTCTTTAAGGATTACTTTCTTGTTCTGTGTAGGTCTGGCCATACATGTTGGGCCACTACAAGTTCGGCTCCACAGAGGAAGAAAGGCGATCCGTGGACGCCAACACGCGTATGACGTACGAGCAAATTGTCGCAGAGTGGATGGCCGTGGAGGCTATCATTAAGCAACGCGACCGTGACACTCAGGCGGCCAAGCTCTCCTCAGAGAACAGCTCGGAGGGTCAGATCCCTCTTCAGGGTCATGATCCTAGCTTGGACAGCGAGGTGTTTGAGCTGGAAGATGAGGATAACGATGAGTATATCGAGGCTGGGGAGGTACGGTCGATGGGAAACGGGGAGGACTTGTCACAAGAACAACGCGAGATGATCCGCAAGGTATTATCATTATACAAACCAAATACTACCGGTAGTAGTCTATTCAATAATAAAGTGTATTGATAAATACCTTGGAGAGTTGATAGCTTCTGATTGGTCGAGACTCAATCACGTGGGGGTGTATTAACGGTGATATAAAGACCGGCTTCAAGAACAACGAATAAATGGCCCCTTAACAAGCTTTGATCTAGCATTATGTAAGCCAAATGATTGGCCAAATTGACAACAGTCCTGCGGTAGCTTGTAACAACACAGCAGTACACATGGGCTCAACCACATCGTGTGAAGACTTACGCGCGCGTATGCAACACAGTTGCTATGCACGTGGAATAAGTCTTCACACAACATGTTCGTACTGAGGATGTTTACAGGATATCATATCGTTTGTCCCCAAACTTTTTTCGTCCCCAAACAAAAATTGTAGCCTACATTTGATTCTATAGCTCAGGATAGCCGATTCAACAATTCAACTTGAAAATGATGTTTAATTGATGATCTTTTGCTAAAAAAAGTGGTCAGAAATTGCCTCAGATCACACCATGGAGCATCTAGAATCCAACATTTTCGGGGCCCTTAAGCGGGCCCTGAACCCCACCCCCAAACCCCACGGGCTTTGCACTTCGTACTTGCATTACTTTCTGATCATAGTATGTCCCCCCCCCCAACTTTTGAGAAGCGATTGACACCCTTGCATTTAACAGTTGCAACAAGCGCATATATAGTGAGCTAGTACATTTTATGAACAAAAATTGAGAGGTTTTCTGAATATTTTTGGATTTGATATACAGGAGGAGTACGTGGTCATCGAATGCCGAAGCCCACAGGAGAAAGAGGAACGCCATCACTTGAAGCACAAACACAGCGACACGTCGGTAGACGAGGGCATGGGGGCCAGTATCGCTAGCTCATCAAGCGTCAAGTCTCGGGATAGTCTCAAGCACGCGAGCACCACGTGCAGCGAGGAAGGAGAAGTGAGAGTGGAGCTTTGCAACGGAGACGACGTCCCCCCAGCAGAGGACCAAACCACGCCCACAGAGGAGGTGAAAGAAATCGAGGAAGACTTAGTGCCGAAGGGGAAATGTCTGAAGATAACGGATACGCTGTCGGCAGAGACTATGGCCGTGTCGCCTGCATCGTCCAATGGAGGAGTGTACACGGTAAGACAATAGATGCAGTATTGAGGAGTTGAAAATTGAAGACAACGAAAAGTAATTTAGAAAGTTGACTGATTGGAGGAAAAGTTGCTTTTGATTCATATTTTTGTAAGATGATGATAGACTTTCAATAGAAAAAGCAGTTTAAAGTTTGCCCCTTTGGGCTAATTCAATTTGTGTTTTCTTTCAGAAGGCTTTTCAAATTGTGGGACGCTTGTAAACTACATTTAATTATATCATAGACAAGTGTCAATTTGGGCGATTCTCAAAGCAATGTGCCACCAAGAGGTTGCCACCAAGAGTTCATTTTTCCCAGTGCATTGTGGGAGATGGTCGACAAATTTGCAGTGCGAATTTTTGAAATTGTTAGTTTTCTCTTGCCAGTAGTTTCGTAAGCGTATGATTCAAGTATCTGTTTGCCTTTTTTTTTTTTTTTATCAATATGGCGTTTTTTTTGTAAGGAGGCAGAATGCTATGCACCAATCTATAACAAATTAGCTCAAGTTGTCTACTGGCACCTGTTCAAATGGGCCATGTTTTGTCGACCGTAAATTTGAAAAATGGACTCTCCATGGCAAACTGTTGGTAGTGCACTGCAATGTGAATCGCCCTAATTAGCGTGTCTGTTGAGGCTGTCAGTGCAAAGCCATTGTTGAACAAACAGGGTCTTTTTGTTTTCAGTCCTTTCCACAAAAGAAAGTCCTGAGGCCAATTTGGAACTCAGTAGCCCTCACAGAGCTTAATCCTCCACTTTTCGCATAATTTTTCAAACGCCCTTTTGGAGTGAGGGTTATTTGAAGTTCACGACTAAAATATAGATGAAGAAGCTCAGGGCCTTCCCTGCTTTGCGAGGAGTAAAAGCTTTCATCAATGATCAATGGATGAATGTACACGCCAACACTCAACAACTCTGCTATGGATGAGTGCACTCACCCAAACAGGCATAGGAGCTTTTAAGAAGATTTTTATTTCCTTACTTACTTCAAGTATTGATTTGTTTGTTCCCAGACCGAGCTCTTGGACACATTCAGCTTAAACCTGCACCGTGTCGACAAGGATGTGCAACGATGTGATCGCAACTACCATTACTTCAACGCGGCTAACCTGGAGAAACTGCGTAATATCATGTGCAGTTATGTCTGGGAGCATCTGGAGGTTGGCTATGTGCAGGGGATGTGTGATCTGGTAGCTCCCCTGCTTGTCATCATTGATGACGGTAAGTCTGTCAGGGTGTTTGTCAGGGTGTGTCTGTCTATCGGTCACAGTGTGGGTGTATGTCAGTTAGTGCTATGTTTGGGAGCATCTGGAGGTTGGCTATGTGCAGGGGATGTGTGATCTGGTAGCTCCCCTGCTTGTTATCATTGATGACGGTAAGTCTGTCAGGGTGTTTGTCAGGGTGTGTCTGTCTATCGGTCACAGTGTGGGTTTATGTTAGTTAGTGCTATGTCTGGGAGCATCTGGAGGTTGGCTACGTGCAGGGGATGTGTGATCTGGTAGCTCCCCTGCTTGTTATCATTGATGACGGTAAGTCTGTGAGGGTGTCTCTTAGGGTGTGTCTGTCTATCGGTCACAGTGTGGGTGTGTGTCAGTTAATGCTATGTCTGGGAGCATCTGGAGGTTGGCTATGTGCAGGGGATGTGTGATCTGGTAGCTCCCCTGCTTGTTATCATTGATGACGGTAAGTCTGTCAGAGTGTCTCTTAGTGTGTGTCTGTCTATCGGTCACAGTGTGGGTTTATGTTAGTTAGTGCTATGTCTGGGAGCATCTGGAGGTTGGCTATGTGCAGGGAATGTGTGATCTGGTAGCTCCCCTGCTTGTTATCATTGATGACGGTAAGTCTGTCAGAGTGTCTCTCAGGGTGTGTCTGTCTATCGGTCACAGTGTGGGTTTATGTTAGTTAGTGCTATGTCTGGGAGCATCTGGAGGTTGGCTACGTGCAGGGGATGTGTGATCTGGTAGCTCCACTGCTTGTCATCATTGATGACGGTAAGTCTGTCAGGGTGTCTCTTAGGGTGTGTCTGTCTATCGGTCACAGTGTGGGTGTATGTCAGTGAGTGCTATGTCTGGGAGCATCTGGAGGTTGGCTATGTACAGGGGATGTGTGATCTGGTAGCTCCACTGCTTGTCATCATTGATGACGGTAAGTCTGTCAGGGTGTCTGTCAGGGTATGTCTGTCTATCGGTCACAGTGTGGGTGTATGTCAGTTAGTGCTATGTCTGGGAGCATCTGGAGGTTGGCTATGTACAGGGGATGTGTGATCTGGTAGCTCCACTGCTTGTCATCATTGATGACGGTAAGTCTGTCAGGGTGTCTCTTAGTGTGTGTCTGTCTATCGGTCACAGTGTGGGTGTATGTCAGTTAGTGCTATGTCTGGGAGCATCTGGAGGTTGGCTATGTGCAGGGGATGTGTGATCTGGTAGCTCCCCTGCTTGTCATCATTGATGACGGTAAGTCTGTCAGGGTGTCTCTTAGTGTGTGTCTGTCTATCGGTCACAGTGTGGGTGTATGTCAGTTAGTGCTATGTCTGGGAGCATCTGGAGGTTGGCTACGTGCAGGGGATGTGTGATCTGGTAGCTCCCCTGCTTGTTATCATTGATGACGGTAAGTCTGTGAGGGTGTCTCTCAGGGTGTGTCTGTCTATCGGTCACAGTGTGGGTGTATGTCAGTTAGTGCTATGTCTGGGAGCATCTGGAGGTTGGCTATGTGCAGGGGATGTGTGATCTGGTAGCTCCACTGCTTGTCATCATTGATGACGGTAAGTCTGTCAGGGTGTCTGTCAGGGTATGTCTGTCTATCGGTCACAGTGTGGGTGTATGTCAGTTAGTGCTATGTCTGGGAGCATCTGGAGGTTGGCTATGTGCAGGGGATGTGTGATCTGGTAGCTCCCCTGCTTGTTATCATTGATGACGGTAAGTCTGTCAGGGTGTCTGTCAGGGTGTGTCTGTCTATCGGTCACAGTGTGGGTGTATGTCAGTTAGTGCTATGTCTTGGAGCATTCAGAGGTTGGCTACGTGCAGGGAGTGTGTGACAGGGTAGCTCCACTGCTTGTCATCATTGATGACGGTAAGTCTGTCAGGATGTCTCTCAGGGTGTGTCTGTCTATCGGTCACAGTGTGGGTGTATGTCAGTTAGTGCTATGTCTGGGAGCATCTGGAGGTTGGCTATGTGCAGGGGATGTGTGATCTGGTAGCTCCACTGCTTGTCATCATTGATGACGGTAAGTCTTTCAGGATGTCTCTCAGGTGTGTCTGTCTATCGGTCACAGTGTGGGTGTATGTCAGTTAGTGCTATGTCTGGGAGCATCTGGAGGTTGGCTATGTGCAGGGGATGTGTGATCTGGTAGCTCCCCTGCTTGTCATCATTGATGACGGTAAGTCTGTCAGGATGTCTCTCAGGGTGTGTCTGTCTATCGGTCACAGTGTGGGTGTATGTCAGTTAGTGCTATGTCTGGGAGCATCTGGAGGTTGGCTACGTGCAGGGAGTGTGTGACAGGGTAGCTCCACTGCTTGTCATTGATGACGAAATCTTTGTCAGGGTGTCTGTCAGGGTTTGTTTGTCTGTCTGTCGCGGTGTGTAGACCTACCCCGCGTTACGGGGAAGTTTTTTAGTGTTAAGCATATTAGGACCGAGTTATGGGGACTTTCTGCTGTGCCCACAGCGTTTTTGGTCCCCACAAAATACCTCGTACAGACGAGTGTACGTCCCCACAACGGAACAAGTATGTGTGCGTGTTTATGGTGTAAATCGAGGACATAGACGTGCAACACCATCGGTGAATTGAGGACAGGAACCAAATCGAGGACGACCTCGATTAGAAAATGTGTGCAAAACCAATGAGAGCTGTTGTAAAAAGTAAACAAAGGAAAAGGGAAGAGGAACAATAGAAAATCTTCGAATTACACCATAAACAAATGTGGGTGAACGTATAAACACTGCCTTATGGGTACCGGAACAATGGGAGGTACCCCACAAGGAATGCTTACCAACTTGCGGGGTACCGTTTTGGTACCCCACACGTTTTTCACGAAATAGATATATGGATTTTACTCGAAAACTAGGAATTTCCAAGGTGGGTTGATATGTCGCAAAGGAAGAGTTTTAGAAAAGGGATATTAAGTCCAAATTTCAGATAGGAAAATAATTCTGGTTAAAATAAGAGCATTTTGAAATTAGTGTGTGACATCGCAAAATTTTAGTACACGAGAACAAAGGAAGTACCCCACTTCTAAGGCTGTGTAAGGGTGTGTGTGTCTGTCAGGGTGTATCTGTCTTACACCCCTTCATTGATATTGTCCCTTATCCTTGTATTTTTAATGAATCACTGTTGACTGTTTGTTTCAGAGGCTAAGACGTACAGCTGCTTCTGTGAATTGATGAAACGTATGAGTAAGAACTTCCCCCATGGAGGTGCTATGGATACACACTTTGCCAACATGAGATCTCTCATACAGGTGAGTTAAGTTTACTTCAAGAGGCGTGACAGTTTCCTGAATATTTTTATTTTTCTGCCAAGTACAATTGGTGGCATGTTTCCGACTCACTCATTTTAACATGGTAGAAAAACAGCTAAAATTTGTGATAAATCACTGATCGAGATAAACGGTCGAAATAAATAATTGTACTTGCTGGGGTCGGCCAGTCGGTTCAAGTCTATTGTAGCAGCAGGTACTGCAACCAAAAATTTTGTTTGATGGAATTTGCGTCAGTGAGATGGGTTTTACCAATGTGTGCTATAAACACTGTATGCTCAGTGTTGTATGAGGGCTTGCAAGAAAAAAGTCACAAGCTTTCTCAGATGGGACTCGAACCAAAGACCTCCTGCTTAGTAGTGCAGACGTCTTTCCACTTGACAATTTGATCCTGATGTAGCAGTGGGTACGGCAATCAATATCTTATGGGATGGAGAATGTGAGAGGGATGGGGTTCCACACAACTGTTCATTTTTTCCCCATCTGATACCCAAGTTTTCATTGTTCAGTTGTCGTCTTGCTCCTCTATAGATCCTGGATTCGGAGATATTTGAGTTGATGCATCAGAACGGAGACTACACTCACTTCTACTTCTGCTATCGGTGGTTCCTGCTGGACTTCAAGCGAGGTTTGTGCGATTTGATAGAAATGTATGAATATCGCTTTTAAGTAATAATTGAGTGTCCTGCTCTGTGGAACAAAACATCAAAGAAAGCTGGACCCATAGGGCCAGACTAGTGTCATCTTTGTACCTACAGGGCGAGTAAAAAAAAGCGGAACCCAAACCCCCAAAAATATATTTCATATTTAAAAGATACGTAGCACCAAAAATACTGGAAAGCCAATTTCAAAAGCTACTTTTTGTTGAAAAAAGTACTGAAATTGGTCAATCCGTTCAAAGAATATCACCATTTAAACGCAATGACACTAAAACCTGTCTCGTCCAAAAATAAAAGCGATTTACATGTATCGTGTGTTTTGACTGTTTTGAACAAAGAAAATGACACCGAATACTTGATTCAACAACTGTCACCAACTGTAATACACAATATCTTTATTAACAATCCTGGTTAGGCAAACAATATGATTTATAAAATCTACTTTTTCAAAAGACGGGCCTTCAAAAGGACTTCGTTGCATATTGGTAACGTTTAAACTAAGATTTCATCGCTGGTGATGTTTGAAGACAATTGTGACGACGATTGTTGAAATCACATTTTTTGGATGAGACAGGTTTTAGGGTCATTGTGTTAAAGTGGTGATATTGTTTGAACGGATTGACAAATTTTAGTATTTTTTTCATCTAAACGTAGCTTATGAAATTGGCTTTCCAGACATAATTATTTTTGGTGCTACATATTTTTTAAATATGAAATGTGATTTTTGGGGTTTGGGTTCCACTTTTTTTTACTCACCCTGTATCTTACTGACTGACTGATTGACTAATGGTCAATTCTGGCTTAGACTGTTGAAGGGACGAATCCGGGGACGTGATCGCAGTACACGCACGGCCCCCTTCTATGGATGGGTCTTCGTGATAAAATTGATAGTATGCTGGGATTGGTCTATAGGGTTAGGCTATAATGTGATCTAAAGCCGACCCAAAGAGCGAATGCCATGTGACTTCCTCTTGGCCAATCAAGAATATGCAGAATCTGTGGGCGAGGTGTTGGAATGATTTTAATTCTTTGTTTCCTGATCAGAGCTGGTCTACGACGACACCTTTGTGGTTTGGGAGACTATCTGGGCGGCTAAGCACTGTGCTTCCAGAGACTTTGTGCTGTTCATTGCGTTGGCCTTGGTGGAGTACTACAGGGATATCATATTGGACAACAACATGGACTTCACGGACATCATCAAGTTCTTTAATGGTAAGCATCCGAGGGCAAACTTAATAGAGCTTCTAAATATACAAACTTTGCTTCAAGTTTTGCTTACCAGAAACAGCTTGTCAGCCAAAATGTTCTGAGAAAGATTTTTCTCATTACAAAAGTGAAATGTTCTCCTTGTGGATTTATCTTGTTAACAATCGGTGAACAGATTTATTGTGGATTGGAAACTTTTGAAAACAGTTCTTGCTCCTCTCTAGAAAGTTTGTTAGTATTATTTTTTGCTGGTAATAAAACCAAGGATTTTTCAAAAGTGCTATAGGCACTGTAAGCTCGCAAGCCTTAAGAAACATATAGAGAGGAGACAATGAGAAGAAATTACAGTTTTAGAGGTGGGAGGAAAACCCCAGAAGAATATTCTGGGGGAAACCCACGGAATCAGGCAGGGACTGAAAACCCAATCCACATGTGGACAGGCCAGGAATTGAACCCGGGTCACAGCAGTGGAAGGCGAGGAAAGTACCGCTACGCCAACCTGACTCCCCAACATTTGGGAGTAACTTATTAAAAATATATAAAATCATTTGCTCTTTGTGCAAAAATCAATTATATGCCCCTAAATAAATAAATATAAACTTGAACTTGCCACTGTTGTGTGTTCTCTTGACTGAAAATTACAAATGTTCACGAGCGGTATGTGTTTATTTTTGTCTCCTACTCAGAAATGGCGGAGAGACATGACGCCAAGGCGATCCTGAAGGTTGCCAGAGACTTGGTGTACAGGGTTCAGACGCTGATTGAGAACAAGTAAACACAACAAGGCAGAGTTTGCACCAGGTAAATCGCTAATCTGCTGTGAAGTTGTCAATGATACACATGAAACAGTTGTAGACTCCACGCACTAGTACCACCCAAAGGGTGACACACAGAGAGATATAACAGACCCTTGAATGCCATGGAAACTGTTCACTTGGGCCCATCATTAGACATAATTCTTGGTGAAATCTTTGATTCCTGTCAGAAATAAGCTTGTTTTGCAAAAGGCAACTGACATTCCAACATGTGTAGCTGCAAGTGATCTGACAAATTCTTGAAATCTTTTGCAGGCGTATGTGTACATTCCTACACTTCATGAGAAGCTTTTTCGCAATGATACTATCATCCTACCCACCTGGATTCCCTAGCTAAACTACCTCTATACCATGTCTTCTCAAGTGTGCCCCTCACCCCTCACCCTACCCCATACTGTTTTCCCTCACCCTTTCCCCTTCCCCACCCCTTGCCCTACCCCTTACCCTTTCCACCCCTACCTCTTCTGCAGTGTTGTAGTACTCGTACTCATACTCGAATCAATGTCGGAGTGATTGTACTCGAAATGACGGTACTCATATTTGGGCAACAAAGTACTCATACACAATTGTACTCAATTATCAAAGTACTCGTACTCAAATAGCAGTACTAAAGAAAAAGGTGTATAGCTTGAATTGACTCACCAAAGCCTTATTTTATCAATACTATCAGTTTGAAATGGTTGATTGGCTTGTGGAGAAATCAAAGTTTCCTGATTTTCCTCTGTGCACGTCCGGACAAACACATTTAGCAGCTAGCCCTGAGTGGGTCTGTATATTGGTCTGACTGGGCCTGGGCCAATTTCGCATAGTGAACCATTTGCCGTATGGCTGTATGCGGAAATAGAAGTACTCGTACGTGTACTCGCACTCGGAAGTACAAGTACTCCTAATCGGAGACCTGTACTTGTACTCGGAAGTACTCGTACTCGGCAGTACTCGGTAGTCAGAAAAAAGTACTCTACTACAACACTGCCCTTCTGTTTTCCCCTTCCCTCACTCCACTCTTCCCTACCCCTTCCCCCACCCCTTTCCAAACTTCTTTCTAACCCTGTCCCCGGTTCCCTCACCATATCCCCACCCTTCCCGTCCTCACCTTCTTCCATCCCCGTCACCGATGCTCACCACACTGCACCACCCTACCCTTCCGTTATGCAAGACTCATCAACTAACTGCCACAAGCCTGATGCATACAATGTACATGTACCAGTATGCCAGCATTCCGAGGAGAGAGACTTAACTGGCACTTGTCGTCCACTGACTAACTGGTATCCTTACGCGACTTTGAAAAACAAAAAGGAAATGAAAGAATGTGTATAAATAAAATGTATTTATTAAATGTTATAGTTTCATATCGTGCTAAATGGTTTAGTCTGTACATAGCCAGGTCCACACGTTGTATAAACAACTCAAAAGAAGTGCAAAAAAATTGAAGTGGTTAAGTTGTGTTAAAAAAATGTTCAAGTACTTAAATTTACATTTACTGCGGGTTTAGAACTTCAGTAAATAATGTAAAAAAAAAGATTGATCAATTTGTTTAGCGAGAGTAATTGTTTTGTAAGATAAGGACCGTCATGTTTAAAGGAGTAATATGTGTGTGTGGTTTAAAGAGATAGTTTATGACGTAGATTCTGTTGACGGATTTCAGAATCTTGACGATCGGACCATGCTGTGAAATTTTGTCACAACAAGCAGTTCTTTTTTTTTTAATTTACAAGTGCATTCGCCACATGCATAAACATTACAGGTTTTATTTTATGTGTATTCTGTAAACAGAACGTAAACTTTTTGTTATGGAAAACAAACAGACGATTTTTATTTTTTAGACAACTGTACACATTGCAGTATTTGGTAAGACTTGGTTGATTGAGTGGGAAAAAAATGAATTTCCACAACTTTGAATACTTTATTAAAAAAAAGATAGAAATATGTACCATTTTTGAGACCATGATGAAAAAAATCGTTGTCACGTTGAGATGAAATCAATTAAGTTAGTAGATGTCGGTGAGAAAAGAAATCGTAAGAATAGTCACCAAGTTTCTTGGATTTACATATACGGTCACTTTGAGAATTAATGGTATATTGAATTAAGCGTAAAATAAAAGTAAGTTACATGTACAAACCTTATAAAAATAGGTGTTTGTGTAAAAAAAAAAAAAGTGACTACGCATGATTTGGTTTCTATTACATGTAGATGAATGTTGACCAGTATTGAAAAAAAAGTGAATATTTTTTGGTTTGTGTGTATCCCTACACTGTAAACAATGTATACATGTCCCTGTGGTGACCCACGTAGTTAAAATCTTAACGCAAAAGTCTTAAAAAGTACTGTCATGTAATATAGTGTAAGATAATCAACACGACCAGTTTATACTTCGGGTGAATGCCAAACCGAAAAATGATCCAAGTTTTGTGAAGGGACGTGTGATTTTCTGTAGAAAGTTTTTCTTGGAACGTTGATATCTGTTCATAGGGAGTATGGATTGGTCGTAGTAAAACAAAGGAGTTTATGTACATTAAAAAAAAACAACCTAGAATATTGACCGAGATTTATCGAGGTAAACTGCTTAGTGATGTATTCCAAGATTGTATCCGTGTCGCTGTTCAGTACTAGTACTTTTTCCATGTGTTGTATTCAACGTGATAGTACTTCAAAACATTGTTAAAAAAAATTAAGAGTTTTAAAAAGTAGCCACTGTTGTTTATAAATAGAGGATTATTGGATGGGAATAAAGGGGCCATTGTAATAACCATGTAAAAATCATTTGAATCGCGTAAACCTGGAGGTAACATGTAAACTGTGATTAGTTTGGTTGAATGCACTGTTCAGTTATAGTATATGGACCGGAGGGGTAATTAGTTATGGTTCAAGAAAATTTTTTGCCAATTTGCTCATTAATTTATTTGACTAATGATGAAACAATGACATTTGTTGGTCTGTAGAACGGCTGAATTCCTCGGAAGACTGCAAAACTCAGAGCAGTGCTTTAAACTTGCTAAAATTTTTGCCTAAACTTCAAAACTTGGACCTTATTTAAGAGCTGTTATGCGCGGGAGGTTGCTCAGCCCTGATGGATTTTGTTTAATTGCCAAAACAGAAATCTGCTAAAATTGTTTCCCAGCTTGCTTTATAAAGTTTTCTAGGTTTTTTCTTCAATTTCAGCCATTGTCTTCTAAAACTCCTGTCTCCAGAAAGCGAAATTCAAAATTCAAATTCGAAAGCAGAAAGTGTTATTCAGTGAAAATAATTTAACCAAAATTTGGGTAGCGTACCTAATAGAGTATATCCTTGAATTAATGACTGTACGTTAATAGCTGCGTGATTAGCACATGTTCGTGTTAAAATGTTAAGCATGGTAGCCACTAGATGAACAGTATTTAATGTGACGTAATCACGACATTTCATGATACGATGAAATATTGTGCAGACATTCCAACTATTCGCTGAAGTATTTGGGGTTTTTGTTGTTGGTGACAGCTTCAACACCTTTACCACATGCATATTGTATTACGCACTGTTTATTCATTGAAGAATCCATGAAACTGTACAGTGCTTGGTGGTTTGGGGCAGTACAGGAAGTAACAGGCAGGGCGGTTTAGGGCGATACAGGGAGTAACGGGTTAAACACATTCAGGCCGTGTAGTTCAGACCCATCACACAACAGAATGCCGGTATCCTATCTGCGATTTTTTCCTGATTGCATATCTGAAATACCAGAATGATATATGCAGCAAAACATTGCCAAGGATAGACAATGATAGAAAACAAAGGAAATGACGGGGGTGCGTTTCACTCCCAAAAACATTCCCAATGTTCACTATCTTTTTGTGCATGGGAAATTGTTGGTGAATGCTGGCAACATTTGCCAATTGGAACGCACCCATGGGCTAAGGAAGCTGACAATTTGATTTGTTTTGATTCTGGCCAGTGCTATACTATTGCAATTAACTTTTTCAACTAAATCTTTATTGTGACTTTCAAGTCTGCAATATAAGGAATATCTGGGAGGGGGAATTTAAACTCGCAAATATAAATGCTCTTGTTTAGTAAAGTGACTTAGTTTCTTGGTGTGGTACAGTGTGTAAAGCATGCACTGCACTGTCATGACTGTGTACTATTGTAAATCACAAAGTCATTGTAATTAGTTCAGTTTGGTCATAGATATGTAACAGTTTTAATGAGTGTGAACCTGTTTTACAGTGGCGTTCCGGGGTTCAGCCGAGCCAAACTATTTTGAAAGTTTGGATTAGGTACTTGAAAGGTCCACCTTTGAAACAAGAGTGACTACATGTACATGCTTGCAGTCATTAAGGACTGCAGATTCTTATCAATGGGATATTAGAAGGGTTGACATTGACGTCCTAAGGCCTCTTCACACAAGACAAATCTCGGGGTTGATGCGAGGTTGACACAGGGTTGGAAACGTGCGGTGTTTCACACTTGAAACTTTTCAACCCTGCGTCAACCCCGCTTCAACCCCGAGATTGATTTCGCCCCGGGTTGAACTCAACCCTGCCCCAGACCAGGGTTGAGATTTTCCGAAAGTCTTGACAGGGTTCAAAACAGTAGTAACCATGCGAAATAAGCTTGGTTTGCATGAAACTAGTGTGAAAAGATGCAGGTTTGAAAAAAAAAAAGGTTCGCCCAGGGTTGAGTTCAAACCAGGTTGAGAAGCTCCATTGTGAAAGGCCTCTAGGAGGATCTTTATTTATGTCTGTCTCAAACCGAAATCTGTTTGAGTCCACCTGGGTAGCTCTTTACACTGTCTGAGATAATGGCAGTTATTAACTGTCATCCTGAGCCAGAGACATAACAAGGAATAGACCTTTTGCATTGGAGGTATCTCAGAGGGCATTGATGTTGTAATAATGTTACATAAATGTTACAAATGGTTCAATCATGCCTGTATGGGAAGTACAAAACCACTGTCCTTGAGCTCTGCCTTAGGTCCATTTTCAAGCTTATGTCGTTGCAACCCGAGTAGGAACCTAACCCGAGTTCAACAGCGGACACAAACTGGTAGTTTCAAGTTTTTGATCCACTTCAAGATTGTTCAAGCCATGATCTGATCATCCAAACTATAGTTGGGATCGTCCCGTGTATAGTTTGGGCATTCCAGTCTCAATCCAGGTAGAATGTCCAGTAAATGGTACCTTCACTAATCACCCACATTCCAGGAAGTCATCTTCTAGATTAAAATGAACCTTTGTATTCCCGTACACATCCCCTTCATAGTTTTTCTTTCTCATGAACAAATGCTTCTGCTGCTTGCCACTTTCATTTAGATGACTGCAGATGCTTTTTCTTTAATTCCTTGGACGATATTATGATTCCCTTAACATCTCTCATATGCTTCACATGAGGGTACATTATTATGTTGTCCTTTGAAAGTGGTATTTTCGAAATGTATATTCATCGGCATGTATATTCATACAAACGATTGATACCTAGACTAATTTTGACTCAGATCTCTAACTTTGATGTCAAAAATTGAAATTTTCTTTTGGGTACCCTTCTGAGAAACTGCAGGCATATTTTAAGACAAGCTCTATGTTCAAAAGCTTGTTCTTATATTTTTGTTATTTTGGGAAAGGCTTCGGAAGATATTTCCCATAACCCATGGTTGGGGATGTTTACATGTTTATAAATACTTGACATAGAAGTGCAATATTATTGTTTTAATCAGATCAATATTACAGTTTATATCGCAATGGATATAAATATAAACTTTTGGAAATCTTGCAATTCTAAACTGTTGCCATTCCGATTCAACACGTTTTGTTCAGAAATTAAAATGAGAAATATAAATGTCTGTTGCTTTGTATGTACATGCATATGTATTTACTAATGTTAATGTAATAAATATTTATGTATGAAAAAAAAGTGAAATTTGATGGTGCTTGTATTTTTTGTTTTCGTTCAAGTTTTATTAAATATTTCTGTACAATATGCTATGGGCGTATTCGAAACCCCGTTCTCGGGTATTCCGCGAACACTGTTATTGAGTTGCCGGTTAGGAACGCCCAAGTGCATGTGGAGTGCAAGCCGGGCGAAAATTCAAGATGGCAGCCACCATATTCAAGTGCCAAATGAAATTAAGTGGAATGCTGTGTGAAGTGGAGTGCTGTGGCCTCGTGGTCTGGAGCATTGAATTCGTGGTCTGCGGGTAAAGCTGCAGGTTGTGGGTTCGAGTCCAGCCTGCCGCTATGGTGCGTGTGCCCTTGGGCAAGGCACTTTGTCACTCATTGCTTCTCTCCGCCCAGGAGTAAAATGGGTACCTGTGAGGGCAGAGATGGTTACTGTGGTTGATTTAGCTGCTTTGCGCCGAAATGGCAGCATGGAGCTCTATACTCCCCACGGATCTGAGATGGTTTTTGGAATGTTTCATTGGCCCAATGAGCAGGGTAATAATAAGCGCCTTGTATCCTTTGCAATTTGGCGCTGTATAAATCCAGTTACTATTTAAAATCCAGTTATTTAAATGAAGTGAAAACGAATGTTCCTACGAAAATAATTTAAATCCCTATAAAAAATAAACAAAGACAATCCACTTTTTGCTCATGTAAATTTTTTGGGTTTTTTTATCATTACTGCTCTTGCACTGAATAAGTGTAATCAATTGTATGCACAAAAAAATAATGCAAGTTGTGGTACCTGCGTTCTTGATGTTCTTCATCTACTCCCAAATAAGTGGGGAGTAAAAATCTCTCTTCATGTTGACTTCAAAACAAAAGTACAAGAAACGTAGAAACATTTTTTTTTTCTCTGAATATAATTTATTTTGTCTGCTTCACAATCTTGATGCACTTTTCTATTTTAATAAATACGTACATGTTCATGCATCATGTTTTTTTTTGCAATGAAATACACACTTTCCGTAGTATACAATTCTGTCTATATTGTACAAAGAATCTATACAATGTATACAAAGTAGTTACACTGAAATTGATATTTTAAGATTTCATAATCTTGATATACAAAGAAAGAGCCCCAATTTTAAATGCATTTTTCTGAAGGAAATATATTTTTTTGTTACCTTTGACAAAAAGTGAGAAAGCCAAGATCTAAAAAAATAGTGGGTCAAAATGTGAAAAAAGGTGAGTTATCGCAATACATCATTTTTTAGAAAAAAGAAAATTACTCGAGCAAGATTTGAGCCTGGGAATGCTAGACTATCATGCAGTGCTCTCCATGTACAATGTACATAGCATTTTATTAAGGTCAAACGCAAGTCTGAAACCCTGAAGCCTATTTTTTATGCCCCGGCCCTGCGGCAAAGCCGAAGGGGCATACTGTTTCCGCCTTATCTTTCCGTGGGTGTGTGAGTTTGTTTCTGCATTCAATAGGGGACGTTGAACAATGGAGGACAATAGGGTCCCCAATTCCCGAAGGTCCCAAATTTCACTATCGTGTACAAAACATGAAAAGTTCCTGAAAAGTTTACAAACAAAAGGACAATAGGGGGTCCCCGATTGCAAGCAAATACACACTTGGGTGGATTTGTGTGTGTGTCCGGAAATATCTTGTCAGCGCGACAGCTTGAGAAATACTTTACATATTAACTTCAAATTTGGTTTGTGGATTGTTCTTGGTAATCCCAAGAAACCTATTGCATTTGGGGCTGAAAAGTCAAGGTAAAAGTGGCTAAAACAATACAAAATTTTGTTTGTACAGGATCTGTTCACATTCACTCACTCTTTTAAATCACATACAATGACTTCCCCCAACAGAAAAGCAAAACTTTTTTTTTGGATCACAAGCATCGATCAATATAGCCTTGACCAAGGCTGTCAGTTTCCCATACAAGCTTGTTACCGCTGCCACACACCGCACTGCGACACACTAGTTGTACTATACCGTTGGCCTCAACGACCTTTGCATGTGCTTTATCTGCACGTACGTACGCCCCACACACACATCCGTAAACAGCCGTACAGTAAGCCGGGGCGGATTAGTGTGTTTAGACGTCACCCGGAGGCAAGTCGAGGCAATCTTGACGTTTTAACCCGTCAGCCGTGCCCGTGTATAAAAACAGCCAGTGGGTGTTATCACATCCTCCGACACAAACTGGTTAAAAAGAAAAATATACTGAACAGTAGGGGTCATTCCATAAAATTAGGGTTTAAAGTGTGACTTTTGCCCTGTCCCTGTTACCTTGGTACTTTGTAATTTGCCATTCAAGTATCATTAAGAACGACTTCAAATGATTGTTTATTTGTTGGGTAGGTAGTTTGCTATTCATAATCACTCTTGGAGGATGACTGCATTAAGGAGTGTATCAGAATTATAAAATCATAGATGTCAGATGTAACAGGGACAGGAAAAAAGTCGACCCTTAATTTATAGAATGACCCAAGTACTACACTCCGTTTCCCTTCCTGGTTTTTATCATTAAAGGGAATATACATCATTTGCTTTTGCTGTAATTTTCAGAAATGGAAGGAATTGGGGGGTTGGAAATATATAGCAAATATAGTTACACTGACTTTTTTGAGGTTTTGGGTTCGAAAATGCTATAAAAACCAAGATTAACAATCATTTTCCTGTAGTCTGGTTCCCTGACTCCATTTAAGAAGAAACAGAGCAGTTTACATATATTGGGGAATTGTAAGGTCAGGAAACCAGTCTAGCTGGCTTGTACCCGTTCATAGGTGTGTAATCGATTGCAAACAAGTGCGATGGTCAACTGGGGCCAGTATTTGAAAAAAAAGCCAGTTTTTTTCCAACGCTGATCGGCCGATCAGCGTTGGAAATTGATACAAAAATACCACTTTTCTTGAAAATGACAGTATACCAGGTGCCATGATTTTACAGGATGCTTTACACTGTCATTCACTAACAGTCCAGCAAGGTATTTCAAAATGATTTGATAGTTTTATTTTTTGATGTTTGCAAATGTTGTATTTTCCCTTTAATAATAATGAGTGAATAACAAATCCCTGGCTGTAATAGATCTTCCACAAAATTGCTTTATACAAACAATAGCCTACATTGAGAAAACTGAGAAGTATTGGGTTTGACATGAACAAACATACACATGATACAATGTCCTCACAATGTGCTGGTAAGTTCCGTGCACAGACCTGCAAATGTGATACTACAATTTGTTAGAGAAAAGAGTTTTTTGGAGGGTTGATTTATTTCTTTACAGTGATAAGTGAACGCCAGTAAAGAGTATGCCACTGGAGTTAATTTATGCAAAAATACTGTCCTCTGAATATGCATTACTAAATATGACAATACAAAAAAATAGCATATGTACACTTTTCTCAAGATCAGTAGAACACATATCGTTATGCACACTTTGTCTTTAACACTAGTCTCTGGATGTGCAGTGCAATATTTGTGAAACAAACCACAAGGCGATATTTAAGAAAGATCTGATTTAATCCCAATAGATTGATTTTATTAAGCCACGCCTCCATGCTGTTCTGACCAATCACGGGTGTTATTAATGCCCGACATGCGTGCACAATAGTCCAACATGCATTCACACGCATATGACGTGTAAGGTTGGAACATGCAGTATGGCATTGGTGAGTTAGGGCCGTATCATAAGTCCGACGCCTCATAGGTCCGACACCTCATAAGTCCGAAATTTCGGACTTACGAGGTGTCGGACTCATGAGGCATACAATTTATTTATCTCGCCTCATAGGTCAGACGCCTCATAAGTCCAACGCCTTATAAGTCTGACGTCGGAAAACGAGGTGTCGGACCTATGAGAGTCAGACTTATGAGGCGTCTGACCTATGAGGCGTCAGACTTATGGGCCTTTATTTGGTTAGGGGATGCGATTTTGTCGAACTTATGAGGCGTCGGACCTATGAGGCGTCGGACTTATGAGCGAACCCTGGTGAGTTGCCCATGTGCAGAGTTGGCCTGGCTTAATGATCGGTCTTCATGTACTGTCAACCATCTGACTGACCTACCGACCGACTATTCTGACTAAAAACCGTCCGACAAAAATATAAACAATATTTTTGAATTGTTCTCCAAAATATTTGAACAATAATGTCAATAAGCCATTTACGAATTACATGTATTAAAATTCAAGTAACATCTGGTATCCTGACTTGCTCGAAAGCTTGGCACATTTTAACTTTGAATTCTCCAGACCAAAGAGACTGTTGCTATATCACGTGATTCGGGGCAAGCCTTACGCTAGCAACCCCCAGCTCTGGCATGGTCTGGTGTCTTTGTGCCATTCTCACCCATTGTGAACAATGTATTGGTGCTGAGCGTCTCTTACGTAACTATGCAAGAGCTTGCCCCGGATCATGTGATATAGCAACAGTGTCTTTGGTCGGGAGAATTCAAAGTTAAAACGTGCCAAGCATTATGAGCAAGTCAGTGTACCAGATGTTATTCAAATGTAACTGGCAAAGGGTATAGGTTATTCGCAGAGAATGTTACTTACACTTAAAACACTACTCTGGCACTCTACATTTGATAACGTACAAAAAAATGTGGGCATGAACTGCAACAGTATGTCCACAGATGAAGTACAACATTTTGAGTTAGCTTCAATTTCCTGAAATACGTTTAAGTGTGCAGGAACTAATGCACTTTTTTGAAAACCAAAATGGTTCAAATTATTCTTCATGATTGTCACAGAAATGTTGCAAATGAAATACCAACTACAGAAACAAAACGTGGCTTGCATGGTACAACATGTACGTTTCTAAAATATAAATTCAATGTAACTTTTTGCAGTGAATTAATAAGGGCAGAATACCTGTAGGCTTTTACTGGTAAGTACATGTATATTGCATATGAACATGACTAATATGTTTATAACATAATCTGCAGGCATAAAATATGTAGTTTTAACTACTGGATGTTACCAAAACTTTGGAGCCAGAACTACTTTTGCTGTCTACAACACTGCCCTCTTGTGAGCTATTTGCGACTACTGTCACTGCTGGTTGAGTTGTTACCATGACAACATTTGATGCTGATGTCGTTGCTGGAACTGGCAACACCAACTCTTTCACTGGTATTCCGTTACTTATACCGGTTGCATTGAGCCAGGAACTGGTGACCGGTATCGCGGCCGGGACCGCTACGGTGTGCACTATCACACCGTTGGAAGTTTTTCCATTGGTTGTGGCTGGGTTACCGACTGAAGTCACCGGCAGTGCTGCGCTGCTAGGGTTACCGGTGAATGTCACCGGTGATATGATGGGAACTTGACCGGCAAACGGGAACCTGTAGTGCGGATACTGACCGACATGACTGAGGGTCGTATATGTTGGCGCGGTGACAAGCGCCCGATTGGTGCCCACATGTAGCAACGGATTAAGAGACAGGGCACCAATTGTCACAACCGGGGGTATTGTCATGGCGACAGTCGTCTGCGTGTTACTGGTGCTCGTCCCGACGACTGTAGCGATTGTAGTGCCAATGTGCGGCATGTTTGTTCCAGCTGTAGTGCCTAACGGATGCCTGATGACCGATGGAGGAGAAACGGTGGTTTTAACTAGCATGTGCGCCGGGGACGAGTTAGCGATGGTGTAAGCGATGGGAGGCTGCGAGGGAGGTTGCGTGAACAGAACCTGAGTGAGAGCAGGTAACGCGGGTTGTAAGGTCAATCCCGGGGCCAGGAACGGGTGACCCGGGGTCACGGGGGTGGTGTACGACAGTGAGGGCGCTTTGGTTTGCGATACCGTGGACGCCTTGCTTTGCTGAGTTGCGGCAGTCGAGAAGAACGACACCGAACCGGCGACAGATGATTGGAGTTTAGCGGGACTGCTGTCTTTACTCGCAGGGACTGGCAACTGTGGGGCGACGTTCCGAGAGCCTGCCACCATGGCTTGGTTCAGGAGGGCCGCATTGGCAGCAGTCAGTACACCAGGATTTGTTAAACTTGGCCTGAGCATCGCGGTTGTAAGCCCTTGGGTCGGGAGGTAGTGGGGAATGATCAGGTTTCTCATGTCTAGTCCTGGCATGCCTGGTGGAGGTGTGACATGCTGTATCGAGGATGGTACGCTTTGTTTAGAAACACTGAGGGCTACACTGCTACTGGCTGCCGAGATTGAAGTAGCTGTATTGCTGGGAGGTGGTTCTTTGTAGGCAACCACGGTGATTGACTTTGGAGTCGACTGGCTGACTTGTGCCACTGCCGTGTCACTGCTGGTTAAAGTCGTTGGCGATTTGGGCATGATGTCGACCGTTTGTGGGCGTGGACTGAACGGGTGCGACAAAACCCTCTGCATGACAGCTTTGTTGTCTGTCCGTCGAACCGGTTGCCTTACAGCCGTGGATTGTTTACCGAGCAGTTGACTGACGGTTTGTCTCGAGACACCCGTTGAGCTCGCCGTTGCAACTGCTGCTGTGGTTACCATGGACACATTAGCCTTAACAGGGACCGGCTCGGTAGTCGGTGTTGCATGTGAAATTGTCCTGACTGGATTTTTGTGTTGCTGAGGCAGTTTATTCTGAGCTCTGTTTTTCAAGTGTTCTTGTACAGCTGAGACTGCCGAGGAGTGACTATGAAACTGCCTGACAACGTGAGAAGTTATCTTAGGAACAGGTGCTTGCTGTGTTGGGCTCGGAGTGGGTGGTTTAGGCACTGGAGGTTGTTTCGTTGTACCCGATTTTTGGGTGGTTGTTGGCTGGGCTTTGACTTGCTGTACCACGGACTGAGGCCGGATGACAACTTTTTGGGTCGCTGCGACTCGTTGCGTCACTACCTCCAGTTCTCGATGTGGAGTGATATCCTTCGCTGTTGCCACCTGCGGTTTGGCACCAGCGACCAACGGCTGCATCTGAGTGGCCGGACCCTTGACTGTCTGTGATTGGTTGGTTTTCTTGGTGTTGGAACCCTGCACCTGTTGCGCTTTGACCACGACAGGCATCTGAGCTGCAACCTGCTGCTGTTGCTGGGACGGTGTAGCTCCAGTCGACACCGGCACACGGGTGACGATTTGTCGACTGATGAGAAACGGTCCCGACTGTTCCTTGACGGATTGTGTGACCTTGATGACGTGATCCATCAAGGGAGCAGATCTGACCATTGGAGGGCCTTGGGGATCGGACATCTGGACAGCTGGGATCGCCTTCTCAGGAGATTGGGCTCTGGATTTCCTCTCTTCTTCTTCTGCTTCTGTAAATCAAAACAATTGTCATTCATTAACAATGGAATCATTTCACAAACATTAGCTCTGTGATCTAAGCCAATAGCCAATGTAAGCCAATGTAAACCGACCTTCATTGTCTATTGTTTTAATTGTTTAATTAAAGCAAATACTTTAATAATCAAGGACTTCAATCTGTACTGATGTGTGTGAAGCGTTACATGCCAAATCCATCGGACTTCAACATCTGGAAAACTTGTTTAGATATTGTTGAGTGCAGCAAACTTAGGGTTCAAAAATACAACGTCGCAGAATTTATCATTCGACCTGTTTGTAACACGGGGTAACTGCAAAAATTCCTACATGCACTTGGCTTTAACAAACTTTATTGCGCGAAAGATTCTCAATACTCAGATCAAATAAGATGACTCCAAACTAAGGCCTGCTGCGAAGAAGAAAACTATCCAAGAACTACATAATGGATTATTCCTACCTGATGCAGTAGACGTGCTCGTTGAGACTGAATCCCTGTCATCCTCCTTATCGTCTTGCATGTCCTCTTCCTCCTCTTCCTTTGGCTCTGGCTCCGCCTTCTTCCAAGGAGGCAAGGAGCAGCCGCTGAGCTTGGCAAGCTTCTCCTGGTAGAGAATCTTCTGTCTCGCTAATCTCTCTGTCTCGTATTCGAGCTCTCGTTCCTTGCGTTTCAGGGCCTTTCGGAAAACAAGTTGCAGGATAAAGGCTAGTAGGATCATTTACATTTATCCCAAAAGTAATCTTCAAAATTATTATCAAAAATTGACTTCAATTGAATTCAAGATCGAACCGGTACTAAGCACCCTATGAAATTATTCTATCTGGCTTGCTGTCATTTACAAGAAATCAAGAAATACAGGTGATTTCCAATTATGAGTCGATTGACTGATTTTTGGAACAAAGAGCCCTATTGACAATATTGTGTTTTGTGATCAAAATTATAACAAAGAAATTCTGTTAACTTAGATGAAAGTTGGACCAAGACCTTTGAGGTAATCGAATAATAACATCAAAATAACTCCCTCGCCCCCAAATGTTTTGTTTTTACGCTTAAGTGACAATGTTTATGCACAGCTTGAGCTCAAGTGATTACCAGAAAATTAATCATTTCCAAATTTCCTTGTAACATAGGATTACCGCTTACTCTATTGCATCTTCCAAAACATTTCAATATTCACTTTAATGCCCCATTTTCGCTACTTGGACATAACTACACGTGTAAATGGCCACACTTTATAAGGAATACAAATTAAGCTAATCATCCGATAAAAAATGACAACCTTCCTAATTTTCAATGGGATTTACATCCATAACTGCACTCAAATTTGGCCAACTGGCAAATAATACACTCAAAGAGTGACACTAAAAATGAAATCCGGAATCTGATTTATTTGTGAACTTGTTTCACAATTTCGTACCTGCAAATATCTCAATGCTCCCTGGAGAATACTCAGATTGGACGGCTTCAGTTTCTTGTTGTCCATGTTTGGGATCTGATCCCGTAAGTTGTCAAAACATTCCTTCAACTGGGCCCGTCTATGAAAAAAAAAATAATCATAATTTGTTAAATACAACTTTTTAATTTTTTATTAAATCAAAGTTACATATTTGCAAGCTTTTAAGCAGGCCCAGGTGAAAAAGAAGGAGAACAGTAGGATCAAAATTTTAAAAATAAAGAACGGACAAAAGTAGGACTAATTTGGAGGGCAAATTCAGGATAAATATAGAACTTTGCAGGCTTTCAGGAGTTTTTCGTTGATACCCACCCATGTCCACAGTACCATAAGCCTCATTTGGCATGTTCTGTACTCACAACACTTGTGCTCCATCCTCAACTAAGCTCTTGGAAGTACAGTTGCAGTACTCCTGCGCCCAAGCCCTTCATTGTGTGATTTGCATACATGTATTTATGACATTGTGTGACGCTGTTATGAACACTTTCCAATGAGATTTCATTTTTCAGTTGTGGGACAAAAAAGTAGGGAAAAGCACGTGTAGGAAAAAGTAGAAATTTCAAAACAAAAGTAGGAAAATAGGAGCAAGATAGGAAAAAGTAGGAAAAGTAGGAACACTTGAAAGCCTGCATTTATTCGATAGCTGCTTAACAAAACAAAACAAACATGTTACCCACATGAGAACCAGCTTTCAATAAAACAGGCATGCAACTGGGAATTTATACAAAACAAGGAAATTCTAAACCACACAAGACTTTGTACAGTGTTTTTCAATTTGTAATGGCATTCACGAGAGGTTAAAAAATGAGGAAATTTATCAGCGGATCCGAGGAAAAGTTGCATTCCTGAATAAAAGAAAGAAAGTTGTCAATTTGCACACTTTTCCTGCAATATATGAATATAAATTTTTCTTTTTTTTTTTGCTTTTATGAGAGGTACAGTATCCCACCGTGAAATGGTCTGAAAAAGTCAGAACTGAATCTTTTCTACAAAATAAAAAATAAATTGTATTTCTGTTTTACCCAGCCCTCACCTGTTTTTCTCCAGCTTGTTATGAACTTCCCTTGTACCGGATCTGTTAACAAAAGCCATACAAAAAATGCTATTGTTAGTTGTGTATAAAGAAAGTCATTATTCCAGGATTTCAGACACCCATTACTGTAATCTAGCCTCGGGGTACGTTAGAAGAAAGAATATGTTTACAAGTTTGGTTCTCTATGCAAAAACACGGTCCGTATTTTCTTCTTGACTGACTTTCATCACTGCTATTCGCTCCGTTCACGAGTACCCCCCCCCCCCCCCGGCAAAGAAAGTACAGTTGGGGGTGACCGAACGACACCATCTTGCCTGACTGCAATATTTTGCCGCGAAGCGCGGCCACTGCGTGTTCATAATACAAATCCCCTGGTGTACGTGCATCACACACAAGGAAGTGTGCATGCGTGTCAACCAGCGAAATGTACGTGTCCCGCCCATGAGACGTCGTTGCTAGGTAAAAGGGCGCCCTCTTTTGTTGGCACACGGAGCCCATACTTTAAAGTGCAAACGGTGTGTACAAAGTATCGGTATGTGTGTTCATGAGTTGAAAATTCACGAGTTGATTGTCGGCAAAGCGTACGAAAGGCGGCAGTCCAAGCTGCCGCCCCTGCAAAGTGGGCGTGGCAAAGTTTTGTTTCAAACAAAGCTTGAAAAAGTGTTTGTAAAATCTGTGGATTGTTCTTTTCAAAGGAATGGAATTTTTTTAAATGCAATCCCTGAAATGTGCTGTACCTTTTGTGCTCCATTTAACTGGATTTTTAATATTTATGTTGCCATTTTAAGGGCATATTTGTGTCCTGTTGGTTTTTATGCTAATGCAAATTTTCATATTCATGAGCAAAACTGTCAAGTCATTCAAGGCAGATACATGTACTTCAGTTTCACATCTGCTTAAAGCAAAAACAGTCACCAGAATTTTAGGGGTTTGCTGTGGTTACTTCTGTGCTTTCAGTAATTCATTGTTGGTTTATTATGACAGTAAGACAATGAGAAAACTTGATGCACAAATGTTTTCAATAAGCAGAATTTTGGCTTACAATTTGAAGAGAAAAACCCCAATCCGAATTAAGAGTGTGTTCCTAAAGTGACATTACAAACAGCGCCCCCAGTTGTAACATTTTAGAATGTTTAAAAAAGTGCCTTTTGCACACACAAAAAATGTATAAAAATGGGATGTCTCATAGTTGTTGTTTTTTTTTATACATTTCAGAAGAATGGATATTTGCTACAAATACACTCCAGTGTAAATTCATTGCTGCACAAGTTTGACACAACTCATTATAATCTTTTGAACTTCAAATATATACAAAACTGTGGCAGTGCAGATGCAGGCCAGCTTTCGTGTCATTTTAGATTCACTTTGACACAAAAATTAATGTTCAATGAGTCATGTGTAGCACAATCATATACTGTGTGAGCACATGACTGTCGACTGGTTCTAAACCCATAGTCAATAGGGTGGCTTGTACTTGCACATTCATTGTACACGTGTACATGTACATTGCACGCAGTCACAATTTTACTTTTACTTTAAAGGGAATGTACATCATTGGCTTTTGCTGTAATTTTTCAGAAATTAACTATTTGAGGGGTTACTATAATAGATCAAATATTGTTACACTGACATGTTTGAAGTTTTGTGTTCCAAAATGCTGGAAAAATCAAGAAAAACACAAATGGTGGAGTAGTCTGGTTCCCTGCCTCCACTAAAGATAAAATGGATCAATTCATAGATGCCGGAAAATTGTAAGGTAAGGGAACCAGTCCACCTGGCCTGCACCCGTTCATAAACATGTAACCAATGGCAAACAAAATTTGGACTGAAAAAAATGGTGAATTTGGAGGAGAATATGAAAAATAGTTCGGTTTTTCCAACGGTGGTCGGCCGACCACCGTTGGAAATTTATACAAAAATACCATTTTCTTGAAAATGACTTCACACCAGGTGCCATAATTTTACAGGATGCTTTAGACTGTCATTTACCAACATCCTAGTAAGGTATTTCGTAAAAACTTGGTAGTTCTATTTTTCGATGTTTGCAAATGTTGTATATTCCCTTTAAAGGGATATATAAAACATTTGCAAACATCAAAAACAAAGCTACCAAATGATTATGAAATACCTTGCTGGACTGTTAGTGAATGACAGTCTAAAGCATCCTGTAAAATCATGGTACCTGGTGTGCTGTAATTTTCAAGAAAAGTGGTATTTTTGTATCAATTTCCAATGCTGGTCATGCAGCTGACCGGCATTGGAAAAACTGTTTTTTCCCTTCAAATACTGCCCTCAGTTTACCATATTTAGTCAGTCCACATTTTGTTTGTGATTGATTATACACACCTATGAAACCATACAAGTCAGCTACATGTAGATTGGTTCCCTGACCTTACCATTCCCGACGTCTATAAACTGCTCTGTTTCATTTTAAATGGGTCAGGGAACCAGACTACAGGAACATGATTGTTTTTATTGGTTTTCCCAGCATACGGTACACACAAACACAAAACTTCAAACAAGTCAGTGTAACAATTTTTGCTATACATGTAGATGATAGAATACAACCCCCCCCCCCAAAAAAAAACCCCAATCCATCCATTTCTGGAAATTACAGCAACGTGTCGGTATTCCCCTTTACATTACACATGTGACAAGGCATAGCACATTCTACAATATGGGTATACACAAGTATATTTGTCTATGTTGCTTAAGACAAAAACTGTATCAAACTTCATGAAATCATTTGGAAGAAATCAATATCATGTCAAGAAAACTGAGAGAGGGTTAAAAACATAAGGCCATTCAAAAAAGTGTTGTGTTTCCTATTTATATTACACTGAAAAAAAAAATCAATTATTTTGCTCCAATATGCTACCGGTACAATTGCCTATAAATATGACAAGTTTTCTGCATTTCTTTCTTTTTCATTACTTTTTAAAATTAATTATTTGTACACTGAACCGCAATTCGACCTTTTGGCTCTGAGAGTTTGATAATAAATAATAATTAAATAATAAATAATATGTGATAACAGCTGCCAGATCAGATGTCAACAAGTGGGATTTCCCCACTTTTCTCCGTACATGTACCTAACGACATCATGTGATATCATGTGACACAGACCTTTGAAGGTAAGTAAATAATCTAAAACATGAAATGATTGCAAAAACCTGGCCATTAGTCATGTTAGTCACCTTTTTAATATTAACCCTAACTCCCCAGCCTAATTTACTAGGAACCATACCCATTCTGGCAAACACCTACATGGGAAATTGTACACACACACTGTTGGACTTAGTTTCTGGAGGTATGCCAACCCCAGTGTAAAAGACCATCAGTTTAGGGGTACTGTACCTATCCCAACAGATTTAAAGGGAATGTACATGTACATCATTGGCTTTTGCTCATTTTGTTTTGCTGTAATTTTCAGAAATGAGCTATTTGAGGGGTTAGTATAAGGCCAAAAAAAAAAGTCTCCGGTTTCTGGTATGCGCGCGCGTCGCCGTAGCCATGCGCGTCAGCAAAATGAAAAAAAAAAATTTTCAATGAAAGATGATGTCTCAAAACCGCCAAACTCACTGGTTTGACTGGAATCCTGCTGCTGCAAAACTTTAACGTGTTTTTAGATTGGGCTATGGTCGAGAATAAGCTTTATGTGGCCTCTCTGGACTCCCATATATTTGCACTAAGTTTAGTCGGGCACCATTTGCAGACATCAGCCGACATTTGAAGCAAAAAAAATCAGGTAAAAAAAAAAAAAAAGCCGCGTCGCCGCACCACTTTTGGGGCAAGCTCCATACCAGAAACCGGAGACTTTTTTTTTTGGCCTAATAGATCAAATATTGTCACACTGACAAGTTTGAAGTTTTGTGTTTGAAAATGCTGGAAAAACCAAGAAAAACAAAAACGTTCAAGTAGTCTGGTTCCCTGACTCCACTAAAGATGAGAATCAGTTTATGGATACCGGAAAATTGTAAGGTAAGGAAACCAGTCTAGCTGGCCTGCACCCGTTCATGAATATGTAACCAATAGCAAACAAAATTTGGACTGAAAAAAAAATGGTAAATTTGGAGCAGTAATTGAAAAATAGTTAGGTTTTTCCAACGGTGGTTGGCCGACCACCGTTGGAAATTTATACAAAATACGACTTTTCTTGAAAATGACTTCACACCAGGTGCCATAATTTTACAGAATGCTTATAGACTTTCATTTACTAACATCCTAGTAAGCTTTTCGTAAAAAAATTGGTAGTTTTGTTTTCCAATGTTTGCAAATGTTGTATTCCCTTTAAACAAAACCTGCTGTTGAACTTTGATGGGTTGAGTTCGGTTAGGGTTAAAGAGGACTCTTCATTACAGTGTTGATCTTCTATAATTTCCTCTGTTGTTTAATTCAGTTCTAATGAGAAGGGATCTGGCCAAGTACAAAATTAAACCAGTTTCTGGTCCCTGCCTGCTTCCTTTTTTCCTGCTCGTCTACTTTTTTTTTAAATCATACATACATGTACATAATTTGCAATATTGCCTTTTTACTTATTTTCAGCAAAACTGTACATTTTCAACATCTGGTAGAAACGTAGATGGCAAAAGAGTTAAGAAAATGGAAGAATCCATCTGCCATCTTAAAAATTTGCTAACTTCCATTCCTTCTTTTCAAAAAGCCCGCATGGGAAACTATTTTTTTTTTACTTGGCCTAACAAGTCATACATGTACATTGCATACAACTTGCTCTCATTTTTCAGGTGCAGTCATCTAGAAAGGTTTGTGATGTCGTTTCTTTTTAAAGAAGCTTTACAGCGAAGTCTAGCCAACATAAAATGTGTGCAGTGGGTTACACAAGCTGTTTATTGCATACTGAAAAATCTAAATTAATTTGACCGACTATCTTCATGCGTGCACATGTAGTGTACATGAAATTCAAACAATTAATATTGTATCAAATTGTAACTCTCATTATAATTTAATGGAAGAGTATGAACGAATGCAACAGTTGGATGCTACATCAGTACATGTATGCATACTGGGTTATTCTATCAATATTGAGGTCCACTGTTTTTCCTGTCTCTGTTAGTGTTTGACATCTATGATTTTATAATTCTGATGTACAACTTTTAAAATGCTGTCGTTCTCCAAGAATGATTTTTATGTATGAATAGCAAACTACTCATATATCTATGTACTCAACAAATAAAAAATTGACACTTGAATGACAAATGAGGCCAAGTTAAAAAAAGACACAGTATCTCATCCCTGACCGCTGCGTTTTTCCCTCCCGCCTCCTTTAAAAAAAATATCATATCAGATATTGTCAATATATATTCTGAGAAAACAATATTCTAGGATCTCGATTTCAATTCAAAAGTTGCCGAGTCATGTTTTGAAATGTGCCCAAAATCAGCGTCTGGGACACGTTCTCATTCAGCCGATTGCAGCTACGCGATGTCACACACTGAACCGACGAATAATAGCAGCCGTGCGCGCGTATGCACTGTCAAGAAAACGAACTATTAACAGTAATTTAAAAAAAAAGGCCTTCTGTTATTGTTCTTCAAAATGACAGCATGCCAGAAAGACTAATTTCACAGGGAGTTTAGTACCATTATCATCTTTAATCCAAGTACGTGTATGCGTTTCAACAATAGTTTTGTCAGTTACTTTTTTGGATAGCTGAAAATGATCTACTCTACCTTTAAGCATTTCACAGCTGTGCATATCAGCCATTTCATTTAGAATTGTTGACCAACTCTCAATAAACAAACTGAGAATTTTACACCAATAGGCACAGATTTCATTTCATTTTTCATACCGTTTGTCATCCCCTTCATCGAATGTGTCAGTGTTGGAGGTTGAAAGTTGATGTCTGCTGGACGACGCTACTGGACTCCACGATTTATGCGAGCCCGGTGACGACCCCGGGCTGCTTGAGACCCCAGCGTAGCTCGGTCCACTGATGGCTGCGTTCTGGCCATTCTGACTGAGGCCGAACAAGCCAGGATCTGGGAATATGACAAATTTCCAATTGGTAAAAACTGAGTGAAATGCTTAAATTACCAAGTAAACATGTGCATAAACGTCTTTGAAATGTTGCTCAGTGCCAATGGCAACAGAACATTTCTGACAGCTGGGGGGGGGGGGGGGGTGTTGTTGTTGTTGTCTATGGAAGGGGGGGTGTTGTTGTCTATGGAAGGGGGGAGGGCACAGTAGGCCTATATACGTACATTACAATAAGTAGCTAAACTGGAACAAAGAATAATCAATCTGCGCAAGAATTAAAACTTTTGAACAGTTGATCTCACCATCCAATGCCCATAACTGCTTCAACTCATAGTCATTTCATGCCACTATTTTACTTCAAAGGAAATGCTCTAGGGATAAACTGGAAGACATTTAGTAAATGAAGATATAATTGGTATACATGTGTACATTTGTAAATGTTTTTTTTGCAGCACACATCAATGTGATGTCTCGCGTTTGCATTTCGATAACTCTCTACACGTTAGAATTAACAGCTGAATTTTCGATGATGCAATGCTCACAACAGCAATTTAGCGAGGCAGAAGTTCCATTGTAAGAAGCAACACACACTGTTTTTTAACGCAGCACAAACTTCTGACAATTACCTTAAGTTTTTGGACTCTCATTCACAGTATTGAGAGTCCCACATTTTTGGACTAGTCCTGGCAGGGTTAGGACCCACACACCATCGTACATGTTCATGAGTAAACAATGTAACCACATGGTCAGATGGTGGACCCCATGGCACGGGAACATCAACATGGAATTCTCTGATCAAATCAAGGGTTGTTCTCAAAACTAAATTTGGAAAAAATGTTTCAACCTGACGCCACTTGTTTCTTCATATATCATCTCAGTAAAGGTCAGTCATTGCAAAAATGATGATACGACATGAATCTAGGACTGAGTGAGAAACATTTTGAATTTTGTTAGGAAATAGTTTTTTCAATTACAGGAAATAAAATTTTCTTGACAAGCTCTCCATAGACTTTGTACACAACCGCTGAATTAGAAGTGGCGTCTGGTTGCAACATTTTTTTCCCTACATTTGAGGCCTGTTCAGGCTGTTGCTTTGCCTTCTAAAATTTCGAACATGATAAATAAGCTCCATTTTCATAAAATCAGTCCCCATACATGTACATGTAACTGGGAGATGTAATTGTAAGGACATGCACGACAACCACCTCACGTGCACACGGTGCATGCGTTCTATTTTTAGCCATTATGAATATTCAATTTCAGTGAAAAACACAAGGTCAGCTTGAGGCCGAGTGAATCACATTGATGATGAATTAATTCCCATGAAAAAAAAATGCCAACATCATTTTGATAATTCCTTTTAATTCACACAGTCTATACGTTTACATTTCGAACTTCACGATCATACCAGGAATCGAGGGGAAAAACTAGAAAAAGGGTGAAAAAATTAATTAAAAGTTTGAGACAATTGTACATCCGCGTCCGCCCATCGAAACATCGTTTACCATTTTGTCCACGTGTAGACTGTCCGATTTGCTCTACGAACTTCGCAGCCTCCAAAAGTGTATCGATGCTCATGACTCCAGCTCCGATCTACACCAACGCTTGGCTGAACAACACACACATCCACTTCCCGTTAGTTTCAGCTTGCGATCGGCTGTTTTAGAGGGCCAAAAATGACGAAAATATCGGCGTTTCTCTACCCGGTCACAAAAGATGGCGGGGATCTACGCAGTTGTATATGGAAAATTTCATGACATAACGATATCGTTCGTCGTCTATGCACGCAGGAAGGCAAGGCGAAGTCGCGCCGTGCCAACCACCACGCGTACATCTGACATCAAAACATATAAGGGAATCATTCATTTTTTTAAGGGGGTTTAGACACGTGGCTGCATATATTAAAATGTATTAAATTAAAGTAAAGGTTATAAACGTAATTATTTGAATACAGCCTCACATAATATTTAGTTTAATTTGTAACATCAAATTATTCTTAATTTACAAGTCCTTAAAATAGACGAATTTTACAGTTATTAGTTTAAAAGTTATTTTTATCACCCCTGTCGATTATGGAAGAAACGATGAATAATGTAGCATCATCATGTGTCGTCCAATGCGATTGCTTGTTTACTAAGCACCTGCCATCACGTGAGCGTATGTAAATTTAAAAGTCTAATTCTTGCCTCTAGTGCATGCTTTATGCGTGTTACACACGAGTATTTTTTACCGGGGCCGAACTATAATTACGTATGCAAAGTTGCTATTTCAGACTGATGACGTCAATTTACACGTGATTCGTGACACGAACTACATGAGGATTTGCAACGGGATGACCAGTGACCTTTCCAATCGATCGTGACGTACACGTGTACGTTGGCGCGGCAAGAGGTCATTTAAATGCACGTGCGCGTGCCGAGCTGAGTTGCCTCAGTAAACAACAGGTAGGCCTAAATCCTTTTCCTTTTGTGTGCTAACAAATTATAATAACAATGAACATTATAGGGAAGAATTCCCTACATTACATGTACATGTAGATCACTAATTTTCCCATTCCCTGCATTGACCTATCACCCATCAGAAAGCGATAAGATACAAATAATGAATGTTTGTGAGTGCAACGGTACGAAGAATTTCATGAGCTGATGAGGCATGTGAGCTATGTGAGGTGACACCATGGTGACACTGACAGATGAAATGTTCCACCATAGCTCCATGGTTCCACTGAGTGGAAAGGAACATTTCATCTGTCACCGCATGAAATTATTCTTTCCATTGCATGAACGTGAAACATTCATTATTTGTTTTATATAACACCTGAATAAATCCTTGTCATCGGATTGGTTGACTTTAAATAGCCAACTTATTTAGGTTAAAAACTGTTTAAAAGTTTGACAAGTTCATCATATTTAATTTATGCAAACTGTTCAACAGGTTGAACCATGGAGGTAGAATTACTAATTCTACCTCCATAGTTGAACACAATCATATTCAATTTATTTCGATTTTTAACAGCGCCACCGCCAGCAGCAGTGACACCGTGCAATGGAAGTTCTATTCACCGTGCAATAGAACTTCCATTGCACTGTGCGTTGCGCGCTGTGCGCGTGCCGTGCGTTGGGATGAATAATTCAATGACATGTGATCAACGATCCACCAATCAGATGACGGGGATTTATTTAGGTGTTGTATAAGGCAAAATAAAAAAAAAACATGTTTAGCGTCCTGCCTCTTTGACAAAAAGGAAGGAGGAGGCCCTTTTTTTTTTTTTTTTTTTTTTTTCAAAATGGCCGCCCGACACATTTTTCAAGACAACGCGGCCGGGCTATTTTTCAAGATGGTTACCAGCTTTTTTCAAAATGGCCGCCACTTGGACTCATTGACTATTTCCACAGCTTTATACACGGTATAAAAGTCTAAAAATACGATTTCTTTTGTCAGAGATCGTTAAAATTTATCAATTTTTGTCTTTTAAAAAAATTAAAAAAAAAAAAAAAAAGGAGGCGGCCTCTAAAAAGGAAGCGGGCGGGGACGCTAAACATGTTTTTTTTTTTACTTCGCCTAACATGTCCTAATTTAGAAAGAAGGGAAAATATTGTTTGAAGAAATTACGATCAGACATGACTGAGAAAACACTTGTCATGTTTGTTGGGGTTTTTCAGACCATGGATGATGGAGCTAGGAATACTGCCGAGTACCTATAGGTTGCCGAGAACGAGTATCGTCTGTCCACCTAAAATGACGAGGATCTATTTCGACGCACTCGCATTTAATTTGCGTTGGACAACGCGCGCGCATTGCAAGCGTTACCTGCGCTGATTATCATGATTATGGTGACTCAAGGATACTTGTGCTTCGGAGTATCCTCATTAAGTCACCACATATACGCAGGTAACGCTTGCAACGCACACGCGGTGTCCAATGCAAATTGAACATGTTGAATGCGAGTGCGTCAAAACATATCCTCGTCATTTTAGGGGGTCTGACTATACAAGAACAGGTCTCCGAGTATGAGGAAGAGTACTTGAACATCCAAGTACGAGTACGAGTACTTTTTTGTTGTACTACCGAGTACGAGCATGATGAGTATGAGTACCTGTATTCTGAGTACGAGTACGTGTATTTCCAAAAACAGAACCGGGTAGGCCCACATTGTGCTTGAACTTTTGAAGCCTAAAATTATGTGTACTGTTATTTACTTGTAACACAAACTAGGGTTCGTCTTCGTAAGCTTTTTCAATTATTTGAATTTTTTTTTTTTAATCAGGCAGCAACGGCAGTCTCAAATCAATGTAAATGTATTTTCCAAGAAAATGCAATGCAGCTGTGATACAGACATGAATGTTTAGGTCAACTGTCATTTTATAAAATTAATCTGCAGTGTTGTCCATTTAATTTGTAATTGTATTATTATTCATGTATTTTCGGGTCCTGGATTCGTCAGACTGAAAAAAAACCCACAAGTACAACTAGCTTAAGTAACTCCAGCAAACATGCTCATCAGGAATTCACAATTTCTGATGAGCATGTTAGCTGGGGTTACTCAAGCTACAACAAGCATTCAAATGGCTGAGAAAAGATTTTTTTTATTTATACATAGTTTCAACCACTGTTCTTAGTGTTCTTACAAAAGCTGTTCTTACAAAAATCTTTTTTAATTCCTTCAACCCTCTTTTGCCAGCATACATTCTGAGCCAAGGTGTCCTTTCAGACAAAATCAATCACACAGGCAAGTGTATGCGAACGTCGAAGGTACACGTACAAAGTACATGCAGCGTGTATGCAAATACCCGGCAGTTTTGCGTTTTCTTGGCATTCTACGGATTTAGTCTGCTTCCCTTTCCTAGGCCTTAAGGCTAGGCTGCTGTGGACCGGCCTGCTGCCGTAACCAGACTAGGGGCCGTTTTTCAAACCTCAGCTTCGGCCGTGTCTCTTTCTCCATTCATGCAGATTTGCAATGGGGCTGGACCTGTACAATAGGACCAAAACTGGAGTTCAGAAATTGGCTTTGCTCCAATCACCCATTTTGAGGAACACCTTGGTGTACAGTGTGTACAATGATTGGCCATTGTGCATGTTGTGCCCACACATACCGCAGATGGGTCATTGTGCGTAATTGGCCCAGGCCCAGTCAGACCCATATACCTGTTGTAGGCTGTAGCATAACTAGCGCCCCAGTTGAAAAAGCCCCTACAAAAAAGTGCAATGTTAACTAGTCGTGCAGTATTTTCACAAACATCCACCTCAAAAAGTTGCCATAACAATTCACCAAGTTGAATAGGTTATGCGGGGCGAATGCCTCTCAAAATCAAACCGAGTTCGATGCCGCACCCTGAACTTCTGAAAACTATAGGAGAGAATTTCTAACCCCTTGTGGTTGGGCTTTTACGCCTCACTGCACATGCTTGCACACGTCACTGCACAGTCTGTGAGCAGTAGCCAGCAGTATAGTAGCAGCTGCCTGTAGCAGCTGTCGACAGACGGCATTATAAATACGGCATATACCATGACACTCTGGGCAGCAGCTATAGCTGTCAGCTGGTGTGAAGGGGGTTAAAGATCATGCGTAAATCTCTCCAAGTTTCTATGTGTATGTACTTTTTCCACAACAAGTCGAGGAAGTCCAGCACCATATTCAAAATGTACGTCGATCGGAAACAGTCTTATAATATGCACATTATGCCAACATGAAACACATGTGGGAGACTTTGACCTATAATTTTTAAACCTAATGCGATGCAGCCCTGATTCGTTGACATCCACTAGATGTGAGAGACCGATCGCTATGCAAACTCTGGACAAGGTATGCTGGGAAAATAAAATGCCTATCATTTATAAATCTATCTGTATTGCGGTCATTCGATGCCACCCTGAACTTTTTTACAACTATAGGCGTCACTCAGGAGTACAGGACTCGGACTCTTCCGGAAGAAGTCATTTATAAACATGTTCAACGGTTATTGGAAAAGTATCAGTTTTAGACGTTAAAGGCATTTGTCCTAAGTCCTATAACTATAATATATTTGTGTTGATTCATATTTATTTCTTTTCATGCACTTTTTTATTTTAGTATTGCCATCAATATGGAGAACGTGAATTCTATTGAAGATGAGTTCCACGTCAGACTTACTGAACCAGTTGATCTTGACGAGCTGTGTAACCCTGATGGTAGAGGCTCCGAGTTTGAAGTCGTACTCCCTGAAGGTATACTGTGGGACAGTTGTCATTTTAGGAGTAATTCCCACCCTCCTGGAGTTTGTTTTACCTATAGGATATCATCCATTTAGTTCTGGGTTCACACCCACGCATGGATTGGGTTTTTGTGGGTTCACACCATAGAGCTATATTAAATTACTAAAGGGATAACTCCTCATTCTTACCCGCGGAGGCACTTTGAAGCCGTCCTGAGACAGACATTTTGAATTCATGTGCGTGTACAACATAATGAAATTAGATGGATTGAATTTTGAAAAAGTACTCTAAATGCAATGCGCAAGTAGAACGTACGCAAACAACTTAAGCGCGTCATTACGGTTTTAAAAAACACATCACGGTTAATCATCTGCAGCAAATACGCGCATGCGTTGCGCTGTTTGCGTAGAGCAAAATGACACGCTCATTTGCTGATGCGTTTTGGTTTTGGGCTTATCAGCTTCGATAACGAACCTGTATAGAATACCTACAAAATTTGGAGTTTTCCAGATTTGTGTACAAACATGTATGCGCCCAGCGGGCATCACTTTGTATATTGTGGATTGTGAATTCACACTTTCCCAGGGAATCATGCATGTAGTTTATGAGTTCACATCCATCCAGGGGATTGTGTTTGTTTTAGGCTCATACTCACCCAGATGATCATAGTTTGTGGGTTCACACCCACCTAGGGGATCACATTATGTGGGTTCACACCCAACCAGTGAATAAATTTACACAAACGTCATCATAACCACTTCTTTTCATCTGGTTGGTTGAAGTTGCTTTTGCTGTGCTCTTCAGCAACTTCAATTTTTTCTGTTTGTAAATTTTCAACTTTTATGTTTTATTCCAACCAAAAAATCCTCCTTTTTTAGTTCTTTTTTTTTTGACGTCTCCATTCCTCTGAAAAAAAGATCCGCCTTGAGAGTAGACTGGCTCTCCTCCCGTACATTATCAATACTGATTGTGGGGCAGGAACCAGCCTAAGCTGCGAAAACAGAATTATTCTTTAGTAATAATTCAATAACTAAATATTGGCCTATATTTTTCTGGTTGATGTCTCATTGTTACTTTTGTATTGCAAGAAAAATAGCAATTTAGAAAAGGAATCTTTTCTTTCGGGATGAAACTGGAAAATAGCACAGGGAAAGCATCTTTAAAGATTTTGTCCATCAATTTATTTGTAACTGCACAGCCCCGGAAGAGAAGCAGTATTTTGACGAAGAAGATGTTTTCAAACACTTGAACTACGAGGTCAATAACGTGGACGGCAGTGACTCAGAAGATGACAATCAGGTGAGTAGTTCTAAAAAGCTTTAGACGATGGTTCATCATTCATTAGACACAGGCATTTGCCCGTGGTTGCCTCCTCAAATTATGCACAGTTAGGATCACAAGCTCCGCTCCCACCACAGCCCGTCTTTCCAGTGCTGCTGCTTTCAGTTCGTTGGTGTCACACCCTGACCATTCTCGGATGTTAATTGTCCACCCAGCGCATCTTTGGCCAGCCCACGGAGCGGCAACATCCCTCTGGCATCCCATCCACAACAGATGCCGCCCTGCCGAACCACATGGTCCAACCACGATGGCCCAACCACATGCAGAGACCATGTAGGATTCTTGCCAGTGTGAAAAAGGATCCCTATTGTGTGAGACCCGGGATCAACACGGAGGTTTTTGGACATCTGCTACACACCAAGCTTACAAATGAGGGAGCCAAGGACTCAAGTCTCGCCACCCATTCTCGTCCTCTGCCGAAGAGCTACTGCAGGATTTCTCCCAAGCAAACACGGCATCCTGGGTTGCAGACAAATGGGAGCAATCATGGCAAGGATCCACTATGCGCCTACATCAGTTTGTCCAGGACCACACCAACATCAGTGGCATGGATCAAACATGCAAGGCCTGGACAAGACTAAACTGCCTTCGAACTGGTGTGGTGTGCTTCAGAGCCAACATGGCCAGGTGGGGCCTCGCGGACAGTGCCACCTGTGAATGCGGGACTGCAGACCAAACTGCAGACCATATTCTATCCAATTGCCCGCTCCATCTACCCATCTCCGCATGGAGCAGATGGTCTAACTAACTTGGACCAGGAAACCAAACTATGATTGACTCAACTGCAAGCTGATATCTGAACTGTCCACCTGACAAATGAGAGAAGAAGATGTTGGATAGTGTGGACGGCCCTTTTGAAGACACTTGTACAAAACGTTGGCCTTAATTGCATTTGAAATGAAAAATGTCCTAAATTCACGTTATTTTAACATAAATGAGAGGTGTACTGATTGTTTTTTTTTTAAATTCCAGACTCCATTTGACTCAATTGCCAAAAAAATGTTCTCAGTAATTGGTGATGGCAGTGTGATGAAACGAGTCAAGAGGGTTGGCTCAGGTGAAGTCATCCCAAAGGCTTACACTGCTACCAGTAAGTATATGCTTGCGTCACATATGCATGTACAAGTACATACAGCTCATTTTTACTGCTATACTCCTGAGGGCCAGCCCCTTTCCTTCTTTTGTTCCCTTTTGTTTGAACTTAAACTTTTTCTCGACAGTTCCCTTAGGCCAAAAAATGTCTCCGGTTTCTGGTATGCGCGCGTCGCCGTAGCCATGCGCGTCGGCAAAATGAAAAAGTTTTTTTTTTTCCAATGTAAGATGATGTCTCAAAACTGCCAAACTCACTGGTTTGACTGGATCCTGCTGCTGCACAATTTTAACGTATTTTTAGATGGGGTTACAATCGAGTATAAGCTTTGTGTGGCCTCTCTAGACTCCCATATATTTTGCACTAAATTTAGTCTTGCACCATTTGCAGTCATCAGCCGACATTGAAGAAAAAAAAAGTAAAAAAAAAAAAAAAAAAGCCCCGTCGCCGCACCACTTTTGGGGCAAGCTCCATACCAGAAACCGGAGACTTTTTTTTTGGCCTTAAGGTTTATAGACAAAAATGTGTCTACATTTCAGCACGGATGCGCAAGTGCCCTTTTCAAGAAATAAAAACGACCGTGCTACGCCACTGTTCGTGCACGGATCCCACAAGGTTGCATCTGGGTACCGATGGAAGTTGAAAGTAAATGGATTTAGATTGGTTCCTCTCATTTTTATGAAATCTGAAACCAAGTTCACTACCTGATAACCTTAAAGGTTATTAATTATAATCGTAGTTGTAACAGGTAGCAGCTTCTCCCTTGAGTCAGTTCAACAGGGGAGGAGCACCGTTCTTCCTTCTGTGAGTACAAACCAAGGAATCGAACGGTGCCTGGGAATTTATAGTTTATTGTTTATGGCATTTGGAGTGTGTATTGTTAAGTGTTATTCATCATTGTGCATTACATGGCATGACCAAGGTTGATCTGGTCTCCCGACTGGGTGTCCACTCGGCCTTATGTGGCACTCGTTAATAGCCACACTAAATGCATTTACGTTGATTGATGGTTCTGGGCTTCTGGTGCCCATTGGCTGAAATGATTAATGGTTCTGGGCTTGTGGTGCTCAGGGGCTTCTGGTGCCCAACTCTGATATTGATATGGATATTGACAAATTATTTGGTGCTACACAATTGAAATAATACCCGGTGGCCCAATTGAAAACGGTAGCCGGAGTAACAGTTTGAAGAAATGTTTTGAATAAACCGTTTGGCTGAGGCGTGTAGTCACATACAAATTTGGACTGCGTGTTTCTTTCTTTTATCTGCTTATAATGTATACAATATGCAGTCATTCCCTGTATGTGAGTAAGGTTGTCAGGTAGTGAACTTGGTTTCAGATTTCATAAAAATGAGAGGAACAAATCTAAATCCAATTTACTTTCAACCTCCATCGGTACCCAGATGCAACCTTATGGGGTCCAAGCTACAATAGCATGTTTGTAAACTCATTATTTATAAAAATAGCTTGACCTCATTAAATCAGAATATGGCAAGCTCTACAGAAAGAAACGTGACTACTACATCAATTAGGTCAATGACATTGTATACCATATGCAGTCACTCCCTGTATGCAATAAACAATAACATATACATTGTGGTTATACTTCCTTTAATTAATGTAGATAATAAGCCACTATAATCACCAAAAATGGGGAAAATCGTGGGCTGTTTTATTTCACGAGCACAAAAAACGCCCATGAGCACAAATGCTCATTGAAAAGGAGGTAGCTGGGGGTGGCGGTGGGCCGTCTCATTGTGAGAGCAATGGCATCCCTGTGGCCCATTGAATGCAAAACAAATCCCTTGCCCTGACATGGCCGTTTGCTTAGAAAATTTGTCATAGGATGATGCGGAAGTAGGTCGCTGCCCACTTGAGCCATATGCCATGGTTGACACCGTAACTGCGGCCGCCACTGTTAGCCACAACTCAGTATCAACTTCGCCCCAGTTCCGGCTAGGGTTCAACTCCTGCCTGAGCCGAAACTGTTCATCATAATTACGCCACCCGAAACCGGGGAACTGCCGCGCCGCCAGCCGAACTGTCTCTGCATATTTCAGTAGATCGGCTGCACGGTTTGGATGGCGCACTATAAAAATCGACATGAAAGTATGGAAGGCAGAAGACCACTTGTCGATTGTGTCGATTTTAGTGGTTGGTGAGGAGGCCTTACGAACAACCATGCGGTTGCCCTCCATGGCCAGCATAAGCTCCCCACCGTCTTCTGCCTTTGTAAAAATGGCCGACGCAGATACGGTGTCGGAACAAAGTAATGCAAAATTTACATGGGTACTGTTCCAATGTTTTTCTTTTATGGGCATGGGAACTTGGTATCCCAGTGGGGTGTATACACTGGGAACGATGGGTGGGGCGTCCGCTTGATGATCGGCGGTACCAACCCCACCCGTCATATCCATCGTGGACTCACCCCTACCCGGTGCGACTGTCTGCTGCCCGGCGGCATCCTCCGGCACGTTCTTGGTAGTGCTTTGGGCCCCATCCATCGGCATGGCTCCCGCTGGTGGTTCGAGGGCTCGCGCTGGCCGTTTCGGCGGCGGGAGGACCCCATCGCCGTCTCACAATCCTGCTGGAGGATGCGGTTGACGCTTTGGGCGTGGCATTCTCCTTCTCTGAGATCGTCTTTGGTATCACGATGCTACGAAAGGCCACTCCTGGTCGGGTTCCTCTTCAGGGATGCTCCACTAAGCCTACAGACGTGCTATTAATATAGATGGTTTTGGCCCACAACCACTACGGCCGAACAGCCGCGGCTCAATTTTTTCCAGAAGGAATTTCAATCATTGTTGAGACAACCAAAGGTTCAGAAAACAAAGTTATATCGAACCTAAAGCTGTGCGTCCTTTATAGGATATATCCTGAGCACCAAACGAAATATGAATTTCCAGAAGCGGCAACAAACAAAATTTTGGAGACGCATTCAATTATTCCAGTGTTTGTCCATTGGAGGCTGAGACAAAAGTGACTGCATGCTCGGTTTGCTGCCAAAATTGCGCAACACGGCTTGGTTTGCTGCCAAATGTGCCTTGCCGCCCATTTCTCATTGGCTGAAAATCACATCACCTGAATGGAATGCTGCAAACTTTTCTTGCTTGCCAATTGGCTAGAAATCCCGTGCTCTAATTTGTTTATTCTAGCCGTTAGGTATCGTGTATCCCAGCCGTGTGTATGGGCTTTGTGCACAAATATTGCCATGCAGAGGGACTGCTCGACTATCAGACATCAAAACAGACCCAGTTGAATCGATATTCCTGCTTATAAACAACTTGATCATTTAAGTGATAAAATTTAATGTCATTGGAAGTATAACCACAATGTATATGTTATTGTTTATTGCATACAGGGAGTGACTGCATATGGTATACAATGTCATTGACCTAATTGATGTAGTAGTCACGTTTCTTTCTGTAGAGCTTGCCATACCTGATTTAATGAGGTCAAGCTATTTTTATAAATGATGAGTTTGCAAAATGCTATTGTAGCTTGGACCCCATAAGGTTGCATCTGGGTACCGATGGAGGTTGAAAGTAAATTGATTTAGATTTGTTCCTCTCATTTTTATGAAATCTGAAACCAAGTTCACTACCTGACAACCTTCCTAACATACGGGAATGACTGCATGTACATATTGTATACAATGTCATTGACATAATTGGATCTAGTAGTCACGTTTCTTTCAAACATATTCTATTTTAATGAGGTCAAGCTATTTTTATAAATAATGAGTTTGCAAACATGCTATTGTAGCTTTCTAATATTCGTGTTTCTGTGCAGGATGTTAATTTGTACTTTTTGTTTCTTGACTTTGCAGTTCATTATGAGGGTTATGTGGAATACTGCGATGTTCCCTTTGATTCTACCAGACTACGCGGTAAAACACAGAAAATCAGACTTGGAGAAGGTACGTAAAATAGTCGTCTACTTTGTTAGGGAGCTTCTTATAAGTTGGGAACGTATCCGGTCTGTTGCCAAGTAAAAACAAAAAATACCCCTTGAACCATCCCAGCTTTCCAATGAAATTTTCCTTTTTTTTTTTTATTGTTTTTCTTATGGACGGATTAACCGTTATTGTCATGGACATAGTCAAGACTAAACAGCCATCAAAATGTACAACAAGGTTAATGCTTCTTATACAACACTAGTCCACTGCCTGGACTGTTTTCATGCGATCAATCAAGCGTGCGCCCTCGTGCGTCTGATCCGAGCTATGCGCACAAGCCGTCAGACACACACAAGTGTTCGTTGGAGAGGGCGCCCTGGCCTGTGACAAAAATAGAAGTTCCATTCCACGGCATGCAGAAGTTCCAATGCAGGATCACACTAATACCAATCAGATGACGAGGATTTATTCAGGCATTGTATAAAACAACAAACGAATGTTTCAGTTTCACATTCGTGCAATGGAAAGAATAATTTCACTCGGTGACAGATTTGGAATGCTCCATTCCCTCGCTTCAGCTCGTTAAATGGAACGTTCCATTTGTCACCTCATTTAAGCAATTATTCTTACCATTGCACTCATCAACTTTCATTACTTGCATACTATCTGATATTTCATGGATATCTTTGAAATTCAGTATTAGAAATTGAACACAAGTTTTGACTTATAATCAGATCCTTCCAAACCTTAGTATGTTTGAGTCTTTCTTGACATTACCACACAACTTTTTTTGTCCAGGTCAAGTGATTCTAGGTCTTGAGGTGGCGGTAGGAACGATGAGGAAAGGAGAGAAATCAGACTTTTTGATTCAACATCAGTATGCCTATGGCCCTATGGGTGTGCCTCCCAGGATCCCAGGAAATGCTACTGGTATGTACAGCGTGGGCTTGGTGATTGTGAAGTTACGGGCCCCGTTCCTTTAAGAGAACAAAAATCCACTCTAAGATAATTGCACTCATCTAATAGTGATGTTAAAAAAACAATAGGAAAGTCATGATAAAAAGAGCAGGTTTTTGAAATTTGAGGGAAACTTTGGGGGTGAATTGATGAAGAAGATGACAAAACGCAATACGAAAATGAGATGGCAGTAAAGGGCTGTAAAGGCTTTAACCTCGTAATAGGATGTGAACGATGAACTGCCGTCAACAAAAAAAAAGTTACCAAGGACAAAAAAGTTTAAGTGACAATGAAGCGCCGCAATTTTTCTATGAAGTAACATCACCAGTCATGTGTGTATTTACTATTTACGTAGTTTTTCGTTTTTGAAATTTCAAACTGGTAAAAAAGCTATTCAGATGTTTGATTGATGATTGAATATTCGAGGATTGGGTATAATCAGGACAGCCCTACTGGCAGAAAGTCCCACATACGTGCAATTGCGTATGAGGCCCGTGTTTTCAACATTTAGTGTTGTATTAAAGTGGTGACCACGTGCACAGTGGGCGGAGCCTAACGGATCAGTCTATTAGTTGTAGTATGGGAGGCCTTTACAGAAAAAAATCCTGAAGTTATGTGATTGCAATTGCAATAAGTGGGGGAGAGTAGCCTAGTGGTTAGGATTTGTGACTCATGATCAGAGGGTCAGGGGTTCGAATCCAGCTTCTGGTCATATGCTGTGTCCTTCGGCAAGCCATTTTACCCCCACTTGCTTCTCTCCACCCAGGAGTATAAATGGGTACCGGTATTAGCTGGGGAGTAACCTGCGATGGACTAGCATCCCATCCAGGGGGGAGTAGAATTTTCTCAGTCGTTTATATGCTACTGAAACTGGAGACAAATGCTGGCCTGATGGGACATATTGGCTCGTGACAGACTTTACTTTTTTTTCACATTGCAATATGAACACATTCGTCCCAGGAGAGCTTTTGTTGAAATTTGCATCATGATGTGAATTGCAAGGGATCAATAGACTGATCCATTAGTCCCGCCCACAATATTTTGACCAATCACAGCCATGATTAATATCCACCATGCGTGCACAAAAGTTTGACATGCGTGCACTTGCGTATGAGCTGGAACTTGCAGTGTACATATTGGTCAGTTGCATGTGTACTGTTACCCACATGTGCAGTAGGCGTTTTATTCATTTTGCGTTGATCAAAAAATAACTTGTCATTACAAGTTATTGTATGCATTATGGTAGACAACTAATGGTTCTATTTCTGTTGCCTCCGCGTAGTCCTGTTTGTGGTAGAGCTTCTGAATTATTCTGATACTCCTCTTGTGCCTGATATGGATACCTGGTCCGCAGAACGGAGAAAAGACGCAACCTTTGAAGAAATCCTTGACATTGCAAATGCGTACCGTAAGGTATGAGTGATCACATCATGATTTGTTTCAATTGGGGTGTTTCACAATGCAGTGAGCCACCAAGAGTTTGCCACGGAGAGTCCATTTTTCAAGTTTATGATTGACAAAACATGGCCTATTTGAACGAGTATTTTGAGCTTAAATTTGTTAAAGATTGGGGCCGCAAAGCGTTCTGCCGCCTTACAAAAAACACTGTATTGATAAAAGGAAAAGAAAAGGGCAAACAGATACTCGAATCATGCTACGAAACTACTGACTGGACAAACTAATAATTCCACTGCTCGCACTGCGAATTTGTCGACCATCTCCCACAATGCACTGGGAAAAATGAACTCTCCATGGCAAACTCTTGGTGGCGCACTACATTGTAAAACGCCTGAAGTAACCTTCCTAATAAAGTGAAGTCAATATTCAGAGCAATGTGTAAAGCCCTTTAATTTAAAACCCTGCACGTCAGTTTCAAGTGAAAGGATATCAAGTGTTAAAGTAACTGTATCACAGAGAGTCACTGCACACACGAAAACACAACACTGTGGAGAGCAGTGAAGCGTGACTGAATCTGCCTGCTTGCCCTGAGCTTAACCACACAAAAGAATTGTGCAGGGATTTGAAGTGTTATCCATACTCCACAGAAGATTTCCTCCAAGGAGTTTGAAGTGTGAGTGCTAACTCTATGGGCAAAAAAAGGGTTTTGAAAAACTTGAAGGGTTGTCAAGCGCAGAAGGCTAGGAGGGTTACAAGAGGCTGTTTACAACATTCACACAAAATAAATAAAAATCTGTAAATCCCAAAAACTAATAAATTATTATGAAATAGCTAACTTCAGTGTAAGAAAATAACAGTTTCACACACCCTGTGAAATCACGGAGCCTAAAATTCTGGAAATAAGGAAATTATAAAATAAATAAGGAAAACTTTGTAACATTTTCCAATGATCGCTCAGCCAAACGATGATTGGAAAAATATTACATGTATTTTGAAAAATACTGCATCCTTTATCGGGTGCAAGCCAGACACTGACCTCTAACATTCGGGAACTAAGGAGCTTTTGATCATCGTCTGCTGGGTCAACTCGAGTCCAAGTCATGACGCCTATCAAAAACTCAAAAGATTGAAATTTTTGTAAATAATTTGTGATGTTTGTTTTGTTTTCAGGCGGGCAATGATGCATTTAATGGCGACGAAAATGGCCACAAAAGAATATCCAAAGCGGCTTCACAGTATATCAAGGTAAACCTTTAACCTGGAAATCTTGGGACAAATAATATGAAAAAGGATGAAAATCTAAAGCATATGAAAAAGAAAAGATTCACAAATCCATTTAATTTGACCCGAAATATCACATTCTCAGCTATTTCTTTGACAAAAACTCAATTATACCCTTTACCTGGAGTATTTAGGTCTTCAATTCACCCATTTCCAGATGTTTCAGAGAATTGCAATATTTTCTAAATTTTTGACTTTTTAATATGGAATTGCCCGTAGAATCCTTGTTTACTAAAATGTTTATTTTGAATAAGTAAATCAAAATATCTCATGTCTAAATCCACATAAATTAATGTCATCTGAGCAAGCAGCTTATCCTGTTGTTTTAGGTCGTAGAAATTGTGAAATATTTTTGGGGAGGAACGGATGGACCTTTGTGAGTACAGGTGGTAAGGTTCTGGCGCTAATATTCCCTATTAATCAAATTGACCAAATGTCACCATGAGGGTGGGGGGAAGATTATGAATCTTGCCAAGTATTCTTGGTTTCATTAAACTTCTCTTGATCCGTTCTTTTTCATTGCAGCAATAGGTTTGCCGAAATCCTAGAATTGCGAAAGTGGTTCTTTAAAGACCTTGCAACTTCTTAATTTTCATTTCTTTTGAATGTGAGAAAGCTTGCTTAAAAGGAAAATGTTAGGCCAGCTAATTCTGTTTAAGTTTCATCGTGGAAAACTTATTGGGAAATGCCCGGACCTCTTTTTATCCATTTAATGTTAGTTAGCTGTTCCACTTCATTGCAACAACATATTTTCCATTCGAGGTATTACTCAAACTTTTGAGGTTTCTTTGTTTGTGTTCTCTCTCCTTTATCAGGCGATACGACTGCTTGAAAATGCTAGACTTGCCAATCAGTCCGAGGAAGACGAAATGAAGAGAGTACTGCTGAAGCTGTACCTGAACCTAGCACTGTGCGACATCAAGCAGGGGCAATGCCCAAGGGCGTTATCCAACTGCATCAAGGCATTAGAGATTGACCCTCAGAACATTAAGGCTATGTACAGACGTGGTCAGGTAAAGATTTCATTGAATGAATTAATTAACAATAACTTGTAATTATAAAGTGTACACGTTGGTGTTCAAGGCACTGTGGCATTGTTACCCCTGCTCGTCGTGCCTATAAAACATTCCAAAGACTATCTCAGCTCCCCAGGGAGTTGACAGCTCAGTCTTGCCATTTTGGTGCAAAGCAGCTATTGGTTCGATCATAATAACCATCTCTGCCCTCACAGGTACCCATTTACTCCTGGGTGGAGAGAAGCAATGAGTGACAAAGTGCCTTGCCCAAGGGCACATGCACCATGACCCCAGGCTGGACTTGAAACCCACAATCTGCAAAAGTCATGAGTTTAATGCACCAGAACACAACGCCGCGCCACTTTGCGATTGATTGCAATAATAAAACATGCAGGAAAAAATGTTGCAACCTGATGCCACTTCAGCGGTTGTGTACAAAGTCTATGGAGAGTCAAGAAAATTTTCCTAACAAAATTGGAAATTTTTCTCAGTCCCAAATTCATGTCTTATCATCATTTTTGCAATGACTGGCCTTCATTGAGATGATATATGAAGAAAAAAGTGGCGTCAGGTTGCAACATTTTTTCCAAACATGCTTCATATATGGCCAATTTTTACACCAAAAGTTGGTAATTATTTGCAAGCTGGATCATGATTTGTTTGTAAATGACCAAAGTTAAAGGTTTCAGTCACGATTCCTAACTGGAACATCTCGATGCTTCATACAATTTTGGAAGGTCGAAAGGCTATTTCATACTTGGCGCGGGGAGTTTCGCAACAAATGTTTTATTCACTTCGCATTTGCGTCACTATGAACTAGACTTATGTGGTTTTTTTTTACATTTTGAGATATTTGATATTCTGTCCCCGTTGTAATACAACAGGCTCTCTGGCACAGTAATGAATTTGACAAAGGCAGACACTGGATCCTCAAGGCACAGAAGCTGAACCCTAAAGACGCTCACATCCAGGCAGAACTCAGGAAGTTGGACAGAAAGAAAGCCGAAATGGATCAACTTCACAAGGCAACGTACCAAAGAATGTTTGCTTCAGCAAACTCGACCAGCAAAAGTAAGCAAAGTCTGTCACGATCAGCCACTTGGCCCATCAGGCTGGCATTTATCTTTGGTTTCCTTGGCTGAGAACATTTCTATTCCCCCTGGATGGGATGCCAGTCCATCACAGTTTACTCCCCAGCTATAATGCCGGTACCCATTTGTACTCCTGGGTGGAGAGAGGCAAGTGGGGGTTAAATGCCTTGCCCAAGGACACAACACATGGCCATCAGCTGGATTCGAACCCCTGACCCTCTGATCATGAGTCGCGGACCGTAATCACTTGGCCACACTCTCCCTCAGTAAAAGTAAGGATGAACTTGAACAGAGAGATGCAGTGCAGCAGGTGTAAATAAAGTCTGTGGGAACGTAATTGTTGCATTTGGCGTTCCATACCAGTGCATAGTTATGCTGTTTTGAGACAGTGGGAGCTAGTATGCCACTGTTGTATCCTGCTGCAGTTGGCTATGGGCGGCCATTAGGGCAAAAAAGACAAAAACAAAAATAAAACAAAACCACAAAATTAAACGAAAACACACAAAAATAAACGAACAACTCAGAAATAAACAAATATAACTCAGAAATAAACGAACAACTCAGAAATAAACGAACAATTCAGAAATAAACAAACCATTCAGGAATAAACAAATATAACTCAGAAACAAACGAACAACTCAGAAATAAACGAACAACTGAAAAATAAACGAACAACTCAAAAATAAACGTAAAACTCAGAAATAAACGAACAGCTCAAAAATAAACGAACTACTCAGAAATAAACGAACAACTCAAAAATAAACCATCTACGCAGAAATAAACAATCAACTCAGCGTTAAACGATCAACTCAGAAATAAACGATCAACTCAGAAATAAACGATCAACTCAGAAATATACACGAACTCAGAAATAAACGAACAACTCAGAAATGAACGAAGAACTCAGAAATAAACGAACAACATCCCCAGGGTGTCGAGCAGCAGTACGCGCCCACCATGTACCATACATTACAGAAGTGCAGACGACATAATGTTTACCGCGGCATCCAAGATGGCGGACACCTTGCATCGCTTCACACACGCGATAAACACGGACACATGACACATGACGGGTGAAGTGGGTTTTCGTGGACGACCTCCGACGCCTAATAAAAGGAGTCTAAGCGAAAGGTAAGCCTGATTACAGTTTGATTTTTATGATGGAAAACGTCGACTTTATTCGTAAACTTTTACAATGTCAATGGCATATATCCCGCCGTCATGTCTGTACGTCATGCGTGTGGGCCGGGTTTGGCCACTGTACTAGCGCGCGGTGCGGTGGGCAGACCACGGACCATTACATGGTCCGTGGTAATGGACCATAAATGGTCCGTGGTACATGCATGGTCAGACCGACCATCGAGCTATATCCGAGGTGGAATGATTCCCACATCTGGCCATCACTATTTTTCCCCTTCAGTGACCTATCATGCATCAGAAAGTGATAATTTGTCCAAAAAAGTAAAATTTAGCTTGGGAAAATATTGAAATATTTAGGAAACACTTGGAATAGAAATGTCCAGACCAGCTTCATACGGTTTGTGCACAGGGATGGCCAGATATGGGAATCTTCCCATCATGTTCCCTGCAGTGTTAACAGCCATCAGCTGGAGAACATATTGAAGTATTTACCGAGAAAAAACGAGGGAGGGGAGGCAAGGGGGGGGGGTGCCCCCCCCCCCAGAAGAGCCACACAAAAAAGGAAGGGAAAAAACAAGAAAAAGGAAATTTAAGAAATAGATGTGCAAAGTCATATTTTTGTAAATTTAATGAGTTGGGGGGGGGCAAAATGTCCCTGCCCCCCTCTAAAACTGATAAATTGAGAATATGTTGAGAAATACAGGATTTTTTGGGGAAAAATATGTTTTACCCCCCATTAGAAAAAATCTCGGCGACGCCTATGTTTGTGCATAGGGTCACCATGGTCACTGTCATGGTGATTTCCAGGTATAAATCTTTTTTTCTGGATAGCTTTATGATAGGTGATTGCACTCTATTTTACTCTACACTGCCACCATCAGTCCCCTGATTACAACTTGATTAACATCTATGTAGGCCTGGTCTTAAATAGTTTGTGATGAGATTTTTGCAACTTTTCATGCTAAACCGTTTCATATATTTTGTCATTTGTCCCAACAGAGAGCAGGATATTATGAACGGTGTTCAAGCCAGCTACATCAATGATCCAGATGGAAAGCAACAGAAACTCAACTGAAAGAAAGCAACTTTAGTCTTGTCTGATAAGTGCTGCATGTGTTCCACAGCCCATGCCAAGTATGGACTGAAATTCTGGCTTAACTACCAGATCTTAGCTCCATGATACAAGTATGTAGACAGCAGCTGGCTACTAGCTGCGGCTCCCCGAGTACCTTGTAAAATGGCGAATGCACTGTTAAAGTTATAGAGATTTTTTATTATAAGACCCCCGAAAATCCACAAATACATGTATGAGAGAAAGTTCACTGCAACCACTGATGCATTTATGCAGAGGATTCAATTAGTTTGGAACTTGCTGCAACCCCTGTCCAGGTTGTCATTGAGGATTCTGTCCGAGGACTTATTGAGGTGAACAGTCTGTCAAGGTTCAGAGAGGTGACACTAAAGGAAGTGATTCTAGCCAAAAAGGACTGCACAATTTTCCTCTGCAACTGAGGGAATCAAAACCCATGACGAAGGAGAAATCGAGTTTTACCAAGTGCAGATGCAGATGGCAGTTGTAGGTGTGCCTTGTTGTGACCTTTGAATTTTCACCAATGCCACAGCGATGTGCTCATAGTCTTTGTACATGTTTCATTCATTGAGGCATTTTTGAAACCATTGAGGATTCTCCAATTTCATAAAGGTCAATGTTTTACCATATAGCCCAGGGTTTGCAATTTTTTTATCAAGACACCTTGCACAAATTTTATTTGGCAAAACTAGTTAATTGGTCTTGTCATAAATGTGATTGCTCTAGTTCAAAGAGTAAAAGTGCATGTACATGTACATGTTATTATTAAAATTATATTTTAGACATTAAAATTTTTGTCAACAAATTGCAGACTTTTTAGTCATCTTTAAAAATCTATAATTTACTTTTCTATGAATAGTTAGTGCAATTTTAGGTGAAACATATATGCACCTAGGACAGTTTAAATACATGTTTCTACTAAGCAATTTGTGTTTCTACTGAGCTAAATGTGTCATTAAGAATAGGAGCAACTTAACATGTATCTGTACAAGGATTGGATGTATTTCGTCGATTGGTTTTGGAAACCAACTTTAGAGACTGCAAGTTAACTGTTGATTTATATACGGCAGTTCACATTTTGGACAGAATTCCACATACGGACGTCACTTGAGACCCTGTATACAACTTTGAGAGTGGTCTGAACATTTCTGTTTTCTCACTAAATTCTTCAATGTTTTCCCTGCTATATTTGACTTTGTACGACATGTTATCGCTTTCTGATGGCTGGTAGGTCATTGCAAGGAAAAATTATTGACATCCGTATATGGAATTCTTTCCTACATGTTCTTGTTATGTTTAGTAAAAGGATTTTTTAAACAACATTTTAAGGTTTCCTTCCACTCTTGAGCTTTAATTTATTGCATTGTACTAGACTGGGGCAAGCATTATTTGTGTGTAACTTAAAGAAACTGCCTGAAAAAAAGTACAATTCACATTTCGCAAGTTAATTATTAAACCACTGCTTTAATATCTCATCCAAAAAAACCCACATTGTAATGTTAAATTAGCAGTTATATTAATATCACTTGTGTTGTAAACATTTTTTTTTTGAGAAGTATACAATGTATACAATTGTGCTTTTCAAAATATCATGTATGTACAGTTAACCATGCTCAACCTGTAACACTATAACATCATTTCATGAGATTACACAAACATTTGAACAAAATGAACTAAAGGTGCACCATTCTAAGTTTTGTGCAATATGAATATCCTGATATCTGTTTGACAAAGGTGGGGGACAGGGGTGGGGTGGGGGTTAGGGGTGGAATGGGGGTTGGGCTGGAGGCACTGGAGGATGGGACATTTGGTGAATTGGGTGGGGGATGGGGGGCGGAGTGTGAAGTTTAAACTTGTGATTGGCCCCTAGTAACACAACTCTCTGTAAAATTTACATGAATCTGCCACAGATTCAAGACGACAATGCTGTGCTGCAGATCCAGAAACTTTACTGTGTAGTACAACTTCTGCTAATACAGTTTTGTAGTGGTACATGTCAGGCACAGATTGACTACAATAAAATAGAAAATAAAATGTATGTATTTGTTACAAGAAATTACCCAGTACATGTGTATTTGTGTAACCTTATTGTAACAGAATTAGCTCATTACATATCACTTACATGTTCCAAACACATGCACACACATGTCCAAAGCAATGTTTATGTAAATACACATGTAGGCCCCTACAATGTACATGTACATGGAGTGAGTGTATCAACTATGACCTAAATCCAGTGTCAGTCCAACAATTTGCATTTATACTAGCTACTCCACATTAAAAGAATACTGATGTCTAAATGCAAGAAGGGTTTAGGTACACCCTGTATAAATCTCGACCTGCAGTACATGTGCTTTTAACAGGTTCCACAATACCGTGACTATGCAACCAACAAATGCGTTGAAAATGCAACTTATAGGCTATAAAACGGTACTAAATATCACACTTATCACTACATAATTTATAGAAATTGTTTAACAGTAAACTGCTGTACCAACCGTTTAATAAACCTCAGCGATTATTGCTTTGGGCGAAGAATTTAATACACAAGTTGCAAACTCTACAACGCTAAATCTATGTTGCTAAGGAGAGCTTGGTTACCATCTTTCTGGTACAGTGCCCTCACTAGGCAAAAAGAAGAAATCTGAGTTTGGCCGCTACTTTACATGTATCTAGCACTGCATGTATCTATTTAAATTTAATAATTTTTACAAATATCTGCAGAAAAAAATGTAGCACCTCTTTTAGTTTCTGTGTGCAGAAGTTGTACAGTTACAATTTACATGTACATGTAGAACTGCAAATGTCACATGGATTAGACTTAGAGTGACAACAAAGACTTAAGTAGGGCCTACATGTACATGTACATGTAGGCTACACAGAAAAAAAAACTAGGCCTACATGTACTTCATTTAGTGAGGGCCAAATATTGTAGCAAAGCAGCGCACTTTTTGAACGCTTCCTGTAGGTTAGGGGTATCTTCTCTCCAAGAAAATGTCACTGTTTTCCCATTTACCGTTGAACGGTCGCGCATGCTACTGCAACAGACTCAACCAGCTGATGAGGCTGCAATGGTCTGCTCCAATGAGAAAATGAGGCATATTAAAGTTGTACTTTCCGCTTCATGATTACTTCTCGGAAGGATCTTGTTTCATCACAGGCTTCCCTTCCATGTTACTAGAATCGTCCTGCAACCAAAATTTGAGAGTTACAAATTAATCATCATGTTGACATCCTGTTCGGATTACTACCATTACTCTTGTACCCTGTGCAACCAGTGGAACCAAAGAGAACTGAAATAAACTGCTGATTTTGTTTAAGTAAATCCAATTCATTTTTTTCTTCATTTTCTCTGCTTCCAAACACACAATGCATGATATTTTTTGTGGGTCACCAAAATAATGCAATATGCACACAGCAGTTCACAGTTTATTTGGGGTTCACTGAGTATTTCAGGCTAAACAGTTAAACCATGTCAATGGCGTATTTGAGAAGCGGTTCGACTGGTGGCAGCGCAATCGACAGATAGCATCACGATCACCCGATCGCGCTCAACATTAATACTAGTACTAGGGGGCTAGGGGCCTTTTGCGTTTGTAAAAATTGTTGCGTAAAGATACTAAAAAAATTCAACTCGAACTGAAAAATAACGGGTAAAAAGTCTCTTTTATTAGAATTATGAATAAAATTTTAGAGTCGCGGAAGTCGTTTGATCTTTAAAGCGGCAAAATGCTCAAAAAATAAACAAGACACATAGACCATACCCGTCCGGGGAAAGAATCCCATAGTCTACCTCCTAGATGGAGGTTACTTCACACCCTGTTACCATGGTGTTACAAACCAGTATAATGAGACTGGTCTGAAAAATTATGTTTTCTCACTAAATATTTCAATATTTTCCCAGTAAATATCACTTTTTAGGACATGTTACCGCTTCTGGTGGCTACTACTAGTATAGTCATTGCAGGGAAAAACTAGTGGCGTACGTGTATGGAATTCCCATTCTTTCCTGTCTGACCAACCATGGAGGAATTCCTCCATGGGCCAACGTAGTCATGCATGGCGCAGTGCCACGCCGCGCCATCCCAGCCCAGTACATGTGGCCAAACCCGGCCGGCATTGGCATACCGTTCACATGACGTACAGACTAGACATGACGGAATGCCATGGTAAACGTTTACAAAGTCAACGTTTTTCATCATAAAAATTAAACTGCATCCCAGGCTTACCTTTCGCATAGACTTCTTTCTGGCTTCGGAGGTCGTCGACGAAAAAACACTACGTTTTTACCCTCCGTTTTTTCTACGTGTTCATCGCGTGAAGCGGTTCAAGGTGTCCGCCATTTTGAATGCCGCGGTAAACATTATGTCGTCTGCACTTCTGTAATGTATGGTACATGGTGGGCGCGTACTGCTGCTCGACACCCTGGGGATGTTGTTCGTTTATTTCTGAGTTCTTCGTTTATTTCTGAGTTGTTCGTTTATTTCTGAGTTCGTGTATATTTCTGAGTTGATCGTTTATTTCTGAGTTGATCGTTTATTCCTGAGTTGATCGTTTAACTCTGAGTTGATTGTTTATTTCTGCGTTGATGGTTTATTTTTGAGTTGTTCGTTTATTTCTGAGTTGTTCGTTTATTTTTGAGTTGTTCGTTTATTTCTGAGTTGTACGTTTATTTTTGAGTTGATCGTTTATTTGTGAGTTGTTCGTTTATTTGTGAGTTGTTCGTTTGTTTCTGAGTTATATTTGTTTATTCCTGAATTGTTTGTTTATTTCTTAATTGTTCGTTTATTTCTGAGTTGCTTATTTATTTATGAGTTATATTCGTTTATTTCTGAGTTGTTCGTTTATTTCTGAATTATATTCGTTTATTTCTGAGTTGTTCGTTTATTTCTGAGTTGTTCGTTTATTTTTGTGTTGTTTGTTTAATTTTGTGGTTTTGTTTTATTTTTGTTTTTTGTCTTTTTTGCCCTAATGGCCGCCCATAGTTGGCAACCGCAGATGCTGAAGCAGTTTAGCCTTGGGAATTTTGACCTGATGTATCTTGTTACACTGGGCAGGCGCTTCACACTTTGACGACTGCATGGTTGCGTTAATGTTGGTTTTATAGACAAATACCCTTTAGCGTTAGGATAAAGGAGTGTTCTGTTATTAAAGGAGTTCTTAAGGAGAGCTTTGCAAATGTCTCACTGACTGCCACTTGTGTGCTGGGCAGTGCTATCATATAGGATTACATCAATACTCAATCTATTTGTAGTACTTTTTCTTTTTCTTAATTAGCTTCCTTTCTCTATCCCTTTTTGTAGCCCTCGCATCAAGTGGCCCTTAAATAGGGCCTAGTGATGGGCGACTCTCATAAAAATAATATACAGAGTAATCTTGATCAGTCAAACCTTAGGGGAATTGGCTCAAAGTTTGAGTTAACCCTAACCCTGCTGAATCCAACAGGATCCAACTACGTCACATACCTGATGGAGCCTGTTGGATTTAGCAGTAAAGCCTTTGTGTACATTCAATGCAAAATGTTGGATTCAGCAGGCAACTGAACCGCATTAATAATGCCAAGTTGGACTCTGTTGGATTCAGCAGACAACTGAAAATAAGGCACAGTGGATTGAGCAGGAAACTTCCAATGCTTGGACTCTAGCAGGGTAGTCCCGAGGAAGTACTAGGGGGTTAGGGATATTATTAAGCAGAGTTTTGAGTTATCCAATGGATTTTATATTCAACAACAATTGACGGGAATGAGTTTCTACTTTGAGTTTGAAGGGTTTTTGAGTTAACAGGTTTTGACTTAAATATCGAGATTTCACTGTATGTCAATGAATGGGATAAATCTAGCCACTGTGTTGACTATGATGCATGAAAAAACTTCCAGTGAATAGCCATTCTGACTCAATCGAATGCAATTTGTGTGCTGTAGGACCCACTTTATTAGACATGCCTAGTCATATTTTCATTGATTTTATTTCTTCTTGGGCAGGTAGCGATGTAGCTAAAGAAGCCAAGACGAAAGATAAACAGAAGAAGTGCACTCCAGAAGCACAAGACCTACTACAGACCAAACTCAAGTAAAACACTTTTTATCAATTGTAATTTTTTGAAAAATTTTAAATGAAAATTGAGCAGCACAATGTTAACTGGTTATTCTATTGCACCTGATTTTGTATTGGTCTGTTGTAAACGTTGGGAAAAATAACTTTCATCAGGGTTAATTTTTTTCCAAGGGAAAACGTTGAAAAGTGGTTTCTGTTTTTCAAGTCTGGAAAAACTCAGGGAATTTGACAGTGACCCAGAAGGGAGAGGTTTTCACCAGTGTGGCGTATGTGCATGTCTCTTGCGTGTGGTCTTGAGGAAAGGATGGCTGTAAGGGGAGAAGGGAGGCCCTCGCTTGTCAACAAGTTACCTGTGTGTTATCAGTATCTTAGTTGCTTTGCTGCAACCACCTCTTGACTTCCCAGCAACCTCGTTAAAGTGAAAATATCTCTCATGGAATTGTGGACATTTCTCCGGAAAACTAGGGAAAATTCAGTGAATTGTGTTTTCAAAGAGTGCTGGGAACTCTGTTTATGAGTTGAGAGCTTGAAAGATCTTTTACTTTCCAATAAAATAATCAGTCCAAGTAATGTTTTGTCCGTAGAGAGTTCATAAAGGATGACGTTTTGACGGAGATGCCGTTTGCGCTGGATACGTTAACATCTGCTGAGACTGAATATCTTCAGCAAGCTGCTTTGGAAATGGGCCTAGAAGTCAGGACACTACACCAGGTATGAATTTATGATGTGGGTGGGTGGGAGGGGGTTTACGGTGAAGAAGTGGGGGGGTTAAGTTCACAACATATTCAGTATGCAAAATAGAATTACAGAATAATTTGGAAAACCATCGGAAAGTTACGAAGTCTAAAAAGCTTTGTTGTTTCATTTCTTCAACTGAAAGAGTCATTACAATTGAGTTAGCACAGCGATTGAGCCTTGTATTGCATTCTCACTGTGAAGTTACCTTCATATTGAAAGGATACTTCAGAGAAAATTACTACAAAATTTTGTGGCAGTAAAATCTGCTTGTGAATCATTGAATCATCGACAGTCTTCTGACGATGACTAGAGCAGGCTAGGTGAAACGTTGAGACCAAGACAAGTTCTTATAGAACTAAGCAGAACTACTTGGCGAAAATTTATAATAAGCAGGACAAGTTCTTATCAGAACTAATCATCTACTGAGCAGTAGTTATTACCACATGTTTTACCGCAAACCGAAACAATACATTGAACCCTTGATCTGTATTTTGAGTTGTCTAAACGCATGTCATGTTTGTTAAATCTGTCCTGTCTTTCTTCTTTATTCTTTGCAGAACTCAGACAAATATCTGAAGATCTTGAAGCCGAAGCCAGAAGCTGAGCAGTGAGGAAGGCTAAAGGACTGTTCTGCCTGGATCTACTTGGCTTCTTAGCAGTGTGGTAGTCAAACCCACCACAAGTCCCCACCAGTTCATCAAATTTCAATCACAACTCAAGTCGAGCTACTTCAATAAATTGTGACACAGGCATTCCTTAGATAGTGTTCGCCCACCTTTTTACGCATGATTCAACTTGTGAACGGACTTGTAATTATGACTTGTGACTTGTTACACACTCTCGAGCTGTCCCTGATAAGAAGTCTTCTACATGGCATAGGGTCTGCCTACACAATGATCATTCCCAATCTCTAGCTTTGGGGTCCTAGGGGTTTTTTTTTTTTTTGCAGCATACATCGTATTTTTACCAATCACATCACGCACTCTAACATGAATGTTTATTACGCTGTGTGGATGGAAGACACGTAGGTCCTCGTAGTGTTTCCCTTCAATTGTACTTATCCCAACCAACAAAAATGTTTGTTGTAAGGGGACATGGGTTCGAACCACAGTTCTTGGGGTCCTAGGTCACTTTGGCAGCTCGACGAAAGCCGGTCTTTGAAATGCTTTAATGTACATGCATGACTGAGTGATCAGCATTGGTGTGACGTCATTGTTATTTTCTTATGAATAAACATCGAACTAGCTGAATAATCGTGATCAATTGACGATGTGTGCTGCAGATAAAAACACCGCTTGTAGGGGTGTATAGCTGTGGGAAAGACATGGGAACACTTTGTTTTTTATTTTACGTTACGGGTTTGGGGGACTATATTGATGTGGTGCTTACTTTTAGTTTCGGAAAAAATGTTGCAATCTGATGCCACTTTTTTCTTCATATATCATCTCAATGAAGGTCAGTCATTGCAAAAATGATGACAACAAGACATGAATCGGGAGTGAGAAACATTCCAATTTTGTTAGGAAATACTTGAAAATTTTCTTGACTCTCCCTAGACTTTGTACACAAATGCTGAAGTGGCGTCAGGTTGCACATTTTTTCCTTACTTTCATCTTTCTTGTTTCTTAATAAAGAGTTGGTACAACACAAACATTTTCCAACTTTTTGGGGAGTGGAAGGGGGGGGGGGGCACTGGTTGTGAGGTAGGGCATGTAAAATTTAGGTTGGATGTGTTTAGGGTTGGGGGTGGGGGATGGGGGGCTTTATAAGTCAGGCATGCAATTTTCCCTCGGATCCGCTGATTTCCTCGTTTTTTTTACTTCTCACGAATGCCAGTACAAATTGAAAAACACTGTACAAAGTCTTAAGGGGTTTGGAATTTTCCTTGTTTTTTTCTAAATTTCCAGTGGTGCTTTCGATTATTTTTCTAAATTTTGTTCTAATTGCATATGCTAGCTGTGTAAATATTAAAACCAGTATACTTTAAACAAAACTAGTTTGATCATAAAGTTTATTGCCCCGCTGGTCGTTTCAACCTTATCTTTCGTAAGATCATTTCTAAATCATGATGCATAATTTCATCAAGCAATTTTTTTGTCCCACTTTAAGTTGGTGTGAGATTGCTTTTAAGCATGAATCCACACCTTATGTTTGACCTCTCTGATGAAAAGTTCAGAGAACACGTTCTTTTGTTGCTGCTGTATATTATTACCGCCATACATTGCTGCTGTTAATTATTAAAACTGCCAAATTAGTGATTTTTGTATTATGTAAACTTGATTATTCATTGTTACAATTTTTTTTCTTTTTCATTGTGTTTCAAGGACGATACATAGTTTTGTGCGTCTTTCTTTTTTAGTTTTGCAAGCAGTATCAAGGTACGCTATTTTTCTTGTAAAACTATTGCAATATGAAGAAAGAAAACAAAAAGAAAAAAATATTAAGTTCAGCTTGAAAATGACTTTTTATTTCTGTGTACTGTTGCATTTTTACAAATTCAATGCGAAATACACTACCTTAAGCTTATATTCCCCTTTCTGGGGCATATAGTTTAGGGGGTAATTCCATTTTCAAATTAAAAAAAAGAAGATAAAATATTGAGCAACAATATGCCAGCTCAAATGCTCAAACAAGCTATTATCCTACTGTTGTAAAGGAAAAATTGTCTTGGCCTTTTTTGCCTAATTGGTTGATTCATGAAGTTTTGTGAGTGACTATGGATATATAAAAAAAAATCCTTGGGGGGGGGGGGGTGCATTGCATGTTTTCCTATGGATGTTGATAGAGTACATGTACATAGTTCCCGCCCTGAATCTGCACCGACCATTGATTTCTAGAACACCAATTAATGAAAGGCCGCCCTCTGTTGTCAATTTAAATTGCGCAAGCGGGAATTACATTACTCATCGTGTGCAATTTTGACAGGTCTTCTAAAACAAAAGTATCCGTTGTTTATCACATTCATCATGGCCGATGTCAAGGTTTGTACATGAGGGGATTCACTATTAAATGTCTATTTCTTTGGGGGTTATAGTATTTTGTAGATTGCTTAACGAATTTGGGTTGATTGGAAATGTTTTTGTCATAGTGTCTGATTACAACATCATGACCGTTGAATGTCATGTTAAATCACGTTATTGTTCTGCGAAGTGCGTGCGTAACCGACGGTGTGTTGCGTTTGGAAAGACTGTAGTATCATACGCCACGAGAAAAATTCCATAGTCTGGGACACAACTTTACCTGCCGCTAAATATATCAATTTTCACCTCGCCTTGTGATTTCACCCAAGAGGAATCCAGCATGTCCAGGAAGCTGTGTTAATGCGAAAAAAAAAATAAACAAAATGTGTTTTTACTGCCCATTTTGTTTTGGATGCACACGTCGTGCAGAACTAAGTTCAAGCAAACAGTCAAAACTGATTGAAGTGGCTGACAGACAGCTGACAACCATGACGTCGCATGAGCCGGCCAATGATAGTGCAATACGTCATTATAAATATTTATTTTCTCATGAATATTTAGTTTATTCCAATGGCTAGGCTAGTCCTAGCCCGACTGCGTCTGGCCGTACAGAACTATCGCAAGCTCTGTAGTACGGCCAGACGCCCGATGCTTCCACAGAGACTGAATTTTGTTGGCCGCCGATGTAGCGATTTTGCTACATCTTTCGATCGCGATTATCTTTTCATCCAGGACACAAATTTCCAAAGTTAAGGTTTGTAGTCGTAGAGCAACTCATACCTTTTCGAAAAAACGTTCTTTGGTCTCAATATTTTCATCCATCTGGCCACAAGACGAATTTCAGTCATCAGATTCCACAAATATCGTCCCCCATGCGATCCCCCATGCGATTTCAAAATGGCGGCCGCGCTGTAATGTATGCAATATGCAGGCGCGCCCGCGCAAACTCATGAATATGCATAAACAGTCTGTGACGTATGACCGTACGGCCCCGCTGCACGCACGTCCCAAAACACGAGGTCATACGTCACAGACTAATTATGCATATTCATGAGTTTGCGCGGGCGCGCCTGCATATTGCATACATTACAGCGCGGCCGCCATTTTGAAATCGCATGGGGGATCGCATGGGGGACGATATTTGTGGAATCTGATGACTGAAATTCGTCTTGTGGCCAGATGGATGAAAATATTGAGACCAAAGAACGTTTTTTCGAAAAGGTATGAGTTGCTCTACGACTACGAACCTTAACTTTGGAAATTTGTGTCCTGGATGAAAAGATAATCGCGATCGAAAGATGTAGCAAAATCGCTACATCGGCGGCCAACAAAATTCAGTCTCTGTGGAAGCATCGGGCGTCTGGCCGTACTACAGAGCTTGCGATAGTACTGTACGGCCAGACGCAGTCGGGCTAGGCTAGTCCGAGTAACTTGGACCCAACTTATTGCCTTTTTTAACATTTGGACATGGTCTGGCGATAGTAAGGTCCAAGCTAATACCGCGAGCTGGACAACACCGTCATGACCGTCCCAAAAACCAACATTTTCCAACAAAAAACATCAGATTTCACCTTCAAAACGGCCTCCAAATTACTAGATATGCCACCTGGGGTACAAGTAGACATCGATAATTAAGATGGTTGTACTGAAATTTACTTACGATCCAGAAAAAAGTGAAATTTTCCGTTCATTTAGGAAAGCTCCACTCGCGATCTTGAACACGTTAAATTTCCGATCGTGTTTAATGTTTGAACGACGCGATTTCTTCTAGGCCTACATGCCCAGCGTACATTCGATGGTCCCCGTATCCCGAGTGCGATTCCGTAACCGAGCGCGCGCGAGGCATCGATTATGATAATGAGTAGACTGGATCACGTTTGTAAACACAGGTGCATTTCAAACGATAATAGGGAGTCGGGAACTAGCGCAGCTTTTATGGCGGGTACCAGTTCAAGCTGGTTCCCGATTCCCTTTTACAGTTCGAAATGCACATGTATGTGTTTACAAACGTGACTCATTATCATAATCGATGCATAATCGATACGGGGACCATCGAATGTACGCTGGGCATGAAGAAGAAATCGCGTCGTTCAAACATTAAAACACGATCGGAAATTTAACGTGTTCAAGATCGCGAGTGGAGCTCTCCTAAATGAACGGAAAATTTCACTTTTTTCTGGATCGTAAGTAAACTTCAGTACAACCATCTTAATTATCGATGTCTACTTGTACCTCAGGTGGCATATCTAGTAATTTAGAGGCCGTTTTGAAGGTGAAATCTGATGTTTTTTGTTGGTTTTTGGGACGGTGTTGTCCAGGTCGCAGTATGAAACGTTTCTCACTTAATCTCAGTCCCAGACATAGGGCCTAGGCCTATGCCAGATTCATGTCTTTTCAACATTTTTTTGCAAATGCAATGACTGACTTTCAGACCTTAGCCACTGTTACTGTTAGCCATGTTACTTGTTAGCCTTTTGAGATATATCGTCAGTCTCCCTAAAACGATGAGGTCCTATTTCGACGCACTCGCATTCAATTTGCGTTGGGCGCTCGGTTGGACAACGCGCGCGTGCGCGCGTTGAATGCAAGTGTTACCTTGAGGATACGTGTGACTGGAGGTGACTCGAGGATACGTGTAGGCATAGCCCTAGGGCCTAACCTGCTAACTTAAACTAGATGAAAAAGTGGCGTCAGGATGCACCAACTGACCAAGGTGTTTCACGGTAATATGCGCCATCTTGCAGATGCCGATGGGCAATGATGGGGCAATTTTACACGCGTTGCTGTGTACACGTCGTCAGTGGAAAACTTCGGCATGTTCGGCGCTTCCAAGACCAAGTCATCATGCGGTCATTCCAAAATGCGCCCACAACGCAACGCGTGTTCTTTTTGCCCCGTGAACATGATGGTGCAGCATATTTATGTGAAACCCTTATTCTTTTTCCAACATTATTTCCGAACAGATTTTTGACATCAGGAAAAAAATTTAGGCCAATGACTGATCTGTAGCCTAACGTCATTTGAGACATGGCTTTTCAAATAATTAACCCGGCCTGAACCACCCAACCATTTGCCACCAAAAACGTCAGATTTCACCCTCAAATTTTCAAAAGCCACAGAATTTTACGCCACCTGAGAATTGAGATAAAAGTAACAGAAAAAAATGTTGCAACCTGATGCTACTTTTGTCTTCATGTATCATCTCAATGAAGGTCAGTCATTGCAAAAATGATGATAAGACATGAATCTGGTACTGAGAAACATTTCCAATTTTGTTAGGAAATACTTAAAAAAATTGTCTTGACTCTCCATAGACTTTGTACACAACCGCTGAAGTGGCGTCAGGTTGCAACATTTTTTCCCAAGTAACTTTAACCCTAACCCCCTAGGCTCTTGCACTAGAAAGTATACCAAACCTAACAAATTTCAACAGCTGCATACAGGTCTGTAAGCACTGGTACCAAAACTGCCAAACTCCAACAGGCCTTGTACGGGGAACACTACTAAACCTGCCAAACTCCAACTGTTGGAGTTTGATTGACTTGGTATGGATGGGCCTATGCATTGTCGAGTGATTGGATAGGGATGGTACCAAACCTAACAAAATAAAGCAATATGTACATGCACATTTGACCACAAGCTGTGCTGAGGACCGTGGGTGAGCATACCCACGAAGAAATGCCACTGAACTCCAACGTGTTCACAAATCTCATGCCCTTCTGCCCCGAACCTCACAAAATTCAACAGGGTCTCCCTGGGCCTTTGGTACCCAGTCAATCAAAGTCCAACACCAACTGGCCAGTGTTCGGTACCAACCCTGCCAAAATCAAGCAAAACCCGCTGTTGGAGCTTGATGGGCTCAGGGTTGTTAGGGTTAAAGAAGATTGAGGTACCAAGCCGAGTGAAGAGATCTTAGCAAGAATTGTTTCCCCCATTGTCGGAGGTGTTGTTGGTTCCAACAGCGCATACAGGCCTAGTGAATGAGCGAATTGAGCTGATATGCTGTGGTCGCGCTTGTGTCGTTCGTCAATTTAACCCCCTGGCCGTGTCCAATGAAATAAGTCCACTTTCTTAATTAACAATCAGTACAAACATTCTTAAATTGGCGTTGATGCCTTGTTTTTTTCATTGACAGACGGAAGAAGCACCTCACAGTCCTGAAATCCACTTTGAGCCGATTGTCAGACTAGAGAGCGTCGAGACAAAAACATTGGAAGAAGATGAAGAGGAAATTTTTAAAATGTGAGAAAATTTTTATGAATAGAAAAGTGTCATCTATTGTTACCAAACAGTGTACTGTATTGCTGCCCTTATTTAAAAGATGTCACAAGACTTAAGTTGCATTTAGCCCAACAGTAACCAGCCAAAATATTATCAAAAAGCTTACAGAATGTACTTGAATTAAAGATACAAGTACTGGTACTAAATTATTCTGTCTGGCTTGCTGTCATTTAGAAGAAATCAAGAAATGTCTATGTGATTTACAACGATCAATTGACTGACATTTGGAAGTAGAAATTGCTATTTCGGACAACAGCAACGCTCTGTAAAAGGCTTTGGGTTTTGGATGCTTTTGCTCCTCTAGCGCACAAAAAGATCTGCCAGAATTATTTTCATGTCCCAAATAGATCAAAATTTGAAAACAAATTTTTCCATAACCAAATTTTTTTGGATTGGTTATTTAAAGAGAATATACAACATTTGCAGACATCAAATAACAAAACTACCAAATAATTATGAAATACCTTACTGGACTGTTAGTGAATGACAGTCTAAAGCATTCTGTAAAATCATGGCACCTGGTGTGCTGACATTTTCAAGAAAGTGGTATTTTGGTATCAATTTCCAACGCTGGTCGGCCGATGGGCATTAGGAAAAAAACTGGCTTTTTTTAAATACTGCCCCCAATTTACCATATTTAGTTAGTCCGCTTTTGTTTGCAATCGATTACACAGCCATGAAAGGGTACAAGCCAGCTAGACTGGTTTCCTGACCTTTATAATTCCCTAACATCTATAAATTGCTCTGTTTCATCTTAAGTGGGGTCAGAGAACCAGACTACAAGAGCCTGATTGTTTTCTTGGTTTTTCCAGCATCTACGAACAAAAAAGTTCAAACAAGTCAGTGTAACAATATTTGCTATCAAATACCAACCCCAAAATCAAAATGTATGTTCCCTTTAAAAGTCAGTATTTCTGTATTGCCAAAAAAATAGAAATTAAAAAAAAAAATCAATTTTGGAGGTGAGACTCAACAATATAGAGAGAGCAACTTAATGTTTATCCTCTAGATGTTTATTTTTTTTGGGCAAACATTTGGGTTTGTTTCAGGAGGAGTAAGCTGTTCCGATACGACACCAGCAGTGACCCACCAGAGTGGAAGGAACGGGGTGTAGGCGATGTGAAAATCCTCAAACACAAAGGAGCTCAGCCCAGGGCAAGGATTCTGATGCGGAGAGACAAGACGCTCAAGATATGTGCTAATCATTTTAGTAAGTCCAAGAAATGCATCAAGCATTTGTTACAAAGTACGATGAATGCAGTAATTTGTATTTTCTGTAATGGACTTTGTGTACAAGTATCCTTGTTTGTTGTTGAGAAAGCGTTGGAAGAGACTCAAATGGTGGCCTGGGCGAGTAGTGAATTTTTCTACTTGAGTACTCGCAAAGACATTACTCACGAGTAGTCGAGTACTCTTGAGTAGTTAACTGAATTCCCACAAAAGCAGAAAAATGACATACACGTTAGTATGATGGGAAGTAACTACAAGCAAATAGGCCGGAAGTCGCACTACGTTCTTCAGCACTAAGTTATCCTTACTGTGCGATGTTTTGTATCATTTTTTTAAAAATTTGTTGATGGAATCTTAGGGAGAGGTTGAGGGAGTGGTTCCCTGTATGCAGGGGACGTATTAAGCCGTGAACCCTGAACCCTAAATTGCTAATCGCGAGTGGAGTACCTTCTTCTACTCGCGCCAGGACGAGTACTCGAGTAGATGAAAAACCACCAGTAGAACAACGAGTACTCGCAAGTACTCGAGTAATTGCTGCTGAATGTGCTGATGCTGCAAATATGAGTCATGTTTTGAGCTGCAAATATGATCCATGTTTGAGCACAATCTGAACACAATTAACCTTACCCGCCTAGGCCCTTTTGGCTAGGATGCATCCTCAACCCTCCAAAATCCTCCAGCTGCCACCATGTAAAAATTGGATACTGCCTCAATCGTCCAAACTCATCCATTATTCATTGACCACTGGCTCCTTCCTTCAAAATCTTTAAACAGTCTGTGTAATACATTGAAACAGTGTGGATGATGTCCAGAAGCAGTGCGGATGATACTTGGTATAATATAGGCCTCAATTATGAATGGTGAAGGACCGTGACACAATGCATCCTTCAAAATCAACTGACACATTTTTGCCAATCAGTCTCAACATAGAGGATTTTGCAGGACTGAGGCTATATGGCAAAAAGTGTGAGGCTGATTTCGGAGGATGCACTGTGTCAAGGTCTTAGGCCGGACCTTGTATTGTTTATGCTCAGGCGTGCATACATTTATTTAGACCTATATTATACTTGAAATCCTCCGCACTACTCCAGGATGTCACTGGCTGTGCCTCAACATATTGACAGTGATTGCTGGGGGATTTTGCAGGATTGAGGCAGTGGTCAACCTTCCAAGGACCACATTCAAGAAATAACTGAGGATTTTGCAGGATGGAGGCTGTATGCAATTTTTACATGGAGGCAGTTGGAGGATTTTGGAGGATTGAGGTTACAGCCAAGCAAAAATGCTAGGATTTTGCAGGATTGAGGCTGTATGCTATTTTTACATGGAGGCAGTTGGAGGATTTTGGAGAATTGAGGTTACAGCCAAGCAAAAATGCTAGGATTTTGTAGGATTGAGGCTGTATGCCATTTTTACATGGAGGCAGTTGGAGGATTTTGGAGGATTGAGGTTACAGTCAAGCAAAAATGCTAGGATTTTGCAGGATTGAGGCTATATGCTATTTTTACATGGAGGCAGTTGGAGGATTTTAGAGGATTGAGGATGCAGCTTAGCAAAAATGCCTAGGGAGTTAGGGTCAACACAACTTTGCTGTGAAGGTTCTTAATATGTTTACTTCTGTGAAAGTTTGTGTTGTATGACATTTGTTTTGGGAATGATTTTGATTGATTGCAGTTACACCCTTCATGAAGTTACAACCCAACTGTGGCAGTGAGCGTGCCTGGGTGTGGTCAACTCCAGCAGACTTCGCTGATGAAGAGGCTAAAGGGGAAACATTAGCAATACGCTTTGCAAATGTTGAGAGTAAGTATACACCCTTTGTCTGCCAATAATTTGATGTTTACATTGAGCGATTCCACCTTATGCAGTGTCCGTGACAAGAGTTTTTAAGAGTTTAGTGATTATTCCTGAAAATGTATTTTTCAAATCTTATACATCCATCATCTAGTAATGGTTGAAGAGATTACAGACTTAAGAGTTTTGGGTTCTTTGTCAGAATCATTGATTAGATACGGTTAATTGGTTCAGTTATTTGGTTATTGGTTCAGATAATACACTTAATTTCATAACGCTGGAATTCGGGTGATTCACAATGCAGTGCGCCAGCAAGAGTTTGCCATGGAGAGTCCATTGTTCAAGTTTACGGTCGACAAAACATGGTCCATTTGAATGAGTGTCAGTAGACAACTTGAGCTAATTTGTTATAGATTTGGGCATAGCGTTCTGCCGCCTTACAAAAACCACCATATTGATAAAAAGAAAAAAAACAAAAGGGTAAAGTGATACCCGAATCATACGCTTACGAAACTACTGACCGGAAAACAAACAATTTCAAATGTCCTGCACTGCGAATTTGTTGACTATCTCCCACAATGCACTGGGGAAAAACCTCTCCGTGGCAAACTCTTGGTGGCGCACTGCATTGTGAATCGCCCGAATTGTACATACCAATGCCTCAAGTTGCTTCACAATTATTACCCCTGTTCATCACGCCATGATATCAGTTTTCTGCAGCAGCTCGAGATCAGCGCATTCTGGTCTCTACCTTCACAGGTACTCATTTATACTCCTGGGTGGAGAGAAGCAGTTACAGTAAAGTGGCTTGCCGAAGAACATAAGCACCATGTCCCCCATCAGGGTTTGAACTTGTGTACTATCGCACATGGGTTCGACACTGTAAACAGTGGACTATTGTGCTTAAACCACTGACTTCCAATTCTAGTCATATTTAAAAACTTTGCATACTTGCAGTTACACCGTTTATGAAGTTATAACCTAACCATGGGAGTGAGTGTACTTTTTGTTGACAAAAGTGTGATACTTTTTTTTCTGATTTTAGATGCGCAAAAGTTCAAGGACAAGTTTGAGGAATGCCAACGAATGATTTCAGAGCAAGGTAAGTTTTCTTGAAAACACTGAAGCATCAAAACGATTGCCATCATTTGGAAACTCATCTAGATGACATCAGGCATTTGTAAAATCCACTTTTGTTTTTATTTTTCTTGAGAGCCATGGAAAAATATTTTATCCGGGTGTATTCCATGCCACGCATGTATCACAGCTTTGCTAGTGACTTTCTTTGGATTAGCTGTTCTGATGACACTGCTGCGCATGCGTCTAATTTGCATATTAGATCACGCCCCATTGCATTGCAAAATTCGCGGCTGTATGGTTCAGTTGTAAGTTTCATCTTGAAGTCTGTGATTTCATGTACACCGAGTGACAAAATTCAAAACAAGGTTCAAATCACTCTGTCTTATTGACTTTGGGACAGTGCCATGTAGATTGTCACTAGAAGTAATAGTCATGATTGTTTTTGCATAGTTTCACAACATATTTTGTTGGCGTAAAGGTTGCAAATGTGACTTGTCGCTGTGCAAATGTGACTCGTCGGAATTGATTGGAACGTGAAAATTATTTTTGTATTCATGACAAAGACTGTTCGTTGTGCACGGGCGTGCAAGCACAGTTTTCGTTTTCTTTACTCAAGGTGCCGTAACCCGTCTTAACGCGTTACCTGCCGTGGTTTGTACCACTTGGTACCATTTTGCTATTTACGATACATTTTTTCTTTATTTCAGAGAAAAAAGACAACGAGAAGCCAGAGTCCACCGATAAACCAGCTGAAGAAAACGGGGAGAAACCAGCTGAAGAGAACGAGGAGAAACCACCAGCGGAAACGTCCGAGGAGAAATCGGCCGATGAAATCGCTGAGAAGCTGGGCGAGATGACGGTGAAGGAGGGGGAACCGGCCGAGGGCGGGGACAGGGAGACAACAAAGGAGGCGGAAGACAACAAAAAGACGGAAGACAAAACAGAGGTGCAGCAGGATGCAAAGGACAGTAAAGTGAAATCTGAGAATGAACAATCGGATGCCAAGAAGGATTGATGCTGATCTCCTGCCACCCTGTTTTTGTGATGTTCTGTTGAGGGAGTCGTCGGGGTGGGGATGGGGGGTTGGTAAAGAGTGACTCCTAACCTTACTCTTTTCATCTTTTCCTGATGAGTTCTCCTAAGATTCCTTAATGTTAGGCTCATTTGAAGCAAATGAACAAGTTGCACATGACAGTTTATTAAACATCAACAAGTAGAACAGCCGTCCTGAAAACTGCCGTCGATTTTGGGTTGGATCTTCCACGAAATTACCAGCCGTGATGAAATTACCAGCTGTGAGAATGAGAATTAGTACGAATCTAACCAGTCTTCATATAACCCAAGTCAGTGGTGTGAGTCCGATTATCACAAAATGAGATGTATTTCTGGATTTTACAGGACAAAAGCTTTCCAATGGTATGATAATATAACATACATGTAACTCTTGACGGGCGTTTGGAGGACAGTAAAATGAAGTCAATCTGGAGTCTTTTGGTCTTTGTTTTTTTCCGAAAATGGAGCTAAGCAACAAATAAATTTCATAAGAAGTAAGGTCGGTAGATTTCTAACAAAACTAATGAAAAAGAGGAATGGTACAGATGGTCTTATAGAAAAGGTTTCAACAAGAAAAACAAATAAACTTCACTTTTCAATGTCGGCTAGGTCCGAATATAATGCGAATGGAAAGTTTGTGACTTAAAGCTCATTACATGAAGACAGGTCTCATGTTGTAGCCATTGGGTCATGTACGATGTGGAAAAGTTGCAGGGACTAATGTCAAAACTTTGTAAGGTGCGTAATTGTTGATATATGTAGATTTATCAAAAACAACTACATGTACATTGTAAAATTCACTCACTGGCTGAGCAGGTCAAACCACGTGAATGTTTAAAACAGCACATTCAAAGTAATGTTAACATGTTTGAGGTCATGAATGTCATTTCTACATTTAGTTTGTTCGTACATCACAATTGTGACCTCGCATTCTAATATATAACTGTGCATGTATGTATACATGAATGTTTCAGTTAATGGGAGCTGGGTTTTGATTTGCTAATAGTAATGATTCAGGCCAATCACAGTTTGTGAATGAAGAAGTGTAGGATTGCACATGGCATTTGCAGATATATTCCATAAACACCCCTCGTTACAAATATTGTTGAAATGACTCTTGCGAATCAGCATTTGTGGCGTTTGACTGTATCAAAAGTTGGCTGGAATATTTTGCCTTTTTACAAAGTTTTCAGCAAAAGAAAATCCTGATGCGAAGGGGTTAAAAGCACTCGTGTGTTTATTTTGTACATGGCAAGGTTTTCTAGTCAATTTAAATGTTGCCTGTCTTAAAGGGAGTATACAACATTTGCTTTTGCTGCAAGTTTCAGAAATAAATGGATTTGGAGGAATAGTATGTTATAGCAAATATTGTTAAATTGACTTGCTTCACGTTTTGGGTTCGGAGATGCTGGGAAATCCAAGAAAACCAACCATGTTCTTGTAGTCTGGTTCCCTGACCCCACTTAAGATTAAACGGAGTAATTTATAGACTTTGGGGAATTGTTAGGTCAGAGAATCAGTCCAGCAGGCTTGTACCATTCACAGGTGTGTAAACAATTGCAAAGAAAATGTGGAATAACTAAATATGAAAAATTAGGTTTTCTCCAGCGTTGGAAAAATACAAGTTTTCTTGAAAATGTCAGCACACCAGGAGCCAAGATTTTACAGGATGCTTTGGACTGTCAAATTTCCCTAACAATCCAGTAAGATAATTTGTGATAATTTGATCATTTCGTTTTGTGATGTTTGCAAATGTTGTATCTTCCCTCTAATCTGAAGTAAAAATAACCCAAAAGTGGCAAATCCTAATGTATTAATGAAAGCAATGTTCATTTCTGTAGTGCACTCAAGTTCGAAACCAAAATCAGTTTTTAATCCATATGAAATTTACCTTTCATAAACTGAGCTACATGTACGTGTATATGCAATGTTGATGTCCTTTAGTTTTAACTTCAATTTCAGACCTTACATAACACTCTCCTAATCTTTCATTCCTCAGAAATGGATGCATGAAATGTCTGCTGTTGGTATTTTTTTTTTATTTGGGGGGGGGGGGGTGGTATTGACAGCGGAAGAATTGTTTATTTTTTGTATGGATGAAATATAGGCATTTTGAGTGTACAGTAATTAATTTAATAATTGCTTTTTGTTGCTGCCACGAGATTGTACAGTGTATGGTAATACTGTTCAGGTATAGTGTGTGCTTTCACTCAAAATGTCAGTTTAGATTCAACGGGGTTATCCAAATATTTCAAAAATATTAAATGCCTTGTTTAATGTACATTGTGTGTGTCTTGGACAAAAGTGGATTATTAAAATTCGGCTAAAATTATTAAGTGTTCTGTACTTCATATATATTAATAATTCAAGCACCAAATAAAAACTCGCCAAACACAGCTAGGTAGAACATTTTCATCTAAACAGTTTTATTTACACATCCTTGACCTAAAACACATTCAATTTAAAACAATCTTAAAGTCATCTTATAAGATCGTTTGCATTTATCCCAAAAGTAACCTACCAAATTATTATCAAGCTTTTATACTTGGATTAAAGATCGTACTGGTACTAAACATTCCGTGAAAGTATTCCGTTTGGCTTTGCTGTCATTTAGAAGAAATCCAGAAATGTAGGTGATTTCCAACCAGTCTATTGACTGAAAGAATATAATTAATAATAATGGCAAAAAATTGTGTTTCGTGAGCAAAAAGATGCATGGATTTTCACAGTTTCTCGAAAAGTGTAATACATGTACATATGTCCACTGGCACTGAGCTGAAACTTCAACAGGTTAAGTTTTGAAAATTCTTTGTTGGATTTTGAGTGCTTTTACTATTGGAAAAAAACAAATTGCATAAAAAGCAAATGTTCCTATATGCCTTAAATGACTTAATAATAGTGCCTGTTTGTCATCCCAGAATTTTTTCCTCCTAAAATTCAAGAATTGAAGACCAGCCTAGATGCAACCAACATTTAAAAGTTTAAGAAATTGACATGGTCGAAGTACATGTTGTAGTCAATGAACATTTTATCTTACTGAAAGTAATCAAAATGTTTCAAACAACTGCAAACACTTACCCAGAAGGAATTGGATAAGATTATTGGATGTGAAGCCAGTTTTGGAAAGCTAACTGAATTTTGTCCTCAAGTGTTGCCATAGAAAGTGTGTGAACATACCAGCAAAACCAAACTAAATCTGCAGTGACACTGATAACGTAGCACACCAGCAGATATAAGATTTGATAGTCAAGGTTACGACACTGAACCTGTGTCTTGCTAGCTACTGATGGGAATGAAAAATCAACAAATATTGATAACATTCACTGCAATCATCAATACATGTACATGTATAATTGTGTTAAGTACAGCACCATGAAAAAAGGGGTTTTAAACAACGAAGACCGAGTTTTGAGGAAGAATGAGGACAAACAGGGCCCACTTTGCTGACTTCATATAAAAACGGGTACATGTGCATAGGGGAGTGTGGCCTAGTGGTTGATTCATGGATCATGATCAGAGGGTCAGGGGTTCGAATCTAGCTGCTGGTCATATGTTGTGTCCTTGGGCAAGCCACTTCACCCCCACTTGCCTCTCTCCACCCAGCAGTATAAATGGGTACCGGCATTAGCTGGGGAGTAAGCTGCGATGGACTGGCATCCCGTCCAGGGGGAACAGAAATATTCTCAGTCAAGGAAACTGGAGATAAACGCTGGCCTGATGCATGGGCCATAAAGGCTCATAGTCTTCATATGTACTTACTTTACATGTGCATAGTGTCTGTAAGGAACCATGGCAATTTCAAAAGATTAGTGGCGTGCATCGGAACTGGGTACGCAAGTTCCCGAACGCTGATGTCAGGAACCGGTTCCAGATTATGGGATCGGTTATTCGTAACCAACTTTACTAGTTACTTAGTAACTTCTCAGACAATGAAAAAGAAATATCTTGAGGCGATTGTGGATAATTTTCAAAATGAAAACCTTGCTAGATCGGAAAACCAAAAACAGAATGCGCGAGCCGACAGATGCCACTTACAAAAGTTGCAGTTTACACTGTAAAGCTGTAAAGCCACCAGACAACTTCCAGGATTTGAATTTAGGGGATGGGTTTCTTTTACCGGTACCGTGTTTTGCTTCAGTAGGATGCCCAGTTCCAGTACGGCCCGTCAATGCACACTACTACAAGGAACAGAAATTGGCTATTTAAAAACAGAAAATATTGGCTTAGCAAAACCACGTTACCAGCCAAGATGTCCTGCGATGCATACTACTTGTTGCTGGTACCCAGCTAAACCACATAACATTGCTAAGCGGCTTTTTCTGCTTTATAATAGCAACTTCCTGAAAATGGGTCCTGTTCTTTTGGGGAAATTCAGACACCTTGAAGACAGCTTTGAGGCCAAGAAAGAAATACTGTGCCAATACATCTTGAAGTATGGTACCCGTCAGTCTAACCCCTAACTAGCGATATAAATGATCCGCCTGTATATTGCCAGCTATCTCCGCCTCCCATTTGTCACCGTTGTTCAGCAGTTTCTCTTTGTTATACAGCAATTCCTCGCGTGTTTCGGTTGAAAACTCGAAGTTGGGGCCCTGATAAAAACAAAAGCAAAAGAGGAATGTTCTCAGAAAAAAATATGACCATGACAATATTTGCATCAAATTCAATTTTGGATTAACAACTTTTTTTCTCGCAACAGTTCAAAATGTTTAATTAAAAGTTTTTCATATTTGAATAAGATATTAAAACAAAGAAATCTGCTCACATTTATTTATGAAATAATTACTTTTCAAATTTAGACTGATATACAGTCTAACAAAAATTCAGGTGTGTCTTTTGGTTCGTTAAAAGGTGCCAAATGCTCAAGCAACCATACTATTGCCTTTTTCAGAGGGTTGCAGATGTCCACACACAAAAAGGAGATTTCGTTAAATAAATGCAAAAACTTAAACTTTGGTAGGTAAGATTTTTTTTAATTTGTCAAAGAGCACAGGGAGATCCAATTTAATTATTGTTAGAGCCACCTTTATACAATTGACTCTTGTTACAGGCATGCAACTGGGAATTTTGAACAAACGAGGACATTCCAAAACACACGAGACTTTGTACAGTGTTTTTCAATTTGTAAATGCAGTCATGAGAATTAAAAATTGAGGAAATCAGCGGATCCGAGGAAAAGTTGCATGCCTGTTGTTAATACAAACTCGACTTCAACGAAGTTCTGGTTATATGTGCATAAATTCTCAGTCCTGATTGTGCATATGGGTACGCTGAATGGGACCAACGCTCCACTTAAAACAAAGTTTGGATATAACAAACATTTTGACGAGGTCCAGCTGAGTTTGTATTAACAGGTACCGAGTGTACACCCACCTCAACGATAGCGTCCACCGGACAAGCTTCCTGGCAGAACCCACAATAGATACATTTTGTCATGTCGATGTCGTAACGAGTGGTGCGTCGACTGCCGTCAGCTCGCGCCTCAGCTTCAATAGTTATTGCCTGGATTCAGGACAAAGTCAACAAGAAATAGAATGAGACTTGAAGGTTTGAATGGTGAAGAGATCAACAAGTGAGAGGTTTGTGGTAACACCATGTGGTTTTGTGAGTATGTGTGGTTCTGAAGAGAACCTGTTGGATTAACTCGACGTTTCGAGCAGTATGCTCTGTTCGTCATCAGGTGAATGCCGGAATAGAAGGCATTTAGATACATTGTACAAATAACATATCAATGGAAAGCTGATGAACCAGCCTTTAAGATGGAACCACTGCAACAGTACTCAAATGCATAACTTTCCCATACTTGCCATTATTCTCGGACTACTTTTGTTTTTTATACACCCTGCATACATCACAGTGACTGTTTACTAAATTTTGAGTCGGTACGTTCGTTTGCTTAGGAGCTCCAAGAAACTGGAATCGTAAGCCGCGATTTTCAAAGCCTTGTTCGTCTGGTTTCAGGATTCATCTCAAGATCAACTTGAAGGTCATTCATGTGCAAAGCAAGTATGTGAATTATCCATACACAGCTCTCATATTATGATTTCAAGTGCCTTTTACAGAAAATTGACCTATACTGAGTCCAAGTATCAAGTGTTGGAGTCCAGCCCAACACAAGTCAATCACAGATCTAGTTAGAAGTAAATCATGAGGCAATTCACAAGTCCGGTCTCAAGTAAATCATAAGTAAATTCATTACCTCAGTCACAATCTAATCATAAGTCAATTCATAAGTCCAGTCACAAGTAAACCAAGGGTTGAACATAAATTAATGCTTTGTCACAGTTCATTTAATACAGGGTGGGTCAAAAAAAAAGCGAAACCCAAATGTCAAGACTTATGTTTTAGTGAAGTTCTGCATGTTGAACTTCCAAAATCTAGGATATGAAAGCCCAATTCATAAGCTTTTTTTTAGTACAAGAATCATTCAAATCACTCAAGTACTTTTGAAGTTACGGAATTTTAAACACAACCACCGTTTTAAAGTTCTGTCCACGGATTACAAAAAAAAGGTGTGCGTTCTTTCAGCAAAACGAAACAATTCACACACATACCTATGTGATTTGTTTTCGTTTTGCTGAAAGAACACTTACCTTTCTGTGATCCGTGGACAGAACTTTAAAACAGTGGTTGTGTTTAAAATTCTGTATCTTCAAATGTACTTGTGTGATTTAAAATGATTCTGTACTAAAAGAAAGCTTATGAATTGGGCTTTCATATCCTAGATTTTGGAAGTGCTACATGCAGAACTTCACTAAAACAGAAGTCCCGACATTTGGGTTTCGTTTTTTTTTTACTCACCCTGTATAGCTTGTGAATCGACTGGGAACTGGATGACTTATGAGGACATGTGATGGGATGAACCACAACTCTGTCATATAAAGGGCCAAACAGTCTGAGCTAACACCGCGGTTAAAGAAACACCAATGGTTGCAGAAATACCTCTTTGAACTAAACTCTGGATAATCTCAAACACAACTTGTCCTGAAAATCTGTCCTCCAGCATAATTTCCTTACCTGTGCAGGACAGATGGCCTCACACAGCTTGCAGGCGATGCATCTTTCTTCACCGGAGGGGTAACGTCTCAAGGCGTGCTCCCCCCGGAACCTGGGACTCAACGGACCCTTCTCAAATGGGTAGTTGATGGTGGCTGGCTCCCTGAACAGATAACTCATTGTCATGCCGAGACCTGAGAAAAAATAGGACAAATAATTTTGTTCTTTCTTGTTTAACAATAAACACAAAAAAAGGTTTCATCTACTTATGCAAGGGATACAAAAAGCACTGAACTCTGAGACTGCTTTTTTGCATAAGGTTTATGACAGCAGAAATGTACTTTACTTCATTTATCATTTTCCGAGTTCCTTTTTGAACATTGAAGTTTGTTGATAAATCAGACTCTAAAAAAAAACCTGAAGAAAAACTAAGAGATTCAAGAACAAACATTTCTGAATGTAAAATGAATATTTTTAGTGTGTCCACTAATTTATTTGTGTCCAATAATTTGTTTGCAGTCTGAACAGTCACAGACAGTCGAAATCAATCCTTTTCCCCTGCTATGCCCTATACACAGACTAGTCAACAACAGTCAGATAACATTTCTATTTGGGCACTGTGACTAGTAAAATTCCATCAGCAGACAAAAGCAGATGATGGGTACAGCTGGTTCATCACCTACAGTCAAGACAAAGCTGTATCAAATTACATAAACAGCCACAGCCAGTCAATCTGCTTTATGTAACAGGGAGCTCTTTACTGTTAAAAACAGTCACTTTTTTATTTTGACAGCTGGGATGGCTTTATTGAATTTACCAGCAAGAGATGGAGGGTTAAATATGATCATTAATAAGGGAATAACAGTGTGAGGAGCCGGTCTTCACTGCATGATAATGACCGGGTGTGGGGGTGACCGCTGTTAATGGACCGAGACGAAGTCGAGGTCCATTAACAGCGGTCAAAACTTCCTTACGCGCGCGCACGCAACGCATCCCTAGCAACTGTGTTGTGTACGCGCGCGTCAGTCTCACGCGATGGGAGTTGAGCGCATGTGCAGTGCTCTATTGTTACAAGCTACCGCAGGACTGTTACTATATTTTGACCAATCATTGGCTTGCATGGGGCTGAGCGGGGCTGGATCTATGCTGGTTCAGGGGCCATTTATTCGCTTGATCTTTGAAGCCAGTCCATTATCACCGTTAATGCCCGGCCACGTGATCGAGTCTCGACCAATCAGAAACCATCAACTCTCCAAGGTATTTATTAATACCTCTTAAACAGATGTTTGTGTCCACTATCTGTTTCTGGAGGAACTGAAATCGGTTCCTGACAAAAGTGGAGCCACGATTCAGATTCCAAAGTTTGGAATGGATTCTATTTGATTCCAATCAGGAGTGGCCCCCCCCCCCCAACCTAAAGGATATATGTTGCTACCTCTGACAAGTTCACCAAAGAAAAGTCGTGTTGCCGCCCTGTCTGTGATCTCTCTCATGCTGTCTCCTGGTTCCAAATTGTTGACATATTCTGAAAAACAAGACCAACAAACAAAAGGAACCCTCAAAAATTGATGACTCGGTCGTTTGGCTTAGCATTAATCAAGGTGTCTAGCTTAATTAATAGCTTAAAGGTCACGTCTTTGCAAACATTAAAAAACAAAACTACTAAATAATTATGAAATATCTTACTGGGCTGTAAGTAAAGAATAGTCACAAGCATCCTGTGAAATCCTGGAATGCTGTCATTTTCAAGAAAAGTAGAATTTCATATTTCCAATGGTTGGCCAACCACCATTGGAAAAAACTGGGTTTTTTTTCAAATACTGCCCCCAATTGACCAAATTGAGTTAGTCCATGTTTTATTTGCCAATGGTTACATATTTGTGAATGGGCACACACTGGCTAGTCTGGCCCCCTTCCTGACAATTCCCGATGTCTGAAGCATCAGGTTAGGGAACCAGACAACAAGAGCAGTTTTGTTTTGTTTTGGGTTTTTTTTCCGGCATCCATGAACACAAAACTTTAAACAGTGCTGTGGAGTGATATTTGCTGTAAAATACTAATTCCCAAATCCACCCTTTTCTGAAATATACAGGAAAAATACACTATCCCTTTATTTTAATCATAATTTTGTCAGGAGCAGTCAAAATTGTTTTGCATGAAGGATTTTTTTTTCTTCGGGGAAAGGGGTGGGGCAGATGCACATTTATTTGGGGGTTTTGCCTAATAATATGCCGGGGAAGAGCAAAACCCATGTGATATACCAGCCAATTGACCCCAGAAAAATTGGCTTGGCAGTTAAGACGTCTGCACTACTAAGCAGGAGGTCATGGGTTCGAGTCCCACCTGAGCAAGCTTGTGAATTTGTTTTCGCAAGCTGTCGTACTACGCCTAGTAAACTGAGGACCTAATGCGGAGCAAAGTGACTTACTGTAGTAGTTTCGTGACGGTGTGGCGGTGACCGCCTTCAATGAAGACATCAACAAGGCCACATGACCTGTGAGACAAAACACAACCAAACATGAGAAATGACACACACATGATTTATCACATAGTGGCTACCGGATTTTTAACTGCTATCATTACAGCATTACAAAAATGCCATTATTGCGAGTCACTATATAACTGTACTTCCAACCACAGTGCTTTGGTAGCTAGCTCAATTGGTTAAACATTTGACTACCGTGCCAAAGGCCAAAGGATCAACATGATCAGATGATCGAATATGTGCTGTTACTTGTAAGGACATTTTTTTTTTGTACAGTTCCCTTTATTTGTATCTCTTTAATCATGTCCTACTTTTTACTGAAGAAGGCCTTGATTTATTTTTTTTGGAGTGGCTATCATTACGACAGCTATATTAATCATAATGTGAATAAAGACTTATAAGTTATATTAACTTTAGCATGTTTAGCCTGCAAAATTTACTGTGATAGGCCTACAGGACAGTCATGACAGTCATCTGCAAAAGTAAGTTTAGAAAAGAACTCGAAAAAAATAGAGGTGTCCTAAAGATAAGGATTTCCAAAATTTCCATCTTCTTTTTTAACTAAAAACAAAATCGCAAAATGTTGATTCAGTTTAATACGAACTTTACCACGTCCATCATGTCCATGACGTCCCCATCCCATAGACTTGTGTGCATTTTATCTGCCGTGTTCATGGTGTTTATCCCCCCCCAAAAAATCGTCGAATCTTGCTTTGCACCAGACTATTTTAGGAATACCGAACTGGCTTAGTCCTCATGTAGAAAGTAAATTAACAAATGAGTCTCAAAACAACCCAAGCAAAGCACACGGATCTTCAGTTAGGCCTACCTGGTTTAGTCAAGCTTGTTCCGATGTGAAGACTCCTTCCGAACATCGCCATTTTGTTACCTGGATGCGATGGGTGTTGCACGGCAGATTGACCCCTTCGAATAATTCCCCCATATATTGCACAGCGCCCCCTATCGATGGACAACCTCAGTGCCACGGACGCGTCGGCCGGGTACACACAACAGCTGTGCACAAGCCTCAGGTGGCAGACCAGTAAATAAACTTTCATAGACCGCAAAGTGGTAAATGCTCCCACTTTAGAAATTCGGGAAAAATACTCACAACTCTCAAAGGTGTCCGAGACACACATCAAATTAAAGCTTATTTCATCATCTTTCATTTTCTTTTCAATTTTCTTTCTTTTTTGGGAGGGGGGGGGGTCAACTGATGACTTTTAGGAGAAATTTCCATCTGAAGATGATCACCCCTAAAAATAGTCCTGAAGCCCATAGGCCATTTTGAAAAACGATGCCTACACTCCATTGCAAAATAAAGCGCTTTTAGGGTCCAAAGTACATCCAAATTACACAGAACTGCAAGCTCCCAGTCCTGTGCAAGGCTTCCACCCATATTTTTTTTTAAAAACCCTCAAGTTCATGGCCCACAGCATGCTCAAATACTGAAGATTTTCGCCGACCAAAATCATCATTTGTACGCTCTTCAGTTTTCTTTTCTTAAATTACATTTTTGTGGCCCTTGCATCTTAGGGTTTGTAGAAAGTAGGCAAGGGTCCAGACTTCGAACTTAAATTGCTGAGAAAATGAGAGGATGAAATTGAACTTTGAAGTCGCTCTATTTTGCATGAAGTGGATAGATCATTTTCAAAATGACGATGAACTTCAGGAATGCTTTTAGAGGTTTTCAAACACCCAGTCTGGCTTCGTCACTTTACTTCTGAGGACCTTTATTGCTCCTTGCTTTTATTTCTATTGTTTGTACAAACTTTTTCTTGACCTGCACGTCCCATAAGGTTTGTACACAATTACCTTCTGAGGACTTGAGCTCAGGTCCTCGGGTTATTGTTATTGCAGGTAAACCGGACCCTTTGTTTCAAGTCTTCTAAAGGATAACCAGGTATACAATCTGCCTTTTAAGGCTCCGTGCACAAGTACCCCCTCATCGGCAACAAACGGGGAGTATGGGGCAATGGGGGAGTCCACGCGGACGAGATTCAAACGCATCACTGACGACCTGACGCTCACGCGAAGACACGCACGTTTGTTTTACATACCTAGTGTGGACATTCCTTTGTTTTCGTGTAGTTAAGAAAAACCTGTGAAAAAAACTAATTTTACTCAAACTGTGAAAACACTTTCAACCCAATTTTTTTCTATGATTCCTTTTAAGTGTTTCTCCGAGCTTCATTTTGCCACAGATAAACCTAACTCAAAAATGCCTCTAAACCTGTTTTACAGAGAGGGGAAAACCTTGTGTGGACGTGGGCACGTCCACCACGTCGCTGCTACCTGGTTTATATGGACATCTTTTGTTTGGAAGTCCACACAGTGAATGTAATGCTTGTCCACCGTTGTTTTACCCGTTATCTCATGTAGCCCACTTTTCCAAGTCCTCAGACGTGAAGGCTAACCACACAAAAGTCCAGATTGGCATTATAACAGCCAAAGGAATGACTTAAACAGGCAGCCAGACCCAAAACCCCACAAATTGGTAACGGGAAATAAATCATTGCCGGTCAATAAAATAGTTGATGGCAGTAAAAAATACTTTAACTGGGATCACGTTCGCTTCTTTAAGAATAAGGACTGACTCCAAAAAGCAACGGCAGTTTTAACATCAAGTCATTCTGAACGGTATACCACCTCCAATCCAGTTTTATTCTTCTCAAAAAAAGATCATAAAAACCCTGCACCGATGTGTTTACTTTACCTCATCACTGAAGAAAACATTCCAACTCGTAGCCGCTTCTCAGTATATATATATATAAAACTATTTTAAAATACAGTACATTATTATAACATATCATACGTCTACATTTTAAGTAACCAATATGTCAACTTTTTGTTCAGAGTATGAAACTTGAATGCTACGCAACTCAACGAAAATTTGACCGGACTTCTAAAATATCAAGGAGTTTTATGCTAGAAGCACATGGTCGCAAACATATAGATAAACATGGCATAACTGTACATATGCAACAAAAGGTAGGCCTCATCTCATAATTTTCTCGAGAATCATCGATAAATTCTAGAATATATTTCAAAGCTGGTCCCAGAGTGCCAGGCCATTGTCCGATATGTACCTATCTCACAGACTCACACACTGTCATTTTGTGACTCGGGCAGTGCTAACGTATAGGATTACCTGTACTAAACGCCACTGAATAAACTACATGAGGCCCACTGTTTAGACCAGTTGCACAAAAAGATTTCCCAGTGAAAAGGCGTTCTGACTCAATTTGAATATTATAATTCTGTGCGCTCTGTGTCCAGCTTTACTGGGTCTGCCTTGTCTTGTTTAACTCCATACAAAGTTTGCGAATATTTCCCTAAAATATACCTAAGATTTAACAGGTATCACCGGTTCACACTGCTTCAAAAATAATTGACAGATTAAAAAAAAAATCCTTGGTTATTCGCTTCTATACGAGAACAAACTACTAGAAGGCGAGTCAGTCACAGCTTTATTGTCTGGCGTCCCAAGTTGCTTTTTTAGCCCTCATAACATTGAAATATTTACAATCGCTACATAACATTAACTAAAAAAGTGATTATATACATATTTCATTTCACAATGCCTCAATAAAAAAAAAATCTTATAGAAATGTATAGGTTAATACATAAGTTAGATATATACATGTATCTGGTTAGATTTTTGAGTTGAAATGACATTTTATAGCTATAAACAATCGGCAATAGACAAAAAATTGAGGGTTTTCCCAGTGCATCAGTTCTCGATGATTGTTATTGCAAACCATGAGCTAACAAATTTTGTGAATCCCCGTGGCGCAACGGATTAGCGCGTTGGACTTCTAATTCAAAGGTTCCGGGTTCGAATCCCGGCGGGGATGTCATTTTTTTTCGTGTTCCTGATATCTGCAGGAAAACTTGTTTTCCAAGAATTGATACCAATAAGGCTTGTGTAAATAAATGTTACAATTGCCAATGAATCCCCGTGGAGCAACGGATTAGCGCGTTATACTGGCGCGTTCCGGGCTCGAATCCCCGGCGGGGATGTGACTTTTATTTCTTTTGTTCCTGATATCTGCAGGAAATTTTTCTTCCAAGAACTGATAACAACAAGGCTTGTGTAAATAAATGTTACATTTATTCTTGAATCCCCGTGGCGCAACAGATTAGCGCGTTGGACTTCTAATTCAAAGGTTCCAGGTTCGAATCCCGTCGGGGATGTCAATTTTTTTTTCTTTTGTTCCTGATATCTGCAGGAATTTTGCCTCCAAGAACTAATAACAATTGCCAATGAATCCCCGTGGCGCAACGGATTAGCGCGTTGGACTTCTAATTCAAAGGTTCCGGGTTCGAATCCCGGCGGGGATGTGAATTTTATTTCTTTTGTTCCTGATATCTGCAGGAAATTTTTCTTCCAACAATTGATAACAACAAGGCCTTTGTGTAAATAAATGTTACATTTTCCCATGAATCCCCGTGGCGCAACGGATTAGCGCGTTGGACTTCTAATTCAAAGGTTCTGGTTCGAATCCCGGCGGGGATGTTAATGTTTTTACTGACTTCGTCGCAACTATCAGCTCATTGTCCTTTTTATATTCTGACCTCCCCACTTGTAATTTTCAGATAGGCTGGCCCGTCCAGTATTGTGTATTGCTTCCTTGTCGTGTCGAAGAAAAACAGTGGATCTTTGACCAGTTTCGGGTCGAAGGATTCTTGAACGAGCTTGAATTTCGTCTGCTTGAACGTGCTTGTGTGCTCCAGTGTGCAGGGAAGACGCAGGAACCGCGGACATGCGTAGTCGGGGAGGCGTGACCTCACGAAGTTGAAGGTGGCCTCGGGGTCAAAGGTCGTGTTGGTGTTCAGCAAGAGGGCGGCCATGCCAGCTTTGCCGCAATGACCTGCAAACAGCAAGCAGGGAATAATTTAAATTTGTGTAAACGTTTGTGTGAAATAAATCTGTTCCCTTTTACAAAACGAAAGACGTTTCCCAAATTACACTTTCCAAAATTCATACTTGGTTGCAGAAAACAATTTGCTGACTGGTATCCCCTTCATTACTTACTAACCTGGTACACTGACGCCGTAGACATTGGCCTCGAATACGCCCTCCTGTTGTTGTAATACCTGGGCAACTTCTGTCGTTGCTACGTTCTCCCCCTTCCATCTGTGTGAAGAACAAAACACAACATTAATACATGTACTCTTATAAATCATACAATCGGGATGAACAGTTGAAAAAAAAACTGTTTGAAACGACAAACTTGATCATTACCAGACTGAGACCTTGGGTGCAGAAAACATGCAAAACTAATTCAAGCCAGCTTTACTCACTCTTTAGCAGACAAAATTCTCCAAAATGTTCATTCCGGGGCAAAGACAAGGACTTTTTGTCCTCAGTATTTCACCAGCCAAGATTGAAGTCTCAATTCATTTTTTAAAGGAGACTGTTTATTTGTATATTTTGCATCTGAGAGTGAAGCCAAGTGACTTCAATTTGAAGCCTACAGACTGGTACATGTTCTGCTGTTTAAAAAGATTGACCCTTGAGTGGCCTGGTGTCAGACTTTGGAGAGATGTGTAGAAATAGACGTTACCAGTGGTTTCTTTTTGACATAGTTGATTGATGCAGTACTAAAGGGCTTTTGGACTGGTTGTTTCAGGTGCCAGTCAATTTTCTTGTGTTGCATGCTGTTTTCAATACCTTAACTTTTGGAACTCTCATACACAGTATTAATTGAGGGTCTAATTATCGGACTAGTCATTACTTGTGATTACGCAATTAAAAACCGAAGCAAGTTGCTACAGGACAAACTTTCCAGTTTGGGCAAAACTATTCTGAGTTGGTGTGAATATTCATGTTGTGTATTCTGACCTGAATGTGTCGCCCAGTCTGTCTTTGAAGTACAGATTGTAATGCTCATCCTGCACGAACAGGTCTCCGGTGTTGAAGTAAACGTCTCCTTCTCTCAAGACGTTGTGGACCAGTTTCCTCTGCATCAGATCTTCCTTGCCGACGTATCCCTCTAAGGGAAACGTCTTGTTGACTGGACACAACAGTAGACCGATATCGCCTGGAAAATACAGGATAGGTTCTTAATTCACCAGTTATCTCGGATGATTTTTTTTTAGACTAAGGTGAGGCCTTTCAGACAAGATGGCGGCAAGTTGCGTCACTATAGGCCTACTCATGCGCACTGCTTTTTATAAGTCGCATTGGCGGGGAATGGCGGCCATTCTTTTGGTATCTTTGGGTATAGTTGCCACCGTAGATTTCCTCAATCTGTCGTTACATAATGTTCTGTTCATTTTTGCCTGCAGACATGGCTTTTGTGTCGGTCCTAATTTTGCAAAACATTTGCTGTTGAAAAACTACCGCATTCGATTGCGAACAATGTTTAATTTGCTACTCATGCATTTTGCTCGTTTCCAATGATAACACCACTCAAAATCCAAAAGTAGAATGTTTAAAACCTTTGAAGTTTCAGTTCAGTGGATATTACACTTTTCGAGAAAACATTGAAAAAACATGCACAACCTTATGATCACGAAACGAGATTTCGTCGACGGCACTCCTATGTCAAAAAATCAGTCAATTGACTGATCGTTGGAAAGCACCTACATTTCTTGATTTCTTCTAAATGACAGCAAGCCAGACAGAAAAATTTCACGAGGTGTTTAGTACCAGTACGATCTTTAATCCAAGTATTTTGTTGACAATAATTCGTTACTTTTGGGATAAGTGCAAATAACATGCCTTTAATCGGCATCGTATTGAATAAACATGCGCCTTTGAGATGATGTATACTAACCTGGGGGAACCTTAATGCATCTTCCGTTTACATCCCGAATAGGCTGAGCAGACTCATAGTCGTACTTGATCAACTCGATAGGACAGAATATCTAGGAGATAAAAACAATACCCAAAACTAATGATAATTAAATAAAAAGGAAGGTTTATCACTGTCCTAGCTCTGTTGGTTGAGCGCCGTCACGTTGGTCCGATGATCGCAGGTTCCCCTAGTTGATTTCCTCATTCAACTTTACAGGTTTACTTTCCACAAACTTAAGTTTGTGTTCTCTTGTTCAATCTTAGACCATTAATTTGAGTTGGTTAACCAAACCTATTCCGGTTTCCCAATGTGTTTTATTTGATTATTTGTCGGTAAGAATGTTTTAAGAGGACGTTTTTAACTCACCCTCAGCATTGGCGGCCAGCAGCCGACTGATCCAATCTTATTGTCTACATTCATGATGCCAAAGTTAGCTTCAGTCGCGCCGTAAGTCTCCAGGATCCTGGCGATGTTAAATCTCTGCATGACCTCACCCCAGATGTCACCGCCCAGGCCGTTACCAACAGCTACTCGGACTTTGTTCAGTTTCTCTTCCGGTGTCTGTAGCAAAAGTGTTTCATAAGGAGGATTCGTGGTAGCAAAGTGTATCTTTTTTTGTGAACTTTGCGCACGGGCGTCGCCAGTCCAATTCGAAGCGGGGGGGGGGGGTAACGGGTAACGAGGCCTTCTGAACACAAATTGCCAAGATACCATACCAGGAATTAAATATATGTAAAATTAATATTATCCGGTTACGATCATCGGAGATTCGAAAGCGGGTAAGGGGAATAAGACATTGCCTGACAAATGGGGGCGGTGTTCAGTGTGGAAGGGACTGGATAACATCTGACTAGTTTAGAGCTATTCGGGCTGTCCGCCTTTTGCCAACATTGACACGATTTGGCAAAAAAAAACCGGGGGGGGGGGGGGGCTCACACCCCCTCTAACGACGCATGTGGTTGAGCGTGGTTCCGAAAACTTCTAACTTGAAAAACAGACTCTGCAAGATAAAAATGATACCAAGGACAGTTTTCGGCAGCTCAATTGAAAATGATGTCCCTGCATCTATAATTTTAAAAGAGCCGATTACTGTATCGTGAGTACAATATAGCTTTTGGGATTTGTGATAAACGACGGCAGAGGGCGCCCTACCTTGGGTCTCGCAAGCAGGTATCTGAACAGCTCCCCGATGTACATGATGATGGTGACGTCATGCTTGCAACAGTCAGTCCAGAAGTTGGTTGCGGAAAACTTGGACCTGAGAACCATCGTTGCCCCTGACAACCAACAGGAGAGAAGCATGATCAAATTCAGTTTGAAATTGTTCAATGAGCAACCGTAAAATCAAAATTTGTCCAACTTTAAATGACTTGGTCTCAGTTTAAATGAATATTGATTGTGATAATGAAGGTAAGGCTTACCGTTTCTGATCACAGTCCCTAGTCCAAAAAGGAGCGCCGATATGTGGTAGAGAGGGAGCGTGACGTACAGAACGTCATCTGACGTCATATGGACGCAATTGAGCAGATGTCCGCCGGCCATCATTTTATAATGGGACATTCTGCTTGCTTTGGGGAGACCTGAGGAAATGTATAATTGAAGATTTTTACATGAAAACGTTATTTTCTAATCATAAAAATATTTCAGCAAATTTTCATTACCTTTGGTAATCACATTAACCGTGTATCTTTCGCTTCAATATGACTTTATCAAAAATTAGATTAGTTACAATGTAATATAAATCTTATTTTTTTACTGTAAAAGAACGTAAAATAAATGACCATCCCCGCCGGGATTCGAACCCGGAACCTTTGAATTAGAAGTCCAACGCGCTAATCCGTTGCGCCACGGGGATTCATGGGGAAATTGTTACTTTAATTTAAACAAGCCTTATTGTTATCAAATCTTAGGAGAAAATGTTTCCTAGTCCTGAAAATATCGCGAAAAAGATTTAAAAGAAATTACCTTCCCCGTCAGCATTCGAACCCAGAACCTTTGGATTAAAAGCACGCGCTAATCCGTTGCGCCACGGGGATTCATGGGGAAATTGTAACTTTATTTGAACAAGCCTTATTGTTATCAATTCTTGGAAGAAATGTTTCCTGCAGATATCGAGAAAACAAAAGTCACATCCCCGCCGGGATTCGAACCCGGAACCTTTGAATTAGAAGTCCAACGCGCTAATCCGTTGCGCCACGGGGACTCGCTTACTTACAAATAGCCACCGAAATATAATTCTGTTTTTCGAGAAATATTTGCTGGAAATGGCACAAAAGGTCCGACTTGTAGATTGTCATTTTTAGAATAGGCCTAGGACATAATAACACCACGCTTTGTTTACATTCGCGCTTTGCGCTTTCGTATGGGAGCCAGGTGGGGAATTGAACCACAAACTCCCATAAGAAAACGTACTTATAAACAAAGCATGACGTCATTTTGTCTCAGGTCTCTTGAAAACATCTCCCCACAACAACAAAAAATACCCACCTGTTGTTCCAGAGGTGTAGATGTAGACGAACGGGTCCCTGAAATGCTGCCCTCTACGTATTTCCCGGGAGAAGTCAGTCTCTATGTTGTATTGAGGGAGTCCGGCGTTGTTTGCCAATATCTCCTCGACAGACTGGACTCCTTGCAGTCGTTCGGTCGGCTCCTCCAGAGACCAGATACGAACCTTCCCACCTTGTAGGTCTTCCTTTATGTCGATCACTGCTTTCAACAGATCATCGCCTATGGATTTTGCAAATTTTGTTTACAAAGTCATTTTAGAACAAAGACATTTGCATTTTGTTTCATTTGAAGCCACAAAATGGGAGACTTTTGAGAAGTTGGTGCATGGCAGCAAACACACCGGTCATTTTCGATGGTTGACGTCATGGTTAAGCTAAAGCGCGCATGCTCAATATGACGCAATCAATGGTAAAAGGACCGGTGTGTTTGCTGCCACCAACGTCTCAAAAGTCTGCTTAAAAATCTAAAGAAAGGGTGCATAACAACTAACTTGTTGAAGTCTAAGCTCAGTGAATACAATACATTGGGATAAAACAGAGAAAAAAACCCTCACTTTTCAGGCCTTGTTACTGGATTCCGTTGCTGGAACGTTAAACAGCTATGCCCGTGGGCACGTTAAAAAAAAACACCTTCAATGATTGTTTTCTTCCAAATGATACCATTTCAGGCGGAATAATTTCACAGGTATTTGGTACCAGTCCTATCTTCACTTTGAGCAAAGATTTTCTCGTTAATTCAGTAGGATCGTTTCCGGATAATTGCAAATGTTCCAACGTGCCTTTAAGGGTGCTGAATCGATTTTCTTTTTAAACAAAGTGACGTATTTCTCTTCCTTATCGCGAATGATTTGTAGGCCTGTATGTCGATCTGTTGATTGACGAGGTCCACAATTTTAATGCTCACAAAATTCACTTCAGCTCTTCTATAAAAGAAGTGAAATTGTAGGCGGACCCACTTTTACTTTTAAGAGTGGCATACGTACTATTTTCTAGTTTCTACAAGAACCTGATGATTGTTAAACAAGAAAAACACGTTGTGCAAACGGTTGGAACATAGATAATTTACCTGGTCCAAAGATGAGTAGCTTGGCTTGGCTTGCTTGAAAGCAGTGAAGCAAGCTGGATGATTTCAGGTTGTAGTTGAGGAGAGCACAAGTCACTCCCAGTTTAGCGAAGGCGAGTAGGGTCCAGATAAATGCCGGCTCGTTGTGAATCAACAGCGCCACCGTGTCCCCCTGCTTGACTCCGCAGTGGTGCGCAGCGCGTGCCAGGCGGTTCGCTCGCCGGTTGACTTCCCCGTAGGTGAAGCTGACGTCCCGGTACACCAGGAAGGTCTTGTCCGGAGTGTCGCGGGCGCGACCCTCGAAGTCGTCTACGATCGTGGTGGGGATTTCCTGCCTGGAGCAGGCTTTGAGATGCCTAGCCATCCGAGCTTTATCGAGGATGAAGACTACATCACTGTAGAGTCTTGGGTAGAGAGCTTGAAGGATGAGCAATGCTCCTACCAAGAGCAGGAACACTGCTACCGGAATGATAGCGTACATCATAGTGCTTCGCTGACTGGCTGGTTGTAATCGTTGAGAGCTGTAAATATTCCAAAAGACAATGTCCAGTTAACTTTGGTCGTAAACAATGAACTCCCATTGCCAAGCAAAGCCCAGGTAGTCGACACCACTTCGCCTGATTGCAAGCAGGGATATTGATTTTTTGTTTGCCGAACTGGACAGAGAAATCAAAACTCATCCCAAAACACTGACTTAATCGATGTAAAGGCACCCATGATTGGGCAGAAGAAAACAATGAATGTCAAAAAAGCACAATCTACTAACGAAAAGGGAAAACAAATAGCTGGCGTGCAATCCTTTTTAATTGAAGCATTTTTTTCAATTTCTGAAAGAGCTTTGAGAATTTTCACTTTGAAAATATTGCATTATTTCATATAATTCCTCGACTCCCCTCGAGTACAAAAGCAACCTACATCCCCGCCGGGATTCGAACCCGGAACCTTTGAATTAGAAGTCCAACGCGCTAATCCGTTGCGCCACGGGGATTCACGTGAAAATGCAACATTTATTTAAAAAAAGATGCAAGTGTACGACAATACTTGGAAGAAAATATTTACTGAAGTCATAAGGACAAGTAAGACCACAAAAAAGTCACATCCCCGCCGGGATTCGAACCCGGAAGTCCAACGCGCTAATCCGTTGCGCCACGGGGATTTGCGTAAAAAAATGCGAGATTTATTTAAATAAAGAATAAAGTGTGTGACAATTCATGGCAGAGAAATTTACTGACTGCATCTGGGAAAAAAAGCGACATCCCCGCCGGGATTCGAACCCGGAACCTTTGAATTAGAAGTCCAACGCGCTAATCCGTTGCGCCACGGGGATTCGCCATGATTGGTGTTATCTAATAAAATACAAGGAATCTTTCATCATCAGAAAACGATGCAACCCCGCCCCCCCCCCTCCAAAAAAAAACCCCGGCAAACGATAAATGTACAGAAAAGAACTTAGAGAAAAGCATTCCTGATGCAAGAACATCTGTTTAGCTCAGCTCCATCCCAACTTTTCGATATCATAATAATTATTTTCGATATCATAATATCTGAGGACTTTTCAAGGCATGACAAAAAATTGTCCAAAGAACTTCCAATTTTGACGAAATTATATGTTGATATGTGACGAACGTTGGCTATTTGTAACTATTTTCCCTTCTTTGTTTCAGGAAAATTTCCAATAAAATCTCTACAATATAAATTAGGATCTTTTATCAATTTTCATTTTTTTCACAAGCTTGAAACTCTAAAACTCTACATCATGAGCTTTGTTTCATTGATGTGCAAGAAACGTGAATCGATTATCGATCCTTAATTGATCTTGATTGACCGCAGTCAGCTAATGTCGGAAATGAACTTTGTTTCATTGATGTGCAAGAAACGTCAATCGATCATCGATCCTTAATCAATCGACCGTAGTAATACCGCCGATCGAGATTGTGGTACGAATGATATTATACTTGATCGTTTACTGTACACATCTGGTCTCGGACTTGGTGTGAACTTCTCCGTCGCGTAACTCGCACTTCTCAAGGTTTTTTTTTTGGACTGGGGGCCACATAGCCTAGGGGGCTTTCCGTTGGTTGTCATTGATTTATTCATTGATTTACCGAACAGCCTGAAAGGACGATGTCCTCACCGGGACAATCTCTCACCGTCGCCCAGCCGGGAAATCAACAGCCAATGTCGGAAATGTCTGACATTTCCCCCTGACTCACAATTGTACAACCATAAAATGTGGCGCTATTGATAAGAGAGGCACGCAATACCGACAACAGATTCCCCCTGTACTTTCACTGAAGGGGGCAATTTGACCTATATTGTGGGGCCTTCATCCGTACTTTTCTCCTAGAGAACACTTTGTTTTCTGACACACGGTTCGCCACGAGGTCACATGCAGGCACCATCTCCGTCGGGTTACGAGTACGCTAAGCTACGGTTATCACACAGTTGTGTCATTGGCACCAGACTAATTTTCCCTGAAAAACTACAAGACGAGGGGGTTTACAAAATGGGGTCATACACCTCAACACTCTTATCCACTTGCTGAAGGAGCTCATCTCCGTGAAAGTGAACTTAATTGACTCGAAATCTATACTGGTTCTCGTTGTTGTTGTTGTTGTTGTGGTGGTGGTGGTGGTGGTGTTAGTGGTGGTGGTTGCGGTGGCTGTTGTGTATTGTTAATGTTGTTGTTGTTGGTGTTGGTGTTGTTATTGTCGTGGTTGTGGTGGTTATTATTGCTAATGTCAATATTGTTGTTGTTGTCGTGGTTGTGGTTGTGGTGTTTGTTGTTGCTAATGTTAATGTTGTTGTGGTGGTTGTGGTGGTTTTTGTTGCTAATATTAATGTTGTTGTGGTGGTTGTGGTGGTTGTTGTTGCTAATGTTAATGTTGTGTGGTGGTTGTTGTTGTCGTTGTGGTGGTTGTGGTGGTTGTGGTTGTTAATATTAATGTTGCTGTGGTTGTTGTTGTTGTTGCTTTTGCCGTTGTTGTTGTTAACTAGTTAATATTCAACACTGTGGTACTACTGCTTGTGGTTGTTGTTGTGGTGATGGTGGTGGTGGTGGTTGTTTGTCGTTGTCGTTGTCGTTATTGTTGTTGTCGTTGTTGTTGTGTGGTGGTGGTGGTTGTTGCCGTTGTTGTTTACTAATAAAAAAACAATGGTACTAGTGGTTGTGGTTGACGTGGCTGTTGCTGTGTTGCTTTTTTCATTGTTGTCGTTTGTGATATTTGTTGTGGTTGTTGTCGTTGTTGTTTGCTAAGTTATATATTTATTTTCAACCCCGGTACCAGAGAAGTCAAGAAAATAACGAGCAATGGCAAACAAGTCTTTACTCTGACGCACGATGACGTGTACGGAATATGGATAGCAATCATTTCTGACATGCAGCAGTTAGCCTCGCCTGTTTGGTGAAGCTAACTTCAAGTTTTCTCTGACCACAAATGAAGACTTGTTTCATCACCCAAGGGGAAAGCATCGCTTACCGAGAATCGGTCTAGCCTCGCGGTTTTTGCAACTCATCCGGGATACAGCTGCAGGTTTCTTTGAAGTGGTGGCTGGTGCCGTCCACCACTAGGTCCCTGGAGTGAGGAGACTGGTTTTCCCGAAAGATTTACCGATGTTTCGCACGTAGGGACAGAGAGCTGCACGTGAGCTCGCTCACATACATACAAGGCAAGTTTCCCATCTCAAAACTTTACACATCGGCTGGGGTCTTACAAAATCTTAAGGATCTCAATCTCAAGTATTATTTTGTATGACATGGGTGGGGCTCCCATTCCGACTTTAGATTTTAAGTTCTAACCACTGACAATTATATAGAGTATCATGCGTTTGTGCATTTCCCCCACAAACCCTCATCATTATTTTCATGCTACATTTATCTAGAGAATGCGACGACCATTTTCTCCTTTCGACCAGCAACATTTCAAGTTCAAGGAAACTAGCGTAGCCCCTTGAGAGATGCGTGCGAAGAAAACTTGACTTTGGGCCAGCTGCTCCGGCGTTGATGGACGGGGCCCCATCCCTCCAGGCGGGCTGGGCTTCATTAAGTCTCGCTCATTGACAAACCATCAGACAAGCTCATTCCGGAAATGTTTCTCCAAATTTTCCAGAAAACAAGAGCGCGTAAGGAGGGGGAAACATCGGGGTAAGAAAGGGGTATTGCACTCTCAAACGGAATGAAAACTTAATTCGATCCAGGCGGATCCTTTGTGCGAGTTGTAAACAAGATGCCGGTAAAGTCATTACCATTACACGAGAAAAGCTCATTTGTATTTTTAGATGAATTTTAACGGAATGGAACTTCACCTTAGATTTTGCCTCTAGGGCGTGAAGTGGTTTATCGCTTGCTGTTTCTTTCGACAATTGCACAATTTGTTTTTTGACGGGAACTTCAAGGTCAAGTTTGCTAAGTTCACAATAATAATTGTCACACCACTTGCTTGAGAAGCTCTCTCCGCGAGCCTGCCATTGCTATGACGGTTGCGTGTTTCGTAAGATTTTCTTACGGGACCGAAATTGCCTGGATTAATTTTACCCAAGCAAGGGTGAAAACTGCAACTACCAAAAATTGTCCTTTACCCAGTTGTTTGGGTTGGAATGTCTGTTATTCAACCAAAACGTGCGGTCACACAAGACCAAATTAAATTTAGTCTCGTAGTGACCAAATTCCAACCCAAACAATTGGGTAAAGGACAACCCAATTTTGGGTAGTTGCAGTTTTCACCCTTGTTTGGGTAAAATTAACCCAGGCAATATGTCAGTGATGTTAGGAAAAAAGCTGAAATGAAACCAGCGCCTATTTCAGCTTGGGACATTGCGAATATGCATCCATTGTTTCCAAGCCCGACAAAATAATTAAATTATACGAGAAATATAAACAAGTTTTGTATATAACGAACTTGCAAATTTGCAGGAAGTGTGATACATTTTGACGCGCATCTCATGATGCGCAAGTCTTGTGTGCGCATGTCAGGTCTGAACTGCGCATGCGTGTGTCTATTTGTCACAATAGCAACTGGAAAGTGAGCACATAATTGTTGTGATCATGTACATGTATTTTGAAAGAGTAATGAAAGAGAAGTATCTCAAGCCAAAACGTGGCAGTTATAGGCTGAGATGAAACCACGAAGTGCTCACTTTCCAGTTGTTATCGTGACAAATAGACACACGCATGCGCAGTTCAGACCTGACATGCGCAATCAAGACTTGCGCATCATGAGATGCGCGTCAAAATGTATCATGCAAGCAACCTGGCCTATGTTCTGAGCTTAAACGAAAAAGGTAAAAAAGAAAGAAATGCAACAACACTCATCATTTCATTGCAGCTCAAGTGGTTGGTTTTGTCAGATCGCTCGAGGGGAAGCATAAACGATTTGCCCACTCGGGACCCGAGTCGAAAACGGTGATAATTGAAATTTTCATAGTGGGGGTCTTCACGTTGGGCTGCCTGAGGCGGGAAACGATCACAGAAAGTACACACTCCGTTCAAGTTGGGGAAATCGGAAGTCAAAACAATTTTCT